AAGAAAGCAAAAAGAACGACTGTAACAATGCCCTAGCAACGAAATAGTTTGAAATTGTTCAAACTATGACAGCATACAATACGGTTTTGGCGGTGTTCTCTATGTTTAATTGTGATGAATTTCCTTAAACAACCAATAAAACAACACAATGAAGAACTTACGTTTACCTTCGTTCTTCCATATCACTCCGTGCATTCCACATCTGTTCAACCTCAGTTTTTATTTCCTAATTGCAACTCTGTAAACCCAATGGATGCATTGGTTAAGTAAAATGCCGGACAAAATAAAATGACCGTAAATGGCCTCTAGGGAAAGGACTCCTAGAATGGATGTGGAATGAGCCTGCTTAACTTTCTTTATCGCAAAGGTATTTCTTAGTAGATTTTATGCATTCCTTTGCGAATTTTATTACCCATCTCTATTGTCTTTTCCTTATTGTTTACTCACGGAAAGCAGTTTACGTGGGTTAGTACAAGGGCTGGCTTCTCCCTTTTCACGACCTTCGCGGCACATTTTCCATGTTTTCATTGTAGCTTGCTCATGCCAACCTCCCTTCATTTGTTTCAGCTACAAATTGTACATCCGACGAGTGAGACGATGTTATAAGTAAAGTTGAAGTACACGAGTTAAACGCAACGACTCAAGCAAAAAAGCCTATAAACATTCTGCAAGTAATTCATTAGAGAGACGTGTTAAGACTGGACCTTCGAAGAAGAGAACAGCAAAAACGAATTTCTCTCTCACCTCATGAAACGTCGCTGGTACTCTGCAAAAGCACAGTCAAACATCTCCATATTTGGGCGGCTGAACCTGGTATAAGGAAACAGTCGTCTTAGAAGTACTCTTAGAAGTTACGAGCGCAGAAACCGGCAGTATATGTCAAGTTTCGGTTGGAAGAAGCAAAACATTGAAACTCCTTGAACAGACTTTGAACCGCGTGTCACACTGACCCAACGTGTGAGACAAACATGAATGAATAATTAATTTTAGAGACAAATTTATATTTCGCCCTTAGCTCCCTGCATAATTTGATCACAACAAGTTCTGAGGGTTTCATATTTGCCCCAATGTTTCTTGGTAGGATAATAGTTTAATGTGATGGGAGGAAGGGTAATTGTTTGAGGAGATATTTGTCTGTTTATTAACTTTTAAAAAAGGTTTGCAGTACCCCATGATGGGTGGGGAGAGTTGGAGAGAGGTGGCGGGTAAGAATTAAGGGTAATGGTTCGCATAGTTTTATTTCTCCACAGTTTTAATATTACGTGATGCGTGAATTTCTTCGGAAAGACGGGCGTGATTCGTGAATTTATGAACCAACGAGAGGCGTGATTTGCCTCCTGAAATACGCGTGACCTCTGAATTTCTTCTTTCCTTTCCTGAAACCTTGTACACAAAAAGAGAGATCTAAAGTTGATTTTTTTCTAGGATTCGTGCGTAAAACGGCAAATGAATTTAAAGTAATATGGGAAAACGAAGCGTTTAAGTTAAACCACAAAACTTACCGAGTTAATTTCTGATGTTCAAAGAAGACATCAACTAACTTTCATGTCAGGACAAACAGTCTCCTCAAGACCAATTCAGTTCTCTGCTCCCGGGAATGACTTAAATTTAAAAAAATAAAAAAAATAAAGAAAAAAAAAAGCAAAAATGTAAAATATATAAATATACAAACAAAAAGGCGAAAAAATGGCTACTTGCCGTAGGAATATTTATCGGAAACTAAAAATGTTACTGTAACAGAAAATTAACAGTATGCAAGAGAGTAATGTAAGAATCAATAATAATAAAAAAAAATCCTTACAAAACGCAGGAGACTAACGTAACAAGAAATAGCTTGCAAAGTGCGAGATCCTTAAAATGACAATCGATCAAAAGAGAAAGCAAACAATGCACGAGATCATAACGGAACAATCCATAACAAGAGAATCTCAAACAAGGCGTAAGATACTAACGAAACAATCTAGCAAAAGAGAGAGCTAACAGTGCGCGAGATAGTAACGCAACAGTTGTTCAAAAGAGAAAGCTAACAGTGCGCGAGACACTAACACTCCATAAAAAAGAGAAGAGTTTAAAGGCTGACGTTTCGAGCGTTAGCCCTTCGTTGGAGCGATTGGAGGAATTGTGGGTTGTATGTGGGTTGATATGCAGAAAAAGGAGAAAGCTAAACACTTCAATCTCCCCAATCATTCTAAGCAGCATATGTCAGTTTGCGGCCTTTCCCTACGTCTAGGCAGTTCCGAAAGCCGCAAAACTCTAGAAAAAAAAATTTTCTTTCAATAGGCACCCTTAATCCCCACAGTATCAACGAGCGCTTTTCATTCAACTAATTTATTCTAGTTTCCTCGTCACCATATTCCCACCAACAGCGTAGCTCCATTTCCTGCATGTAAAGCCACACAACCCTCAATTCCTCAAATCGCTCTGACGAAGGGCTAACGCTCGAAACTTCAGCCTTTAAACTCTTTGCGGTGGCCAATTTACGTAATCAATACAGTTGATAACCGTAAATTACCCTGTTATACTCTCACACAACCGCAGCACCACAGTTTCTTTAGAAACTTACCCCCCATAGAAAGAGAATCCTTACAGTACGCAAGATGTTAACGTAACAATCGATAAAAAGAGAGTATTTCGATCAAAAGAGAAACTTAAAATTACACGGGCTGCTAAATGATAATCTATCCAAAGAGCAAGCTTACAATAAGCGAGAAACAAACGGAACAATCGAACAGCGTTCGAACACTTGTAGCCTTGTCTTTTGAAAACACAAAGCTACAAGTGCGCAAGATAGCAACAATCATCAAGAGAGAATCCTAATAGTGCGCAAGAAACTACCGTAATAATCCATGAAAAAGAATCCTTACAGCACGGGATACTAACATAAGAATCGATCAAAAAAGAAAGCTAACAGCGTGCGAGATCCTTAAATAACAATCAATCAAAAGAGAAAGCTGGAGTTGTGCAAGAAACTAATGGAACAATCGATCGAAAGAGAATCCAAACAGCACGTGAGATAACAAAGTAACAATCCAAAGCAAGATAATCTTGACAGCGTACTAGATACTAACGTAACAATCCATCAAAAGAGAATATCAACAATGCCCGAGATACTAACGTAATATTCTATCAAAAGAGAATCGAAACCGTGCGCGAGATACTATAACGTAACAATCGACCAAAAGAGAAAGTGAACAGTGCGCGAGACATATCTTATTGGACGTTTTGGTGTGTACGATCACTGGGTATTTTACGAGCTGTGCCGTATTGGAAAAGCGAAACTGACAAAGAAGCGTAGCACACGCAGCCGACCAGTTAAAAAGGTTTTTTTTGTTGAATGTTGCCATTCGAGGCTTTGATCACTTTCTTTACAATACCACTCAGCTGAACAGTTTTTCCGACACAGGTGCGGCAACACGAGGACAACGTATAACCGATTTACCTCAAACTGAACTGAAGTAACGGTTCAGAACTGTTACTTCAGCTCACAGTCTTCGAGAAACTTAAAAGAAAAAGCTATACGTGTGCGAGACACTAACGGAACAATCCATCGAAAGAGAAAGCCAACAGTGGGCGAGTTATTAACGTAAAATTAACGTAAAAAGAGAATCCTTACAGTGAGGGAAATACTAACGTAACAATCCATAAAAATAAGATCCTGGGCGAGATTCCTAAGTAACAATCCACAAAAAGAGAATTCTTAAAATGCGCGAGATACTGACCCACTTTTTTTTGTGGGACTAAGTCTTTGCATCACATATTAGGACTAAGTAAGAGATTTGTGACATGCATTTGTCAATACAACAAGTTAAGGGAAAAGCTTGACATAAGTAAATGAAGCATAAACATGAGACTCATTTGTTACAAAAAGTTCAAACTATTTGCCCTACCAAATCTTTTCTTGCAGTAGACTTGAATAAAATAGATCTATTTCTTTGAAATTCCTAACAGGATACAGGTAAATGCCTAAAATATTGGAAGTTACAAGGAAGGGGATCACCAAAGTCCATAACCTCCTAGGGGGTACCGTAGGGGGTTTAAATAGATAAATCATCCATAAGGGGGATATGGACACCATTTTCTGGAGCAAAGCAATGAGTAAAGAATAATTTGGTCTTATCAACTGGGTTGAGAATGTACTGTAGTTTCTCAGTTGTAAGGCACATGGCTTTTTCAAGAAAATTCTGTCTTTGGTTGGAAAGTTAGTGCTGAAATTGAGGTGCATCTTATAGCCAAGTTTTTTTTGCACAACAAAATCTTAAAATCGCAATTTTAGCTTGGGGTGTGTCTTATAACTGAGTGCACCTTATAACCAAGAAACTATGGTAAATTTCCCTCTGTATAAAAAGGGTGGGTTGAAATGTCAGCTTTAAATAAAGCTTTAAAAACTCTTTCTGGAGGCTAATTTACATTATCAACTCAGTTATCAAAACCAAATCATCTTGTAATACCCCCATTGATGCAGCCATTACTACCTTTATTCATATGCAATGATTTCATCTGTTAGACAATCAGTTAACCTTTCATACAAATACAGCACTTTCTATGGGTTAATTTTGTTACAAACCAAAATTTAAAAGCTTCTCTATTTGTCTTCTTCAAATTAATTGGAGCTAGCAAGTCTAATTGTGACAATTAATTCATATCAAATAAAATATCACAGGTTTTCTTCATCAGTGAATGCATAGGAATCCTTAAGAACTGAACAGTCACCCATGTAGGTTTAATCTTGCTGCCGACTTATATTTTTTACAAATTATAAAAGCGTCTACGTCTTACCAGGACAGATGTAAACAAATCTTTCTTATCCAATTGTCTGGAAACTTCTGTGTCCTATACGTATCCTGCAGACAGAATAGAGTAGACAAGTTATTATTCTCATGTTTCTAACGAAGTATTATTAGAACACTTGTTACAGTTGGGTATAATAATCAGTCTAGGTAAGTCATGTTTAGGGAATTATTATCTACTCAATACATCTTATGTTAAATACATAAAGTAAGGTCCATAATAATTCCCCATACATGACATACTCACCATAAGAGTTGATTCCACTGGTCAGTGGACTTTATCGCGGGCTATAGATTCTGGCGCAACAAAATGGCAGATCTTTGACTGTCTATTTGCTTGAGAGCAAAGCGAGTGTTCTCTTCTTGATTGTATCATGTGATACAAAGAAAGCTTGCTAGATTGATCTACTGTATGAGCTTGTGAGTATTTTCGTAGCTTTTAAGGGTTAAGGGTAGTAACTGCCTAATAATTTTTTTGCCACTATTCGGACGGTAGCCATTGTAATGTTACAACAAATTCGCATGTATAAAGCTCAGACTTGCGATGATGATGAATCGTTGATCGACATTCTTTCTAAAGTTTGAAAAATTGTATTTTACAAATGTGTACGTCTATTTACACGATGATCCATTCCGAACTGTGGAGGTCTTGTAATAAAATTTTAGATCGTGGCCCACCCAACAAGAAATTGAATTAGCTCATATTGATAGTAAGGCGCTGATTCGTAGAACACTTACAGGGTAGCCTATCTATTAGATACGAAATTCTATAGGCCTAGAAGTGGATTAGGTGGATGCTTTCTGGTCAAAACGCTGATTAATTGAAAGTGACATCAGTAAGATTGATTCCAATGAGTCTTGAAGGAAAATTATTACACGATAATTCTACCAAGTTTGCAGCAACTTTTTTATATCCATATACATTTTGTAACCTTTACTGATCACAATTAATTTGACAGGCACATTTATAAAAATGCCATCCTGCGATTTGGATGTGTGTGACATTGAGGATGCTGTGAAAAAAGATGATCTTACTCCTAATGATCGGATCACTCCTAGGGGAGCTGTTCTACCAAAGGCAAGAGTAAAATCCACAAGGAACAACTTAAATGAATTGCCTGTGGGAGATAGTATTATACCGGGAACACAGAAAATTTACATCAGAACTTGGGGATGCTCCCACAATAACAGTGATGGAGAATACATGGCTGGGCAGCTTGCAGCATATGGATATAAAATAACAGGTACTGTAATAATTCTTTCACCAGCTACCACAGTACATGGTTATGTACATGTATAAGGTTGATTGAAAGTTGTGAAAAAGAGAAAGGTTAAATGGTAACAGAAATAGAGATCTTGTAGACTATGATCTTCTGACTGAGTAAATGTCTGAGTAGGTCTGGGTAAAGGTCTGTAGAAGATAGTTGTTGCTGACATTGAATCAGTGCATGCAGCATTTATGAAATTGATATACTGTACTTTGGTTGTACATTATTGCTGATTAAATGTTCTGAAAATTCAATGAAATATTGGTATAGAATATTTGGGCTTAGAACTTTAAAGTACTCTGAACCATCAAGTGAATCTCAGCTGAAACAATTTCCTTGCCTTGTTACATGTAGTTATAATAGTTTTTTGTTGTTGTTGTTGTTTCTTAGATGATTCTGAAGCAGCTGATCTGTGGCTACTGAACAGTTGCACAGTGAAAAACCCTTCAGAGGATAACTTTCGGAATGCCATCAAGAGGGCTCAAGAGCTAGACAAACATTTGGTTGTAGCAGGCTGTGTACCACAAGGCCAGCCCAAACACCAGTCAATTAAAGGAATTAGTGTGATTGGGGTAAGTTCACTGAAATTATATACAAGCTAACTGTCTTAGTCTATCTGATAGTCTCTTACAGAGAATATATAAATTGTCTCCCAAAATTTACTGGATATTGGATAATTTTCACGACAAAAGACAGGCAATCGAGTGAATTTTGTTGAAAGGAAAAATATTTTGTTTTTATTCAATGATATGAAGTAGTTTCTTTCTTTTTTTTTAAGTTTCTGATTCTCAAGTTTTGAGTAACTTTGGTGACTTTTAGCTTGTGGAGAGAGCCTGGGATAAAAAGAACAATTAAGAATGTTTTTTTCACGTGATGAATTAATTCCCTGCAGAGAGAAAAAAACCTTCAATGTATAGTGAATGTAAACTTGTTGACAAATTTTAAGACAACTTGACTTGCAATGCCAGTATTATTTTATCTTAAATTAATATTTCATTTAGCCCCTCTTAAGGAAATTGACATCAACATCTGTATTTTTCTTTCTATGGTGGAAAAAACTGTGACAGTGACCTTTTTGCTCTAATTTTGATCAATATTTTTAGGTTCAACAAATTGACAGGGTGGTGGAGGTGGTAGAAGAAACGTTAAAAGGTGAAGCAAGCTTCTTAGCTTCATATGTTTGATTGTGACTTATATTCTTAATTTGTATGGTATAATGATTGTGCACATTGAACATTGTGAAAATACATGAAACTACTTGTAAATCAGGCAGACATTCTGATTCCAACCATCAACTTTTTCTTCAATTTCAATGCTTTGTAGGTCATACAGTTCGACTTCTTGGTCAGAAGAAAGTTGGTGGAAAGAAAACTGGGGGAGCTCCTCTGGATCTCCCAAAAATCCGAAAAAATCCTTTGATAGAAATTATAGCCATCAACACTGGGTGAGTAAAATGATACATACATGAAAGAAGAGCCCTACTGACCCTTAAACTCTCAAGATTTGGTTTTTAATTCTCCTTTCTAGCTGCTACACATTTCCTTTTAAATTTTATAGTGTATGTAGTTACAAGAATTTTGAATCAGATCAAGATAACAACTTATACCAGATGAGTTTGAGTATTCTCATGGCTTGTTTGCCAGATGATGTATGAAGTTACATGTTGCTCATTTCTGGGAGTTAAAGCATTAGTCCTTTTATTTTATCTTAATGCTACAAGGCATCCCATAAAGTTTGGTGTGGGTGAATGATTAACTTCTCTCAGACATTCTGCATTTTTTTATGATTAATCAGAAGTGTTATCACAGATGAAGCAATTGCCAGTTTTCAGAAAAGTCATATGGTGTTCTGATTCAAAAGAAGGCACTAGTTTTAAGAGGGCTCTTAATTTGATGCATTTACGTGTACAAGAAGCACAGCCATATACACCCTGTACATACTCAGTTGATATTGATTTTGATAATGATATGATAATAATATTGATACATTTCCTTCATTAAAGGTGCTTGAACCAGTGCACTTACTGCAAAACTAAGCATGCACGAGGTGATCTGGGCAGTTATCCTCCTGAAGAGATTGTTGAAAGGGCCAAGCAAGCCTTTGAAGGTGAAAGAAAGTCTGCCATATCATTTTTGTACATAGTGTTCTATATCATAATTGTACATACCTACATATAAAATCAAAAATACTTGGTTTGTAAGTCTTGCATAGGACAGTCTGAAATACACAAAAAGAGTTTGCTTTAACGTGAGTTTAGAATTTTCATTCAATTTCTGAATATTAAATTTGCGTTGCAAATCACCTCAAATTTGCTTCCTTCAGAGGGAGTTGTAGAACTTTGGTTGACCAGTGAAGACACAGGAGCTTATGGCAAAGATATTGGAGTGACATTACCTGAGTTGCTATGGCAACTTGTAGAGGTAATTCCAGAAGGGGCTATGTTGAGGATTGGAATGACAAATCCACCCTATATTCTGGAACACTTGGAGGTAAATGCAGTATGACTTGTTAGTCTAGGTGCATGTAGCCAACATGAAGGTGGTCAGCCAACCTTCCCCACCCACCCCTTCAAGCAATTTCTTCAGGTTACTGGGTCTGTATAATCCAGACTGGACAGGGACAGTTTCAAGGTAAACTTTTTTACTCAGAACTAAATACTAATTACAGTTACCCATCCAAAGCTGAAACACAAGTGTGTTTCCTGAGTTCAGGAAACAGAACCACTACACCATGTTACAGTTTGTACAGTTGAGAAAAAATGCATGTACCATTGTTTGTGTCATTTTTTGCAGTTGAGAAAATCATACTGTTGTTGGTGACATTCATAAGCTCATGCATGTGTATGCAGTTTTTTGTCACTCCTTATGTCCAGTGATTGATGACACAGTTTAACAATATTTTTTCTCCTTCTTCTCAGGAAATGGCAAAGATATTGAACCATCCCCGTGTTTACAGTTTTCTGCATGTTCCTGTCCAGAGTGCATCAGACAATGTTCTCAGTGACATGAAGAGAGAGTATTGTGCTGATGATTTTCGTCATGTTGTCGATTTCTTAAGAGAAAAGTAAGTCCACATTATGAATATAATTAAGAAACCCTGTTTCTATAGGCAAACCTTTTTTGTAAAGTAAGAGTTACACATGCATGCATTCTCTGACAAGTTTTTATTTGGCCATTCATCTGCAGTCTAGTCTGTGTGGGAGATATGCTAGGATTTCCTCTTAAACTGCAGTAGTTCTTTAGTATTATTTTGAAAAGGATCTATTAATTTTCTCTAGGATAACTTTTTAAATTATAAGGCACACTCTGGTTAGGTTTGTGATGAGGATTTACTAGTTCCCTTGTGCCCTAAATTTAAGAAGTCTTTACACATTTGGTTCCAGTGATTAAGAAAAATTGCCATGGAATTCCTTTTTTGTCATCTAGATGAGATGATACATCCTAGGGGTTTCCTTATATATGCATTGGTTAATGATATAGAAAGATAAAAAGAGTGGGCAAAGCATCACTTTGTTTTGAGCAAAGTATCACCATCATACCATATGTATCAAGTTTTTAAGGGAACCTTTATCTATCTCAAGAGTGCTGTAAAAGGGTGAAGGAATTTTACACCAAGTCTGATTTTTTTTAAAAAAAAGAAAGATCCAATTGATCAAATGATTGCTACCAATAATGGAGAAACAGTTTATGTGGCATACAACTGAATTTAAACTGAATGTAAGTGACAATTTTGTAGGACAACATTTCTGTCATGAGATTACCAAGGAAACTGGTCTAGGAAAATGAAGAGAGATCGCAAATTCTACAAAATCCCTTCTCAAGCTTCGCATTGAAGCTATTGAAAATGACCAAAAACATGATTTTGCTGGAATAACAAAGAAAGAAATGTTGTCGTTGAATAATTTTTTTTTCATAATTTTGAAACCAACTTCTTAATCATAAGTCAAGGGAAATTTCAAAAACGAAAATCTGGATTTTTTTATGTTGTTAGCTCAAAAGAGTGTGAGCTCAGAGTTAAAGCTTTTGAATCCAATCTTCAGGGTACCAGGGGTAACCATAGCAACAGACGTGATCTGTGGCTTTCCTACAGAGACTTGGGAGGACTTTCAGGAGACTGTGGCTCTAGTTGATCAATACAAGTTCCCCAGTCTGTTTATTAATCAGTTTTATCCTCGCCCTGGGACACCTGCTGCAAGGATGAAAAGACTACCTACAGAAGAGGTACAGTGCAATGACTTCTGCTCCCAGCAGCGGCCAGGGATTTTCTTTCATGCTAATTTGGTATTGAATTTTAAAATGTACAGGTTAAGAAGAGAACAAGAGAAATATCCAAAGTCTTCCACAGCTACCATCCGTATGATCACAAGGTTGGCATGTCTTAAGCGTTGACCCTTTTGCTGCTTCTTTTTTTTTTGTTTGTTTGTTTCGTTATCTTGTTTATGTTTGTTTGTTTGTTTTTTTTTGGTTTGTTTTATGTGGTATAGTAAAGAGCCTGATGCAGTGGTTTTTATTGTATTCTTTTGTTTTTGTTAAGGTGGGTGAGCATCAAACAGTCCTGATAACAGAAGACGCAAAGGATCAAGCTCACTTTGTCGGTCACAACAAATATTATGATCAGGTAAGTGTTACTCATTACCTAGTCTCTCGGGTTGGCCAACTAAGTTACTGGTCAAACGGGTCTTTTCCTTACCTCAAAGACTTTCCTCCTAGCGTGTATTGTAAACGTTAGCCCTTGATGCCTTTGATGTCATCACCTTTCCTTGCATGTGATGTTTGCTGCTTATGGCTTGTAACTCTTCAATCCTTTGTCAATTGTGTCGTGGTAACTCTTCATCGTTGCTACTCGTGTCATCTTCGGCTCTCTTAGGTTGTCGATTTTTTGTTACTGGTGGTTTTCTGAGAGGCTGAACTTTTCAGATGCCCTTAAAGTGTATTGTCGATTAATCACACTGTTTCGCTTTTTTTTCCTGAAAACTGAAACTTAACCACTTCTTGCTCTTATTTTAGGTACTTATTCACAAAAGTGAGGGTGATCTCATGGGTAAAATGGTACAAGTAGAAATCACATCTGCAGGAGAGCACTTTCAAATGGCACGTGTCCTACGCCATACCGAAGTTCATTCACCTGGTCTGGTCGAGCCGTTACCAAAAGGTGCTGTCAGCGGTGTTCGCACTACGCTCACGCCCGAAAGAGTCGTTCAAGGTCAAGCAAGTCGTTGGCAGCAATGGCAAAGAGCTGCAGTGGTTGTACTTCTTGCAGTTGTTGTAGCGGATGTTTTGAGAATTTTGTATTTATGGACCAGTCAGTGAAATTGTGATGAAATAGACAATTTAAAAGAAAAATGGGGAAAAAATTCAAAACAAAAAAGTCACAACCTTTTTTCCAAGGTTCACTATTTATATCGACAAAATAGCCGTTGCCTACTCAAAAATGATGAAAAGGATCACTAAATGTAGATTATTTCTGCCTTTGCGAATCACCGAGGCGGTTGATGCATGTGGTTGGAAAAAAGCTAATAAGTTAATTCCTTGATCAATTGCGTATACGAGTAGAAAACTTGTCCTCAGGAAATTATTCTGATTTACCAACTTCCTAACTCTGATGTTGGACAATAAAAAAAACAGTGAGTAAAAGCAATATGTTTTGTGTTTCAAGCGAGTTCTATAAGGATTATTAATGAACCAACGCCCTGTTTCAGTCCTGGTGAAATGTCGCCATCTCTCATAACCATAATTCGATATATACACCTGTGGTTACTCAGTTCCCTTTTCTAATCGTTGCACATATATTTCAACTCTCATACAAGGATGAACCCGGTGCGTGACAGGATAAAACCGAAAAAATCTTGCTCGAGTTGGGCTGCGAATCAAATGTTGGACAACGCTGGTTCTATCCGTGTTTGCTCCAAATATCTACGGAAAAAGAAAAGTACAGTTTCAACAGTAGCTACCGTTGTTTTCAAACTGATCTTACGAGGAAATAAGTCGTAATTTTTTTAAAAGAAGTTACGAATATTCGCTTAATCATAGAAGCACTAAAATTTTATTAAATCGTCAATTCAATAAACACCCTAGGAGAAAAATCACAGGTTGAAAAGGAAAAACTTGACCTGATTTTCTTTCTGAACTTCACTTTTCTACCGTGACCGAGTAAAATACGCTAACGGAAGAGTAAGATATTTCTCTTTCAGATCAGTAAGGTGATTCTTTTTTCCTCCCGTGTTTTCGACAAGTATCAATTACAGGTGGTGCAGGGGGTTTGTACTTCGTACTGAGTTCTTTCATTTTCTGTAATCGTAAAATCAGTTAAATGTTTCTTCTTTACCTTCATTTGATTCAACTCTGTGTACACCATCCAGTTTACCCCATCAATGGAGAAATACAGTTTGTAGCTTGTGACATATGATCCGGTGAGTTTCCCTTGCGTTGCCACAGCACATACGGAGTGGACCTCTCCCATGTCGATTTGAAGGTGGTCTCCTCTGTCAATTTTGGTCCTAGCACACCATCCTCCGCGGCCTCTTGATCCATTCAGACGTCCATAAAAGGCAAAGTACTCAAGATAGTGTGAGCTTGATGACATCTTAGCGTCAGGTATCTTATTTATGTCAGCCACTCCCACTGGTCTACAAGTCAGGACTGAGAATACAGTTAAGGTTTTAAGTCAGCAAATCGTAAGAGAGACGATTATGCCCTTAACAAGAGCACATATTAAAACTTGCATAGAAATCAAACATTTCTGTCTTCTTTCAAATTATGGAGTGGGAGGTACGGAGAAAATTAACTGATCTCGCGGGTAGGTGGAATGAGCAGCGAGCCGGCAGAAACAAAAATATTGGAACGAGGCTCGACTGAATTCCCATTAGAGAGAAAGTTTCCTACGATAAGGAAAGTTAAATTAGAAAATATCATTAGCTAAGAGGCCTAACACAGCATACCTGAAAGCTGTACGGAAGTGGAAGTTGTAAATATACCAGCTGAAGACGCCACACAAATATATTTACCAGCATCCTGAGATTTCACTTCCCAAAGTTTAAGTGTTCCATTGATGCTAACATTCGATCTTCCAAGTGGTAATGCACCGTTTTCCTTCAGCCAGGATACTTTGGGTTTTGGCTCACCCCTAGCTTCACAGCGTAAGCTAACAGTTTGACCATGATTTACCGAAAGCTGTGGAGGTGGTCTGACAGTGATTACTGGATCGTCAACTACGACAAGATGCGTTATGGCCACAGCGACTCCAATCTTGTTAGTAGCCCTGCACTGATAAAATCCCGAATCTTCCTTATGAGCGTTAACGATCGACAGTTGTCCGTCACTGATGTCTCTCATTCGTGGATGTAAGTCAGGGACTGATATCTTTGTCCAAACAATCTTTGCAGCTGGAAAACTGGCAACAGCACACTTCGGAAGCATGATTGTGTTACCAACTGCCACATAGAAAGGGCCCGGCTTGAGGGAAATTTTCGGCGAGGCTGATTTAATAAAATAAATTTATAAATCAAAATTTCTACAAATATTATGTTTTCATTAAGAAATGTGCAGCTTTTCAAGGAACGCCGAATTTTTTGCGAATATGCACGCAACCGCCAACGAATGATAGACAGGACTGCACGCCAAACTTTGAGGGAAATTTTCGGCGAGACTGATTTAATAAAATAAATTTAGAAATCAAAATTTCTACAAATATCATATTTTCATTAAGAAATGTGCAGCTTTTCAAGGAACGCCGAATTTTTTGCGAATATGTACGCAACCGCCAGCGAATGATAGACAAGACTACACGCCAAACAATGTTAAAGAAAAACCTGTGGCAATTTCCCACGAGTATCTTTTATCCTTGTTTGGGAATAAGATGTGTAAGTGCACTATGTGGCATGGTAACCCTTAAACTCCTAAGATTGAAAAGCATCTAAAATCTCTCAAAGTACTAAGGTCTTGTGAATAAAGCTCTTGATTGTTGGACTAATGCTCCTTGAAAGGACCACAGGAATTGTAGGGAGAACAGCATCGAGGAAATGCACACTGATGTTAGGTTATTTGACAATTATTTGCCGAAAGCGAAGCCAGTTGAATAATCCCCTCGACTTCGTCTTAGGGATTATTCAACAATATTCACTGCGCCTGAGGCGAATGATTGTTTTAGTATAATTGCTTAGGTGCTTATGATTTCTGTTGTAAATATTCGTTTTGACGTTGAAACCATTCTGTTTCAACTGTTTTTATTACACTTCAGCGAGATGAGCAGCGACTTTCCACTAGAATTTTATAGGTTGATTTAATTCAATTGGCAAAAACTTCATGTCTTTCTTTTGAAAAATGTTACTACAGCATCTTGCGTGCTCTTCATAATCGAATTTTCTTTTACCGCGTTCATCACTTCCTCTGTAATACTGACAAAACGCGAGGCAGCAATATTTTAACTTAACGCTCTTGCTGTAATCACTTCGCGCAAGGTGATTATAGCGAGCGGACAGAGCGCACGCATCTGTATAATCACAGGAGAAATTATACTAAAAAGGGTTAAAGGCTTAAAAGGGAGTAATGTTTGCTTCCTCAAGCCACTGCAATTACATTAAAGTAACTCTCACTTACTTTGAACCACCACTTGGGTGGTCTTTTCATCATTTCCAAGAACATTGTTTCCTACACACTTGTATGTGCCGGTGTCTTCTGCGCGCACATCATGTATCTGCATCACTCCGTCAGCGGTTGTCTTGATCCTGTTGCTAGGTAACGATCCCGTCGTCTTTGACCAAGATAGCTGAGGTTTGGGATTTCCTGAGGCGGAACAGGTAAGCGAGACAGTGTCGAATTCATTGACTGTTATTTGTGAAGAAGAAATTATCACTTTAGGGGCGGAAATAGATTCTCCTGGTTCGCCTTTATTCCCTGGGATACCCGGCGTCCCGATGTCTCCTTTGATGCCTTTTTCTCCTCGTATTCCTGGTGGTCCATGCTTACCAACTCTACCAGGCTGCCCCATCATTCCTTGTAATCCCCTTTTGCCCACTCTTCCTCGGTTGCCCTTGTCACCCTTGGGTCCAGCTCTCCCTGGTGGTCCCCGTGGCCCTGCTGGGCAAACGTTTCGGCGTTTTCCATTTCTTTCGCAAATCTTCATACGTAAAGTCACGATGTTCTTTAAAAGTTCCTTCATATCAGTCGTCTCATTGCTTGATAAAGCAATCTGACCAGCACTTCTTGGGAATCTTTGATGTAAAAAGCCTGCGTCTTTCCGAAAATCTGCAACTCAAATATTGTTATGATTAGGAAATTATGAATTCTGGCGTCCAATAAAGCCGGGGGAAAGTCATCGTGAAATTTGTGAGAAATTAATTTCAAAGATTTCTAAGAGTCAGATGAGAAAAATAGATGCTCAGTTAAAAATGAAAAGGTGATCTAAAATTTTGCCGCGAGCTAGGGAACCAAAGAAAAATTATCTGTTTTTGGACGTGGTTCACTTGTACATTGAAATAAAATACATATTTTGTCTACTTCCACTGGAATCGTAACTGTATCGCACTTATTTTAAGTGCAAAAGTGTAATCAGGTACTGCGAGGTTCAGACAAGTGTGAGAATAACAGCCTCTGTATGTATCGAATTCTTTGAAAACGCAAACTTCATTATGTCCATTATCTTTGGCTCAAAGAGCTCAAGTTTGTCTCGATATTAATGTTCAAAACATTTTCCCGTCTCTCACATCAGAACTTATCCATCTTAACCGTAAGAAATGAAACGTGAGCGTGGAGTAACGAGCATGATCTTTGCGAAATTTTTATAAAGCCCTCAGTCTTCGTGAATATAATCCCATCAATGTTTGTTATTATTTTACCATGTTTCCCCCCACGTTGGTCGTTAACGACATAAGCCAACAACACAGATTCAACCATTTTACATGTTCAAGCATGACAGACCTTATCTAAAAATACATGGTAGCTCTTTACCTTTGTTCGAATTCAAGTTCTCCTTTGCCCTCTCATATTTCATCATAGCGACGACTTCCTCGACAGCTTCCAACCTCCGATCGTAAACATCAAACTTCAGCTCGATTCTAACGAATCCCGCGGAATAAAGAACTAAACAGAAAAAAGAAATCAATGTGCCTGAGCTAAGAGAAGAAGCAGTATCCTTAAGAGACATTTTGAACGCGACTGAAAGTCGAGAAGAGTGACCCGATAGAATTAGGAATGTGCTACTGAAACGTCATAAGGTCACGAATTTAAGTGAAACTCGACGCTGTTTTTCTTGAGCTGAGGCACAGAACATATTTGTTCACAGATCGAAACTTCTAGACTAGCTTGAACAAACACCAGACACGAGGATGGGCGAAGGGTGGAATAAGAAGACTAGTCTCTTTTGGCCATCTTTTGTGTTTCCTCATTAAAATGAGCTATATAGTTCCACAGAGACAATTATTGGTGATAGCCTCGTTATAGGCTCTCGTGCGGTGGGCCAGAAAAGCAGATTCAATTTCCTGGTATTTTTTTTTGATCTAGTCATTATCTGTCAACCCTTTTCGTCGGCTACCTTACGCTGGAAAAAAATTTAATGCGTTCTTATAGAGGTGATTCTCTTAGTGATAATCAGCACTGGTATCGCGCGTACACAACGGAATGTAATGCGCATTTCACCGCCCCTTCTGCCTTGCTTTTCCCCCTTTAGGCCAGCGGATCATAAAAGTAGTTCAAAGTCGCCAATCAGTAATTATATTATTGCAACGGATAAATAACCAAAAGAATGGCTGACACAAATTTCTTTCTCAGTTACTTCCTATTAGTCCGCAAAACCTGTATTCTTTCCAAGCGGATTCTCACAGTGGTTACTTTCGGCAGAGACACTGTGATGATGTGTGGTGGAAAGAATTCATCTGCCTTAATCCAAACTCGTCATGATCACCACGGTGAGCTTGAAATTCTCTAAGTTTTTAGTGGGATCAAAGACGAGGACCTCTATGTTTGAATCCAAGAATTTAAGAACAAGGGCTCGACAGCAAGAGGATATATGCTCGACCACTTAAACTAGTTTGCCAACGCAAAGGCGAGGACGTATGGGTTTGTACCTAAAAATGTTAGAGTAAGGGATCGAAAATTAAGATGATATCTCCTTGTTTAGATAAGATGACATATATTTATCAATGTACTAGGAGTAGACGACCCTAAGCAACCCTATCCCTAAGCAATTACTGGATATGCTCGACAACTCTAAGTAGTCTTCCCACGCAAAGACGAAGACCTTCGTGTTGGTATCCAAGAATCAAAGAAAAATTCATTAAATGTTTTTTTTTTTTTTTTTTTTTTTTTTACAAGATAAAAGCCAGGATATCTCTTTAGTGCTATTGTTGGAGTCGACCAACGCACACGTTCAACCACTCGAACTATTCTGCCAACGCAAAGACGAAAACTTTTATATGTGATTGGACCCAAGAATTAGAGAATAAGAGACTGAAAATAAAGATTATATCTCTTTGGTTAAAATAAGTTAGGATTATATCTCTCTAGCTCTGTCAGTGGGAGTCGAAAATCCGATACACTCGATCAACCGATCCAGTTTGCCAAAGCAAAAACAAATACCTTTTTGTTGGGATCCAAGAATCTAAAATAAAGAATGAAAATGTAGAAGACATTTTTTTTTCATCATTTCTTTTATTAGTGAGATGAGAGGATATCTCTATGGTTCCACTGGTAGGGATCAACCAACGGATACGTTTGATCACTCGAAGAAGTCTGCCAACGCAAAGACGAAGACCTATGTGTTTAGAACAAAGAATTTAAGAATGAGGGATTGAAAATTAAGAAGATGTCTCCTTGATTTAGATAGGTCAAGATGAAATCTTCTTTAGCTCTATTAGTAGGAGTCGACAAACGGATACACTCGACCACTAGAGAAAGCCTTCCAACGTAGACGTACAAGTATTTCCGGTCGTCCCGGTGATAACCGGAAGTACGTCTGCGTCTGTGAGCTACATGCACTCATTCCGTAACTTTTCACTTTTGAACAACCTGTTGCCTCTTCACGCATTAATTTAGTTGGTAAGTAGTCTATTTTAGTCGATAATTTAACAACGTTGTGTCCAAAAGCAAACTCGTCTTATTTTATTGTTTGTTGTAGAAAGATTGTTAATATTCCATAAAGTAACGACAGGAAACTTATCAACATCACCCATGAAAGAAGTAGCTTTTTAAGGCTTATTTGCCACCCGTATTGTGTACATTTTTGTCCAGTGGCCCCTTGCAGCTCTCCTCCCGTACTTGTTATTTTATGATGCGAGTAAATAAGTGTTTTATTTTAAAATTAAGAACTGCGGATATCTCCGGCCGGATTTAAACACCATTCCTGTTTAAACAGGACTGACTCCTCAAGTGGCTCAAAGGTAAAATATTAGGTTAGGATAGATTTAACACTGAAAGTAGAAGCCCATTTCTTTCAATTGGCTAATACTCCATAAACGGGGAAGATTCGAGATTACACAACCTCAACAGGTAAAGAAAACCTAACACAGACAATGACACTAAACACCTGTTGAATCCTCTTTTCGCTCCTTTCTTTGTTTTCTATTTTTTTTTGAAGAGAAACTCATTCAAAGGAAAGTCCCGAAGGATATCTTCAAAAGCGATTTATACGCTCGATCCCCCTGGTTATAATTAGCGAGAGATCACCGAGAGAAACAAATACGTGTCGTAGGCAGGAACACTGATGAGTATCTGTTGTTCGTGTGAAGCCTCTGATATTATTGGAGAAATTGATCAAATTGTGAAATCTTAGTCGCGTTCTTCGAGCAGACGCTATTAAAATCTTTAATCTCTACATTTCCTGAAATGTGAAAATGATCTTAAGAGGTCATCCACTTATAACTAGAAACGTAATTGAAAACTATGAATATTCCAATGAATATCGGCGAGTTATTTGTATAAGAATATTTGGTTTTCACTCTTCAGTTAGTTGCAGATCCATATAAAACAAATAGCAGTCCTGCATTCAACATCTAAAATGACTGCCTTCTAATTTCTTCTTCTAGTATCAGCCTTGATCACGAGAATAAGAGAATGAGGCTAATGATCACCAATTACAGAAGCTCCTGATTGCCCATTAAATTCTCCTTGTCAGTACCATAGGAATTAGTATAGTGAACAGTATAGAGAATATGCATACTGATGTGAGGGTGTAAAGGGTTAATCATCAGTTCGCGTAGGTTTGAGAATTTAAAAATGACTTTGAGGAATCAGAAAATCAAGTTCATTGATGGCTGTAGGGCTTCTGAACCTTCATCTCTATGATGAGGCTCACTCTTGATAAAGTACAGTAGCAAAAGTTTGGAGACGTTCAAGTTTTTTTTTTTTGTTCCTTCCTGTCTGCTTTGATAATCATCTTCCCCTTTAACCTACTAGGTTTTCTTTTCCTAATTGTCTGGCTAAAGTTCAACAGTTCCACATTTTCCTTTTTTTTTTCCGGAAAGAGGAAGGGTAAAGGGAGTGATACTAAATCGGGTGATAATTTATAAAATTAAAGTTCTTCGTCATGGATCATTATTTCATTTAACATCCTCGACACTTTAGCCTCTGATTGCACAACCTAGGCTGGGTTTTTCTACCCTCCAATACCCTTGCCCTTTATGAGTCTGTGCATTACTGTTCACCAGCTCATGGTAGTTTGGATGGTATTCGATACATTGATTGATCCAAATATAGGTAGACTGGCTCTTGACTAACAGGTACAACGAGACCCCCCCAGAAGCAAAACCATGAGTCATTTTCCTTGAATACGGGGGCGAAAGGAAAAGTAGATTTAAAAGGCACCGAAATAACCTTTACCACTCACAATCAATTAAGCCTCAAGTAGAATTACAATTATAGTGCTAGGATCAGATTATTTGTAACTCTTTCTAAACAGAGTTAGATTTATCTTGTATCGCGATATAAAGCTGACGCTGTAAAAATTTAAGAATATCACTTTAATCACTGGTTACGCAGACTGTAATCTACACAGTAAACGTGCGCGTGAGTGAGTTCACGCGCAAATATTCACGCGCAAGCTGTGCACGTTAAATATCATGATTCTATTTCACTATGACGTGAACACTGATGAAAAGTTTTGACCACATAGCAACGCTGATTAACACGGCCATGACCTTTCTATAAGTGCTTAATGGAATCCCAAAGCGTATTAAAAGCTATCTTTAGCGTATTTGAGACAACCGTATTTCTGTTCAAGGAGTGGCAAGGTGTTAGTCAAGCCTAGGAAGAGAAATGAAGGTGTTCTCAGGCAAAGAAATCGTTTGCGTCTTTCTGCTCGTCGCTCTTGCTGCTTCGTCGATATCAGCAAGAAATATCAAGAAAGGTAAACCACAGATAAATGAACCAAAGAAAAAGACACCAGTTGTAAAGGACGCGCACCCAAAGCACAAGGATCATAAGGGGCGTAAAGAAAACAGTAAAACAAGACTAAAACAAAAGATGCGTGCCGATGGTGAGTACTTAATCATTCATAGATGCTCGGGGGATTTTCCATTTTTGCTGTCACACGGAATTGATTGATCTTTAAATGTGCGTAGGATCCTCCACCGAACAAAGCTTTTCTAGTAGAGTTTATTTAATACATGATTTGAAGATAGCCGTTTTATTAAATTTTGTCAGTTTTTCCTTTCTCCTTTCTTTGCGTTCAACGCAATCATTTATTTTCCTCATAAAATGTTTTTAACTCTTTTTGTGAATTATGTGTACCTGGAAGCCGTTCCACATGACAAGTTGACTAAAGGCGTCTCCGGTTTCATTACTCTAAATAAGCAGAAAATACCCTATTTTTGATCGCTACGCTCAGCTTTCATCGTAATATTTAAAATAGTAACTTTAAGTAGCCAGAAGCTGTCATCAAAATATATACTGGAAAAGCAACTTGGGTGATTGTCAATAAATTTCTTTTCTAGTAACGAGGTCTTACCTCCACTCACATCTCGAAGTAGCTTTTTAGGTGGTAAAGAAATAAATCTTACTCTTTAAACAATAGAATGAAATCTACGTGGTTTCAGTAGTGGGGTATCTTCTCTAAAAGATTAACCAGTGGGAACAATAAGCTCCCTGTTTTATCAAGTTAAAAAACGAAAGAAGAAAGGATGATTGAGGACTAAACATAATGGAATTATTGATTTTTTTAAACGAATCCAGGAACCTCTGTGATCATTTTCTAACGTATAACTTAACTCTGTAGCGAAAAAAATGGGGTTGCCGTGAAAACGGTTTGCGTGATGCAGTTTGTGGTATCACATCGAACCACTGTTGTGGGAGGCAATGCATTGATAGACCATCAGAAACCGGAGGTCTTAAAAACGCTAAAGTGGCCTATTTGCTAACGTTTCCCTCTAAATTTAACCAATTTCTTATTATTATTATTATTTAAGGGCTCACGCACGCCCCATGCTTTTTTTGGTTTGTTTTTTTTCTAATTTGTACGTTTGAATTTCTATTTATCCAATTATCTCGTCAAGAGGGGTGCACGGTAGATATTCTCCTGTGCGTGCACTGATCGTAAGTAAGCCCTATCTTCAAGGAATGATACAGGTATGGGTCAAACTTTGTAATTTCGAGTTCTGCCCAACAACAGTGCAAAATACGATGCCATAGGACAAAAACTGAAGAAAACTTTATGTTCCAAATCATCACAATCATAATGCAGCTGGATTGTCAAGCTGATAATTTTCCAATCAGTAAAGAGCTTTTACACCCATATCACGGTTTCCACAAAAGTCCCGACTACAGTAGCTAGACCATTAACAATAAAAAGAACCTTTTTCTCTCGGTTGATTCGAAAAGATGACCCGGAACAATATACTACAGTATTTCTTGATGAGATGGTTTATTTTGGTAAAGTATTATGATGAAAATAGCCACATTTTAAAGGAACTTAATGCTTGACCCTTTAACTCCCAGATCATATTTGGAATTCTCCTTACTGTCTACAATACAATTCTTATAATGTTAGTTGGGAGAATTTAGTATTTGGTTGACCTTTTATACACCTTTCCAAAGGTGTGAAAATGTCTGCTTTCTGTTTCGTTACCTTACTGGTGAATACATCATATCAGAAATTGCAGGGAACACGAATCGATCCTTTTCTTTCTGTTATGTACTGTAAATTAGTCGCCCATGGCATTTTTTTTTATTTCTCTACCAACAATACCAGTTCAAACTGAGACTCTTTGCTAAATCTAGCTCTCAATCTCCAGAAACCAGATATTTATTTCACCACGTGACCAGCCCCAATCAAACAAAGTTTACAGGATACTTTTTGGACCCTAAGATAATACAGTTTAAAACACGTGATAACAAAATACATTTGAGAAAAAAAGAAACGTTCATCCGAGTTATGTACATCTGTAGAATATTTTTGTCAGGGCGATATTTAGTCATAAAAATCAAAGAAAGTATTTCAATTAAAACGTATACAAATAACTCCCACACAGATTTGGTCAGTGTTTCATTGTTTAGCTGCTTAATTTTGCTGTAGTGACGCCATGTAGTGACGCCATTAAAAGAAGATAATCACCAAACATACAAAGACCAGTACTAAACAAAAGGCACTATAGTAGGCAAAGCAAATGTTCGCTTACCGATTGAGTAATTAGCAAATCAACGATAAATTCCTTCGTAGTCATTGTTGCTAACATATTCATCTAGGAAGGAGTGCAGGGCTCTCGCAGTCCGAACTTTACTGTATAAGTTGTTCTCTCAACATTAAGGCCACCCAAAACTCGTACCATAGTAAATCAGACGTGTTGTCCACACAAAAGATTCCATTGCCTATAAACATAGCAACATGTCTCAGGCCAAGTACGTCAAAAAAATTGATTCGGGAGACGGCGTTCGTATTGAACGTAATGGTGGTGGCCTTGAAAATAGTAAAATTTCGTTTGAAAGAAGACGTTCAAGACAAGAAAAGGTCCTGTTGGCCATGTTTCTGGTCGTTTTGGTAGTTGCGATCGTTTTTGTCGTTCTGTATGCTTGGCAAGTTACCAGGAAGAACACCGAAGAGGATCACGAAACGTTGTCTGTAACAAAAAAGGGACCTGCAACAACGAAGAACCCTTTAACAACGAAGAATCCTTCAGCACCATCTACAGCAGCATCAGTCTGCTCTTCCCCAGACTGTGTAGTGACTGCTTCAGGTACGCAGTTTAAGATGAGTTAAAACTACCTTTCAGTTTTTTTTTTTCAGAGACACCTGCTAAAATGTATTACAGTTATGATGTACCTATTGTGTGGCCACTTGTTCTTTACAGCACGCCGAAAAAATGAACTCCAGAAGCCCTGCACGCTACCGTTTCGCCTAAGGTGCTCCGTGCATGTCACATTCCAAAAAGAATTCATTAATATAGCTTCATTCAGTTCGTCAGTTATGAAGCTATCACGTGTGAGACAGATAAGTGGGTACTAAAATTTTTCAGTGGTAAAGTTGAAACAAATCTTTCTTTAATTATCTTTCATTATTGAAATTTAAGCTGGTAAATATCCGCCTTTGTTGCATTGTTTTTGCACTTTTTAAGTAACAAGGTCATTCAGCTATTAAAGTTAAATTAGTCCTCATTATTTGGCAAATTGCTCAAAATAATTCCAAATCACAAGCCAGCATCGATTTAAGTTGTCGAACCGAACAGATGTTCAGTCCTAGGTAGTTCTATTAGTATGCATGGATGTTATTCAAATATAACTTTTAATTTGAAAAATATGCGCCGGTTCTATGCAAGTGATGGTTTATGCGAGGTAGCGTAATTTTTTTCGTCGTTTGAGAAGGCTGAAAGAACAGCTGAGATATCACTCAGCCCCCCACTTTTTTGTTAAAAGCTGGATTTCTTCGTGACACGTAAAGACTGCATTAATACTATTGTTCAAATTCAGTTTCGATCATATAATCTTTTTTTAACACCTTCTTGTTTGCAAAAGTGTACAAGAAGTATTTTTCATGGTTGTCATCGAGTGCAATGTTTTCGATAACAGATCGGGTCTTTAAACAAAATGTGTCACTCATGATCAACCTTACACTGACTTTTTTTTCAGTGAAGCCCACTTCGGCCCACGTTTAAGTGTTATCTGAAGAAATGTCGAATAATTTTTGGTCCGTCTTACCACTGTTGGCATAGATTTTCTTAAACAAAATTACAGTGTCCATTTGCCTTTACAATGTAAGTTACCGTTGAAATTTATTAATGCACGAAGTTTTCACTGTTCAGTGCGTATTTCCGTTATGCAGGCGCGGTCGCAGATGGGCTAGACGTTACAATTACATGAAGTAGTAACTTCATATACACACTAAGAAATTAGTCAAGAAATGTCAGGAGCAAAATACCTGAAAGTCTCGGACTCTATTGAGGCGATACACGTTCCAGAAGATCTTGAAAGTAACGAGACAGTAACATTTGTGAAGAAACGATGGCCTGGAAAACAGTGCCTTGTTTGTGCAGTTTTCATGATTGTCTTGGTTCTGGCAATAGTATTCTTAGCTTTGTTCGTTCATCAGCTCTTTAAAAGCAAATCTCCTAGTAATCTAGACAAAGAGGGAACAAGAAAATCAGGGACAAACTGTCTCTCCTCGGACTGTGTTCTCGCTGCAGCAAGTAAGTTCATTCGACAGTTCTTTGATAATTTTTTTTATCATTATTTATGAGCAGATGTTTTGTGACCGGAATGACAGCCTGAGGGAAAAGAAGAATCTCGTTGTTTCGGTTCGATTCGTTTGCGTTAAGATATCTTTACTATACAGCATGGCTCGCACAAAGTTGTAGTTCTTTTTGTAAAGAGCTTGGGACAAATAGAAAATCTAAGTCCTCCAAGTGAGAGAAAACCCAAGCCTTGTTTGAATTTCACGCTCCGAAGCACTAGTACTGCCTGAGGGCTGCATTCAACTCGATGTTAAGCTTACAATCGGTTTTATACGTGCTGCATGCTGCCAGGATAAACAAAGCTCTATTTTCCCTATTTTAAAGAGGGAAAGCGAAGCGATGAGAGAGCATTTAGCCGAGATAAAAGCCGAATTAAAGTCACAAATTTTGCGTATTTCAGTGCCTTACTGCTGTTATTTGCCTCATTGCTGTCATTATTTTAATTGAGTGCTCGCTTCACCTCTTTAAAATTTCAAGCTTCGCCGACAGGCCATGGAAAATTTACGTAGTTCGCAACTATTTGGAGGGTATACAGTTCTTTAAATCACCTCCGAAGGTTTTAAGATTTTGTAAAAGTTCTCTGTGCTATATACGTCCCTTTATACGTCCTTGAACTTTCTGGAAATGCACAGAATATCTTTTTCATTGAGCGATTTATAACTGGAATTTTAAATTTTTAAGCTACTTCACTTAAACTGTGTCTCTTAAATTTGTGCGAAAGGATGTTTGTTTTGTCTGTATTTACAAAGTGTAAGTTAGATCAGATTAAAGCTAAGTTTTGGATGACGAGTCGTTTTAAATTTTTTCAAAAATTCCCATTGGCGCGAGAATGTCGTGACAGGTACAGAAGTACAAACGTCAATCACAACTTGTAGCATTCTATCATATTTGCATTCGGGGATGTTTTGAAACAAAAACCAGACTATTATCAGACAGAGAAAAATTGTGAAATAGTCGTTATGGTAGTAAGAATAACAGTGACACTATTATAATTGTTACAGTGTAAAATACCGATCTAAGAAAATTGAATTCACGTCAAAGATACATAAGATTTTAAAGTTAACTTGGAATTAACAGCAAAGGCATTTTTCACGATTAATGTGTAATCGTTGTGAGCTGGAAAGCATGCCGATACAAATTTTCTGAAAGATGCAACTCGACTCATTTTTACCTAGTGATCGTTTTGTCACGCTTTGGTCAAGTAAGGATGTGTTATCTTTCCCAGGTTATATCGGTCACGCGATGGCGTGACAAGCCGAAAACCTAATCAACTTGAATTTCATTTGAACCTGGTACTGTCATCGTCTTCACCACATGCAGTTGTACGAAAGCAAAGTAGTCAGAAAGTCATTTACACTGTTCTATACCAGTCATGTCCACTGTAAAATACACCAGGAAAATTGATTCTCCAGATGCTTTTCGTATCGATCCTGTTATTGGAGTCGACAAAATAACTTTTTCGCGAAAATATTCGCGAAGGGAGAAGGTGTTAATTGCCGCGTTCTTGCTTGCCCTGGCTGCTGCAGTTGTGTTTATGACTCTGTACATACTTCAAGTTTCAAAAAGCAAGGAAGAGGTAGCCCCTTCCACTACTACAGCCTCTGCCTGTCTTGAACCAGCTGACTTTGTTGTTATCGCCTCAGGTTAGTTCTCATTTTGCTGCGTGCTGATCAGTGGTCTTTATGTCAACCTGAACTAACTTTTGCAGATTAAACCAAAGACATCTTGCTTACCTTCTGCCTTATGTTTCAACCGTGATACCTTGTAGCAAAACGAACCGTAATTGTAAAGAAGTTATAGCAGATAGCCTTGAAAACTTAAGAATTCTAACTACGTTGAGAGGCTTGGAGCTTTCGAAGAGCTTACGATGGCACCGCCCCCGGAACGTGAAGCAAAACGAATCAAAATTTGTGTTTTAAAATTCCTAGCATAGAAAACCCGAAAACTTAACTTTCTACTTGCGAGAATTTGGGAGTTGCAAAGCTGAAAGCTATAAACTTACAGCCGTTTTGGCTTTGCGTTAATTTCTGGATCCGTGGTCAGCTCTTCTTTGTTAATAAAGAAGAATGGATAACTGTATGATATGTAAAAGGATGGATCATGTTCTCTAGGCTGTAAGACTAATGCTTATGGCACAATCGTAACCATTCAGCCAGACGCCCTCGTTTCTGTTTTCGTAATTCCAGAATTGTTCGATATGAAACTCTTCTTTTTACTGTTCTAGCGCATGGTTGTGCCGAAAGGTGATGATATTTAGGGAAAACATCTTAAGGATATTTTTGTTTTGACATAAGATAACGCAATATTTACAAGAATAGCCTACAGAGAAAAGTGCGATAATCAGTGTGGAGAAAGAGCGTTTAGATTTTTTGGGTCATAAGGAACTTGTTTACATATATGACTTTTTGCATCATCTGATTTTACCGCACGAAAGCGAAGGAGGAACTCTGGCGTTGACTTTTCAATTTTATTGTCTCGTTTTTTTTATCTGTCTTCATAATGAAATTTATTGGGCGTATCAAGTGCAAACATCCAAGCAGAATATGATCCACTATGTAGCAAAATGTTAACGAACTTATTGAAACAGGTCAATTGACTTGTGTCAAAGTATTTATCACTTTGACAGATCAAATAACAAACATAAGTTTTGTGACCACTAGTTGGTGAGCGAATGAGTCGATTAAGGAAGTCTTCCTTAATACCAACAAGGGAAAATGAGGGAACCCCTTAATTTCTCTTGGTAGACCAGAGAAATTCAGAATTGGCCTAAAGGGTAAAAAAAACGAAAACGAACTACATTATGCAAACGAAAACAAACAAAGAAACCGAAACAAAAACAAAGTATCGTCAACAATTGCTTCGTGGCTCGAATGTGATGGCTTTGCGGACATTTGCGCTGGTTCAGACTCAAAGCGTAAATTTTTCAATTTCTTGTTTTGCAACTTGTGTTAATGGTCTTCGTCGTGAGGCGTCCTGGTTCCCTTTAAGCGGGTTCTCATATCTTTAGTATTTTTCTACGCTGACGATGTGTTATTCTAGCTATGAAATTAACGAAAATTCTCTTCAAGTCGAAGAATAGAGCAAAATGTGGTAAGCAGCTACACTCTTCGAGAGAAGCTGTTCTCCAGTTTACCCTTTAACTTCCTAGATCTGCTCGTCAATTCTCCCATTTAGCTGTTAGACGTTTCCTCGTTAATTAGTTATAAGAATTTGGTGTTTGATCAACTTGTATCTGATAAGTTTGAGTATTTTCATTACCTGTTTCCTGACTTATGTATGGATATCAAGGGAAGAAGTTACTCTTTAATCACCTCTGGGAGTCGAAGGGTGAATGATGTCGACACAGGGTCCGTTTAATTTGGGGTGGCCCATTCGTGTGAACTTTGCGTTAAACTGGTCGTTCTGCGTTTTTCTCTCGTGTGTCGATATGTCTTTACCAATCGAGGGAGGGGTGGGAGGGGTAGATTTTAATGGGTGCCTACCCCCTCCTGCAGTTCTGTCATCCACTACGATCATTGCCGTTCGCAGCTCTTTAATCCTTTAACTCCTAGAAGTGATTAACATGGAACTTCTCCCTATAATATCCATACATTATCCTGCAAACAGGTGGTGAGAAAACTCCAACTCATCAGGTTGAGGTTGTTCTTGATCTAACACTAAATTCTCATAACTGATTTACAAGGAAATATGTAGCAGCTAGGGGGGAGAATTAACAACCAGATCTTGGGAGTTAAAGGGTTAAACTCTCTAAGGCCAAATGAAACTGATGCAAGGGGAGAGAAAAATCAGTTGTTAATTAACAGTGTGAAGTTTCTTTGTTTTATCTTCACGCTTTTAAATCAGAATTGAAGTAGACGTACATTTGTTTCCTTAAGCTCAGTGTTAAAGACTTGTGTGGTGATGTGAATTAGGCTGCTACCTAACACCCTTACAAACAAGTCGATGCAAATTAACCAACAAGCTAAGCAATGAAATGAACAGAGAGGATAACACCGTGAAATTTTTTATTACGACACCAATATGTTTTCATTTGCATTTTCTTTCACAGACCACTAGGTGTAAAACTTTTGTAGAACAATAATCAATGACATAAATTTTTATTGTTACCACTCAGTTGGCACCGTTGGAAGTGGTTTACTGAGAAAGTGAGTTCTCTACATAAATTTATTTATATTCAGCTTACACACAAGCGTTTACTTTAATTTACGTTAGTTATCGCTTAGGAGCAGGTGTGCAGATTTAAAAGGGGCGATTTCTTTCTTCTGGAGTTGATTCTATCAATTTCAAGAAACTGACTAAAAATAATCGAAAGGTAAAAAGGTGAAGAAATCAGTTCATGTGAGAAGGCTATCGAAAGATCCCGTCATAAGATATGAAAACTCCATAAATCGGCTAAAGTTGTTCACCGTTTAGTAATCACCTGGACTATTATACACTTTCCTATGGGAAACATCGTGCAAAAGAAAGAGGATTAATTGATCTTCCCCTTGGAAGCCACCACAGGCATTATGGAGCTTTTCAAATATCCGCAAGGTGTTCTTTTGTATTGCATGGCACAGAATTGCTTTTAATTACTTTTCTCTTTATGTCTTGAAAGCAGAAAATATCGCTGGCCCTTGTTGAATGCAAAGGTGTAAAGCGCGCAGAATGCAATTTCCGTGGTTAGATTTAGATTAAGTTCGGAATGCAAACTGGTTTTAAACGCTGGTAACAAAGATTTCTACTATGGCTGATCTTAATGTGAAATATAGTAGAGCGGAGAACGGAATAGACTCGGCGGACATTGACAGTGGCGCCGAAATGGTCGATTACGTGCGCCATAGAAATGGTCTGTCCAAACTGGAGAAGTTTCTTCTCGCATCTACATTGATTCTTGTTTTTGTGTCGTCTGTTTTCGCTGCCTTGTATATGTCTGAGCGGCAAACTAGAAACTTAATGAAAGAGACTTCTTCCTCGGAAAATGAAGATAAAAACTGCAAAGCCTCTAACGCAACTGAAGAAGAAAAGCAGAATAAAACCAGTGTGATGTCGAGCTGCGATCTAAATCCAAACTCTGCGAATTGTGTAAATGAGGTCATGAAACAAGCTGCCTTTGGTAAGATGTCTCTTATAACAATGGCACTCAGAAAAATCCTATTCGCCGTATTCTTATTTGAGACGAGGGCGTATTTATTACTTAAAGATGAGGTTTCTACAGTAATTGGCGTCTGTTGTTGACCGATTAACTCTTTCTAGTTGATGTCGCAAAAAAAAACCGTGATTTTTCAATTTTTATGAATCATAGTGATGACAAAGAAACTTATGTTTTTTCTTTGGTTTTAAACTAAATCACGCAAAGTTGAATTTGTTCTTAAGGAGTTTGGGCACTGATGTTTTAACTTCTCGATTACTGTTTAAAATTTAATGAGTTGAAAAAATACTCTCATGTCTCAATTTTTTGAAATACTTGACAACCATTTCACTACTTTAGATGCTAAATAGGATTTCACATTTTTAGCTATTAAGTTTATTCCAGTTGCCAAAATTGATTTCGTCTCGAAGAACTTCAGTTGAAAAATTGTCTGATTTTTTACATACATTGGTGACATTTGTTATAGGATCGGTAAGGTGACTCCGAATTAAAAATTTGCATAACTTTTTATTACTGTTATTAGGCAATAATGAATACAGTGGAATAATTGTTTAAGCTTAGCACTGGATTCTGTCCCAAGAATCAACCTTACGCACTCAATTGCTGCAGACACGTCTATCACTAGTCCTATGTTTGGCTTAAGATGCCTTCAACTGTATTTTACACTGGCCATTGACCAAATTTGTTAAAATACTTTGATCTTCCAATCGTGATTTTCGTGTAGCTCAAAAAGTGATAACTGTAGATGAAAACAAATGATTTATGGCATAAATTAAAATATCCTGACAAATGTCTCAATCCAAAGGCACCAATTTTTGTGTTGGAAATATTTTGACTTCAAAGGCTTTCAAATCCGTTTTCTTCCTTCATAGTATTGGTGAACTTGAGTCTTCATAGGACTTTAGCGAAAGCCCTCTCCTACTTACCTCCTAAAGGGAGCCAGAACTAATTCGAGATTGGCGTCATAATAGGAAGGCAGTGTTGAGTGCCACATAGAACCACAGATTATCTACGTAAAAATGGCTTTGTAAAGTATGTGATGATTTTGCGGTTGTTTTTGACAGAGGACGAAAAAGAAATATACAAAGTTTCAAAACACAAGTGCAGAGCTATTTTGGTCAACTGAGTTGATAATTTAAATTGCTACTGTGAAGAGTTGTAAAACTGACGTTTCAGCGTTAGCTGTAAGTGGCGAAATTGCGTGGCATGGGATGATGGTCTTGTTCGAAAGAGGATTTGCTAATTTGAAGTGGGATTAAAAACTTAAAGAAACCATACTGTTATAAAAATAATAATAATAATATTAATAATAACTATTATTGTTTTTTAATGCAGCGTCGTTTTAACGTTAGCTTATTGTTATGATCAAGTCAAAGTCAACAAATTGAGAATGAATGAAAATGTACAAAGAATTCTCAATAGACCCCTATGCAATGTGCCGTGTTTAAAAAAAAAAAATAATAATAATAATGTGACTTTCATATATTCTTAACCATTTAATAATAATGATAATGATAATGATAACAATAATAATACAGTGGTTTGATGGTCAAAGTGCCCCTCTCGAAATCTTTGAACTGATGTGTTTTCCTTTATTTCCTCTTAACATTGTATGTAATACTGGTTTTTTTTATCTTTCAGAAATAATTGGTGCAATGAACGCAAGTGCAGACCCGTGCGACGATTTTTACGAATACGCGTGTGGGACATGGATGAAAAAGAATACCATTCCAGAGAGCAAGTCGTCCTGGAGTCAGTTCCGTGTTCTTTACCAAAATAATGAAATGGTCATGAAAAGGCTAATCCTCGACAATAAGGATGCTACAAAAACTAAATATAAAGATGTAAGTAACTACTTACGTTTCAGGTTGTTGTTTTTTTTTTTTAACAAATTCCAATGCTGTTTTACCAGCCATTTAGGAGCAATGTTTGCCGTAGACACGCAGTCCAATGAATGATTTTTATGCAATTCTGGCACGTTAACTGAGAGCCGTTTTGCGGATTTTGTGACTCTTTGTCTCGTTTGGGGTTGAAATATCGCATACTGTCTTTTGCTTTGCTCTTTTCTCTTCCACTGTCTGAGTTTAATGTTGTTTTGAACATGTAAGGGTGTTTTTTACGCACTCTTCATCAGGTCGATCTATCTCTAGTCGGTGCCTCTTACATCTCTTCATTTAGGCCAATATCCACTTCAAACTGAATCAAACAACTAGTTTCTGTTTTATCAGTGAAAAACGAAATCTGACATGTTTTTAAAGGAATGCATTTTTTCCACTTCATTTAAGTGCCACCATTTGTTTGGCTCTTATCGTTCTTATTCCATTTCATACTTTTATTTGTAGAACAAAGCTGTCATGAAAGGGTTCGACATGTTTGATTCCTGCATGGATGAAGACAAAATTGAAAACCTTGGTGCGGAACCACTCTTTGATTTGATTAAGGAGTATGGATCCTGGAACGTTACGGACGGAAACTGGACGGAGGATTCGTGGGACTTCATGGACAATTTCGTGAAGATTCAAAAATATCTGTCGATAGCGCCTCTCTTCAACATGTATGTTTCAGCTGATCTTCGAGATTCTACGAAAAATATCATTGTGGTAAGTGACCGATTACCTTTAAGTTCGCAGGGTTTTTCAAAGATTTTATCTGATGATGGCAAACTTCTTATATTTTCTTACGGCTATAAAAATACTTGTATTCTTCATTGTTATTTCTTATCCGAAAAATAAAACTTCTTATGTTTTGTTTGCATGAAACAATGACTGCTACTGCCCGTTTTTCAATAAAATGCAGATCTTAGTTTCATTGTGTTTTATTTTGGACGTTTTCAGCTTGACCAGTCTGGAATTTCCATTTCTCAAGAAGGTTTTTTGAAGAACACATCTTATCATGTCAAGGTGGGTACATTACTGAATTCAAGTTATAAAGCATCCAAAAGCATGATATAACTGGGCTTCATTCTTAACGCTGAGTGCACATTGGGAATTGAAAGTGCATCTCCAGAAAAAAAAGTGACTTTCAGAAGACGAATTTAATTTGGTATTATCACAGAGTCGAAACTTTCCTTCGCACAATGACCTTCCCTTTGTGACTGTCGCTTTTTGTACCTTTTTGCGCAGGTTTTTGAACCCACACAATATATTATCTCTCACTAGGTCCGTACAGCATACAAAAAACTCATGATTGACGTTGGGAAGCTTCTCACCGGTGACAATCCAAACACAGAGGCGCTGATGAAAGAAATTTACGATTTCGAAGAATCTCTTGCAAAGGTGAGTCGGACCGTCATTTTGAACACACTTTACACGGTCTTACACGGTCTTCTTCTTTTTGGTAAACAATGTGTATTGACTATGGTTTGGCTTTTTGCTGTGAATCATCCCAACCAACCAGCGTTTTATGCTAAACGTTTCTTGGTAAACTATATAAACTGAGCCAGAAGGAGAAAGAGAGAGATGTCAGCGAGATATCCTCTGCAAGGTCTATCATGCTAATGTCTGCTTTCCTTGAAAAGACAACTTGTGGTCATTGGTGAACACTTTTGTACTTTTCTTCATGTAGTCATTCATTCCCAGAGAAAAACGAAGAGACACCAATAAGATGTACAAGAAGATGAAGCTTAGTGAGTACATCAAATCCGTTGGAAATGCGGTGAGCGTTTATTTTAGAGCAACACTGTCCAGATCTGACCATATTGCTCTCAATATCTGAGATACTTGGTAGACAGATAGCATGTGTGCGAGCAATTTTCAAGTAAGTTTCGAAATAAATCCAAGATTGCATGGATTTCATGGTCCAGAAAACTCCCTCCCCCCCCAAAACTGACAACAATCTCAACTTTATCACTCGTCCACCCCTCCCCCCGTCTTAGTTTGTTTACCTCTTTTACATTGAATCCTCATTGATTTGGCTCCTGGTGATATCTTCCTATGTTTTGATTTGCTGTTGTTTTTGCCTTGATTTAGCTTGTACAACAGTCGAAAAACGCTTACTGTAGTTAACTTTTAAGTCGGAAGAAGTGAAACGGAGGCTTACGAAGAGGTTTTTAGGTATTATACTTAAATTGCATTACAGATTGACATGATGGATTTTCTCAAGAAGATGTTCAATGAGACAGGTTACAATATCACGGGAGATGAAATAATCGTGGGGCTGGCACTTGACTACATCAAGAATATGACAGAACTTTTTAATTCAACTAGCAAAAGGTAAAAATATTTTTTCTATTTTAAATTTTTCTAAGTTTTGAGTCCTCATCATCGTTATATGTGGACCAGTATACGACAGGATACTCTGAAGAATTTAAGATATGTCACTCTTACTAATATGTTACACAGATTAAGCTTTGCGTGACAAGTTTTACCGTAACACAAGCAGTATTATTCCAAAAATGGGCACAAAATTGTACGATAACGTAACGTCAATTTAGTCACGTAGGCCATATTCAACACCCGCTCTTGTTAAACGTTTTTAGACATATCGTTTGCGGGAAGTATTACAGAAGGATTTTTTTCAATTGTAGCTACAAAAATATTTCTTAATGACAGGTAGCCTCAACAAACTATTGACTGAGCTTGATATGTGACCCTCGTACTTTGTATTTAGGGTTGCTCTTTCTGTTGTGGTTAAGGTGTTTCAATAGAGCTCGATGGTGTTGAGCATGTATTGAAAAAGGAAGGAAAACAAAAAAATTGGTGGAGGACTCTGGCAGGGACATGTTGTGGCACCCTACTTTGACCGGGGGAAAATTTCTCACTGGAGCACGTTACACAAAGTCCTGCTGGTCTGAATACTGATTGAAAAGCTTTGTGGATGTCATAGAAGTACTTTGTTTATGTAAGACTTTCCCCCTCCCTGACACATTAAATGGAAAACGGAAGGAACCAATTACTGACGCTATCCCGCTTCTTTTGAGCCAGTTTGCATGATGCCGATGTATGTAGTATGATTCTTTTGCAGTGCACGCCAAGGAAATTAATCCCCATTTACGTATCGACAGTATTTTTCGCTCTATGTGCCGACCGAAAATAAATGTGTATATCATAGTAATCTGTACGTTTGTGTTCTGTATTTTCAGAGTTCTAGCCAACTACATGATGTGGCATGTGGTACTTCGTTTCTCACCGTATTTGAGTTTCAAGTTCAGAGAAGTTTTCAAAGAATACCAGAAAACTGTTAGCGGGACCACTGCTGAAGATCCTCGCTGGCAGGAATGTCTAGGTGTCGTGAGCGGATCTTTCGGCATGCCACTCGGTCTTTTGTATGTTGACGAGACGTTTGAGGGAGAAAGCAAAAAATCGGTAGGAAAAGGGGATATTGGACTGTATTTAGATATTCGATCGCTTAACAATAGCGATAAACCGTACACTTATTCCACCATTCAAGTTTTCACTAACAGTTTGTAATGTTTCAGATTATAAGATAATAAACTAAAACAGACAAATAAATAAACAAATAAACAAAAAACAGAAAACAAAACGAAAATTAAAATAAAACGAAAAATTTCCTTGGGGCGCTTGGCCTATATCACCCTACTGCTGCTGGATTCAAATTCCTGGCAACCGTGTTGATAGTAAATCTTCCCTCTATTGTAGGCCGAGGAAATGATTCACGACATCCGACAAGTTTTCCTTGCCAATCTGGAAAAACTGGACTGGATGGATGAAGAAACTAAACTAAAAGCAAAAGAAAAGGTTTGCAATTGTATTTGTGAAGCTATGCATGCTTGTTAATTATTTTTATTATTAATTATTATTTTTTTCTTCTCAATAGCGAAAGATTTGTCTTAACATCATTCCTCATGGGAAAACGTGCTGCATTTTAGGTTGTGTTAATTGCTTTTAGGGTTTGAAAGCAAGGAAATTTAAGACGCCGACATTTCAGTAGTTGATTAAAAATAGAAAAATAGATTGAGAACGCCATTTAGAGCGTCTGTCAACGTAGTTAAAACCATAGTAACTCTCACACACTAGCTGTTTGAAAGGTGATATCTTTGAAGGTTCAAAGTAATCCTTTAACCAACCCCCAAATTATTCTCAATCGGTTCTGACATTTCCAACGAACTTGTTTCAACTTCAGTTTTATATTTTACACCCACATAAAACAAAGTGCGAGGGCAGTTTCAACCAAGGATTGTTGTTGTTATCATTGTTGTCGTTGTTGTTGTTGTTGTGATTGTTGCTTCTGATATTTACAGTACACTGTTTGGTTAACCCTTTAACTCCCGGAAGTGATTAACATAAAACTTCTCCCTACAAAATCCATATATTCTTCAGCAAACAGGTAATGAGAATATTCAAACTTATCAGGTGGAAGCCGCTATCTTGATCTAGCACCAAGTTCTCATAACTAATTTACAAGGAAATATGTGGCGGTTAGATGGGAGAATTAAGAATCAGATCTTGGGAGTTAAAGGGCTAAAAAAACATTTTAATCTCTACACAGGCTCTAGCAATACGGGAGAATATTGGCTATCCTGAATACTTGACAAACAAAACTGCGCTATACTCGTTGTTCAAAGGGGTAAGTCTAACTTATTCAGCATCTTCACTTTCAGTGATTCAACATTCGCTCTCCATTCCTTTTTTCTTTTTCGACAGGCGGAGTCTTTCTTTTTAGTCTTAAACAAATAGAGCTCGCTTTAGCCATGGTCACCAATCTTGTTGACTGCATATAGAATGAGTTTTTTTTTTATTGTTTTGAAGCCTACACAAGTGAAAATCAATAACAATGTGGTGGATCTTTTTTGTTGCTGTTTGTTCTTTTGGCCTGTAAGCAATTAGTCAAACCATTTCTAATTGATACTCTTTGTTTCCTCTGAACCGCAGTTTGACATAAAAAAAGACCAATACTTCAAGAATATTGTGCAATCCCAAGCATTTTTTAACCTCAAAAACTACGCCAAAATGGGCAAACCAGTTGACAAGGATAGGTAAGATATTAAAAGAAAGGTAAGCTCGCCCCCTACTAGTTCGCCTCCAATTCGAACTGGTAAAGGTGGGTGCAAACTTGGTGTATTTGATGGGCAAATTCGTCGCAGCGAACTAGCAGAGGGCGGACTTACAATGTTAGGAAATTTCTGCAAACCCTCGTGGGCAAGGTAGTCTCTTTGCATCCCTCGACCGAGTGGTTTTAATGTAGAGTACCAGTTAACCGTCAAGAAAAACTGGAAAAATGCTGCAATGGGGAATTGTGAGTGATCAACTTGCTCTTGATTAGGATCTTACCCAGGAGTAGTAGTAATGCTTCTAGCTGCTTCATGCGAAGGAATCTTGGATAAGCTCTGGCAGTGTTGGCTCATCAGCTTGTTAAACTTGTATGATTATTATTTAATGCAGGTGGTCCATGACTCCTCCCACTGTAAACGCTTACTATTCTTCCATTGAAAACAAAATCGGTGAGTACTTGTGTGTTTGTGTTTGAGTTAAGTTGTTGTCGTTGTCGCTATAACTTCCTTTTTAGCCTGAATTTTAAAATTCATATAAAACATAGATAGTAATGGTATGATCAGTTTACGATTTGGGACTGACCCTTGTGGTTACTCTTTGCTAGTTTGCCTGTTGTTCTCGGTGTTTTTATACTGTATTTGTTCTCGTTTATGTTAGATTAGTGTTTGATTTTGCGTCTCCTTCCCTTTCAATGTTACTTGAGGTTTATTTTTTTTGTTGACGGGTCTCGTTGATCTTCTAAACGCACTGGGAGGTTCTTTGTATTCTTTTCTTTTTTTGAAAGTCTACCTCTCAAGGTTTTTTTTCTCCCTTACTGATGAAAAATTTTTTTGCTTCTTTTTTTACTCAGCTTTCCCTGCTGGAATCCTGCAGAAACCATTTTACGATCACAGATTCCCCAAGTGAGTGGCGACATTCAAACGAATCATTTAACTTATTCGATATTTTCTCTGTACTGACACGTGCTTTGAAAGAGGGTCGATTGGTGAGAAGCAGTCCCCGATTCTCTGGTATTTTACCTCTGAACGTGCTTATAGGATCTGCCTCTCTTCGTTCGCCGGACCGTTTTGGTTAGCACACTCTTGCTGCTAAAATGGTGGTTTCCTTCGTTGTCTTTTTCTTTTTCATCATCGTTTCAGTAATTCGCGCGCTAACGAGTTGAAGAAAAGTCTCTGTCGATTAATAGTTCGTTCGAAGCAGTTTTTAAATTCCGTTCCTCCATCCGGCCCTCGGTCTGTCGTTGCATTTATTTCTCTATGTATTAATTTATCTATGAATTAACTCTTTTATTTGTGTATTTAATTTTAAATTTAAATTTTATCTTATTTCGTTTTTTCCTAATTTTCCAAGGGCTCTCAACTATGGAGGAATCGGAATGGTTGTTGGACACGAAATCACTCATGGCTTTGATGACAATGGTAAGGACGTATATTTGCCATAGATAATGTTTGAAGCCGAGTCCTAATATTCTTCAATAACCAGAAAGAAAAAAAAAACTGTTTTCTTGTTCACTGAAATTAAAACACACACTTGATATTATATTGAACTTGGAGCATTTGCCGAATAAGAGCGAGGAGACAAGAAAAACGAGTGAGATTTGGAAATTTTATTTAGATTTGTGCTTCCTAAATTAGTTTTCATTTCGTTCCTGTAGGTCGACTGTTTAACAAAGATGGTAACTTGGCGAAGTGGTGGTCAAACAGTTCTATTACAGCTTTTAAAAACAAAACAAAGTGTCTTGTGGACCAGTACTCCAATTATGAATTTCATACCAAGAACGTAAGTCTGTTGTCATCGATGACATGCTTCTTACCAATTATGTTTTCATGCATCTGCTACGTGGCAGCAAACAAAGCCAAATAACATGACTTGAACACAACTAGCTTAGGGAACGTTCATCTCTTATTTCATTATAGTGAATATGCGAGTGAATGACTGTTGACATTCGTCGTAAACTACGCTGATGTTTAATAGTGTAGAATGATGGGAACTAACCTCACAGCATTCTGACATTAAAGCCATAATCCTACATCTTTTCAGTCAAAGGTCATATTTTATTTATCTCCACCTCCCTAGTGGTACACCACGTTCGTCTAGCGCTGGGACGCTGCATTTTTGCCGCGGTTTCTAACGTAGGTTCAAATCAACATAGCGGTCAAGCGTCAGACATGCACAAGTGGATAAATCTTGCCCGACCGCGCGCAAATTTCCCACACAACTTCAAAGAAGAACTTAAAAACAATCGCTGTCACGCTGTACGCCTGTGAAACGTCGTAACTTACTGACTTGCTCGTTGTTTATAACTTCTGTAAGACAACACGGTTCTGACTGTCTAGAGGCACACCTCTCAGGCTTTACGAGGTTCGCGCATCTATGCGCAGACGTTTGACTGTTTGTAGTTTAAATCAAGGCATGCTGCGTAGTATTTACTTGCTTTCCCACCCAGTGACTTCTCCTTGTTTAGTTGTGAGACAACACGGTTTTGACCACCTGGAAGCACACCTCTCAGGTCTTACGAAGTTTGCACATCTATACGCAGACGTTTGACTGCTGTGCAGTTTAAATCCAGGTCATGGCACGGTACTTGCTTTCCTAACCAGTAACTTCTCGTTATTAAGTTCAAACCTCTTGTCAACAATCTTTTTTTAACAGCTAAAGGGCCAGCAAACCCTTGGAGAAAATATCGCGGATAACGGCGGGATCAAACAGGCATTTCAGGTGGGACATTGTCTTTTGTTCTATGTTGTTTAATTATTTTTGACTTTTCGTGTTACAAAAGGCATCGAAGTCTAACGATGAAAAGTAATGAATTTTATATCCTGACAATCGTGGCAGGAACAGGTAGCAGCCAGTTAGTTGAGCATCAGTTTTGAACCATGGCCATGAACTTAAGTTGACCAACCGTTTCTCCTTTCGTTTCCGTGATATCACTCGTTTAGTGATGTGCTCTTACCTAATTTTCCTTTTGATGTAAGCCTACCCTTACTTAACGGCAAAATTGTTCGCAGTGAATAAGGAAATCAGAAAGCAATACCCGATCAATACAGCTTTGATATTTGACTGACGACTTAGAAACAAGGTCACACCTTCATGTGATCTTTCACCATACTTGAAAAAAAGTTTCTTTTGTGTACTTTCCGGTTGACTTTAAAACAATAAGTGGTTAATAATTGTAAATTTTTGGACGAAGGCCTATCAGAACTGGAAGAAAAGGCGAGGCCCAGAGCCCTCTCTCCCCGGTTTGAAAGACATCACTAATGAACAGCTCTTTTTCCTTGGGTTTGCTCAGGTTTGTAGATCATATTTTTCGTTTTGTTTTGTTTTTTAATACATATGCATAATCTAAATGAATAAAAAGCAACAACCAAAAGGAATGTTAAAGAATAATAATTTTAAAGGTACTTTTGAAAATCTCTCTCCCGCATGTTTTTAAAGAAACTTTGGGCAAATATGGATACTGTAAACCTCAGAGTAAAACTTGTTTCGAAATTGAAACCGCAACTAACAAACGAAGTTTTTGTTTTGGTAAGCGAATCTAGGCTACTGACTGTGTATGCCCAACTAAAGTTTTAAGTTTTTTTAAATAATTTTACCAAGGGAGTTTTTTGGTTTAATGATTATATTTTTACGCATTTTTTTCCTATTCAGATCTGGTGCAGCAAATACCGCCCGGAAACGGCTATGCGCCAGGTGGATTATGGTGTTCATAGCCCTGGAAAATTCAGGTGCAACTATATAAAGCGCATTAAGTAAATACAAGGAGAGGGACACTTCAGCTCAAAAAAATCTTAACTTAGTATGTGCGTGATAAGCACGAGATCGCGAAGGTGTTTTAATTTCTTGGTTTATGCGACTCAAGTGTGCTCCTTAAATTTAAGTAAACAGGGATCTGCGAATTTTTCAAGAAAGCAAGAAACTAAATCAAAAAAAGTATATTTATCAAATGACTAATGCGGTCTCGCACGCTGTTATTGAAAAGCATCAGACAAAATCCCAATTTGAGGCTGCACAGGACTAGAATAAGCCTTATGTTCTCACGAGATGCAAGCTAATAGAAGAAAGAAAGAACAAGATGGAGTGACGGTCATATAAAACTGAAAACACTGTTTATGAACTCAGTCAGGTCGGGCCGAAAGGGAAAATATCGAGTTTTTCTTGGTCATTTTGCACGGACCTCAACCAAATGTTTTTCCGTTCGGTCCTCCCACTCGGTCAACAAGTGGGAGGTAATGCGAGCTGACAAAGGGCTAACGCTCGAAACGTCAACTTTAGAAACTCTGTACAGTGGCCAATTTACTATCAAAGTTGATAGTACCATATTATCCTGTTATACTCCCCCACCGACGCGATACCACAGTTTCTTAAGAAACTTCCCCCCCTAGTGTACCCACCTGCCATAATTCTCGAATTCGTTTTCAGTGTCCTACGAAAACGCGTTTTTCTGATGATGATTATCAACCAATGATATCAGTTAAACTCCCTAATCTTCTGATACATTTTCTTTTCAGGGTACTGGGCTCTTTATCGAACTTTGACGAATTCGCTAAGGCTTACAAGTGTCCTAAAGGATCTCCAATGAATCCTGCGAAAAAATGCACTGTGTGGTGAACAAGTTTGTTAATGACCTTGACTAGAGAGATCTTCCAAAGGAAGCAAGTGTCGAAGAACGCTGATAGATAATTGTAGGAGATAACATCTCTATATCATTTTCGCAAAGAAAAACAAAACCAACACTATACTTGTCAGTTTGTAGATATGTTCTAAAAGGGACTTTATAATGAGCTCCAGAAACGTGCATAGTTATAGAGACATTGTTTCACCGGTTCAGTTTAAACGTCTAAATTTTCATCGTTAAAAGTTTTTATCGCAATTTCCGCGCTTAAGCGCGAATTTTTATGATTAAGAGACAAACCAATCGTTTATATGAATTCAAGGCTTAGTTTATTGAATACTGCCAGGCTGCAGTTCAGTTGTGTTCGTAAAACCGTTGTAGTTCTCCGTTAGCCTCAGCCCTCCTCCCGGTTTTCCTTCTTTCTTTCCTTTCTATCTCACAAAATAGACTCTTGGTCACTTAAAACGGGTATTGTTTGCCAAGAAGTGTTGTAAGATATCTTTAGATAGTAATACTGTGCCATTATTTTTATATTTTATAAATTTGTTTTATGTTCTCGTTAACTGGCCTAGTAGAATATGAACGCTTTCAATAAAGGTCATTCTTTGCATTTGCTTTCTAGTTCTTTTGAAAAACGTGTAGCGTGCTTCATTTTCATTTCATAACGAGCTTGAAGATAATGAATTTCCGGGGTCATTTATTAGCTCGTCCGTCTGTGTTACTGTCAAACAACTGTAAAACAACTAAGCTGCTTGAAAAGCGAGAAAAACGCGAGTGAACAGGTCGCATCTGATCGGTCGAGAGGATGGGCCAAGTTCTAGGAGCCAATCTCAGAATAAAGTAAGACAGAGCCAAGGCGATCGCGGATTCCTTTGATATACTAAATTGTGAAACTACTCTAAATCGAACAAACACTCCTGTTTTGCGAATTCACCCTTATGTACGATACCCATGCATATCCAGTATTTTGACTAGTGGCGTTTTACTATGCTCTGACAAGTGAGAACTGAGACAGTGAGAAGCTTAGCGGTGTGCAGCTGCAAGCAAGATAAAACGAAAAACTTGATCCTGTCTTGTTCTAAAATTTTGAAAGACTTCCAGATTTATATTTTAAAAAAAAACAGAGATTATTCGCTGTCGATTTCCATATATGATAGTTGCTTCGGGTTTCCCGTTAATCAACTATCTCTTGATAAAGATCTGACGCTCAAATTCTAATTATGAACAGACCATAGAAATGACAGGAAAAAAAAAGATAAGAGTTCAATTTCGGTTTTATTTCCCAAGTTTAACCAATGTCTTCTAACAATAAAGGTATCGGACGGGAACGGGAACGGGAAAAAAATTTTTTTTAGCTGTGTCCTTACTCTGAATGCTCAATGAATGTGTTTCTTTTAACACAAAAAAATCTGAGAAAGTAAGGAACCTCATAAACAGAGATCTCAGAAGGAAGAGGGGAGGCATCGAAAATTGGGGGGGGGGGAGGGGGCAGGGGGGGAGGACAGATGGGGTGGTCAACACGCGAATAGCCGAGAACGCTGATAGACAAAAACACTTCCCTTTTGAAGCAGAATTGGAAAGTGCCCGTTTTCAAGAGCCTTTCTGAGTGCTATTTTGTGGACGATAAGTAAAAACGCACCAAACAATTTGCGGTCTAACGACGATAAAGCCTGCCTAAAACATAAAGACCTTAGAAGGAAAGTATATAAGACATATTAGTTGGATGGAACCTTAGTCGATCTTTAAAGTTCCCACTGAAGAATGTCGTATCAATAAACAACTAACCCAAGCGCGCAAATGAGCCTTCGTAAATTACGCAAACATGTTTAGGCTGCGCAAAGCAGCTGAAGTAAAGCCGAGCCTAAGAATCTTACTCAATGCAATGAAACAACCATTTAAGCGAGGTTATTTTGTTTTTCATTTGAACAAGTTCATATTTTCTTTTAGGTCGAGAGCGCAACCGATTATCCCCATGGAATCCTTATATTTCGCCCATTGCAAAACGTATATTTGAAAACTTTACAGACTCGTTTTGCTGGCTCTGTCAAAAAGGAATCGGCTCATTCGACTTTTTTATTTCGGTGGGGGTTTTGTTACGGTTTCTTTTTTTGCTTGTTTGTTTGTTTGTTTGTCCGTTTGTTACCTGGTTAAGCACAATTTCTGGGAACCGGAGTCGAACCTACGTACTAAATTTTTAGAAAGAAACAAAAGAGGCTTATGGATAGATGTACCATACAATAGTTGGTACTGTGAAGGAGCTCTGAGGCAATGCGTGCGCGATTCAATAAAAAACAAGGTAACGATAGATAGTTGTCACTTAGGTAAATCTTCACAGCTATTTTCAGATCAAATATTGTTCTTACACTAGACAATAAAACCCAGGAAACATATCATAAATCTATTGATAAAAGCTTGATTAACATGTTAGAATTATCAGAGCTTTAGGAACATCAATCAAAGTTTTTACACAGTAAAATTGTCTATTGTTCTTAATCGCTTTCCCACGCTCAGAGTATTTGCATTTCCATTCTGTTTTAGGTTCTTTTGTTATCTAGGCTTGGAATAAATAAAGTGATTTGTTTTCTTTGAGTTTTTTGAACCGCGTCCGCGGGGTCAAATAATTTACATATCTCTACGTGAGATATAAACGCTATGAGTTACATGTAAACGACGGCACAAATTGTCTGTATCTGGGACAAATTTATATGGGATTAACGGCTGCTATACCTTCGAAACATCTTTTAAGAGTCTAGCCTACTGCATTTCCTTAGGGTTTTACAGACCTCGATCGTGAACTCCGCTGCAAGCTACTCTGAAGTTTGTTGACAGTAATCGGAGTGATGAATGATCCGACCACGAAAGGCCTTTTAAACGGGAATAACACTGAAAAACGGCGCGGTGATGAATCTCCTGGTTTTGTTGGAGCGGTACATACCTCAGATTACCTAACCGATGTCGAGATACAGCCCACAAGCGAGAAGCCTATGTATCGCCCGACTGGATTGTCCAAACGCGAGATGTTGATGATCGCTGGATTATTTCTTCTTTTGGTATTGTGCATTTTATTTATTGCACTGTATGCAAAAGTGGCTTTAAAGAAGAGTGATCGCAAAAGTGAAGAGGAGAAAAATGAATCGATTGGATGGATCCTTGCAGCCTCTGGTAAGTGAGCGTCAACGACTTTCCAGACTAAATGACGACTAGTCGGATTTGATTTTTCGGTCGAGTGGTTATTGTACTCTTACAGGGGGCATTGTGAAAGAACCATGATAATTTATACTCTCTGATTTGCGTTTTGATAACACACTGGGATTGTTTCCTTTTTAAACTAAATGAAAATATGATTGTTGGGAATATTGGCTAAAAGATATCTCAAGTTTACAAATATTTCTTCTGCGGTTGAAAAGAAAGTACATGAATTTGTGTGTTAACTGCCGAGGAACTTGACAGCCTACAGGCGTTGACTACTTGATAGCTACCGAGACTGTTGACGTAGTGTCATCAACTTCTCAAAGACAATTGATAACATCATCAACTTCATTTCTAACAAAAGGGTTTGACATGATCAAAATTAAATCAATATCGTGCAGCTTATTATCATGGCAAAAAATACCTTCTTAAAATTCATGCGACAGACCCTAAAAGCAATTACTTCGATGCGTAAGTAAAATGTTCACGCCTTCTATTATCAAAAGACAGTTAAAAGAGGGTCTCAATGAGGTGATGGCTTTACGGCTAACGGTTAAAATTTTAAGCAATTTACGGCTAACAGTAACATATTTTCGTTGTTTCCACCAGACAATTTTTACGGTTAAATTTTTTGACGACTAATGGTTAAAATTTGTCAACTTTCACGCCTAACGGCTAAATTTCTTGGCCGTTTTACGGCAATCGGTTAACCCTATTGAAAACCTCTTTAAAGGGGCTTTTTTTGACAGTTGCGCGTAGTTTTCGTTGTCTCGAGAAACAAAATAACATCTTTAAAGGTCACTATTCAGGTGTGAAATGACTATAATAACTTTGATAATAATCATGATAATAATTATATTAATATTAATAGTAATAACGATGAAATAATGATAATAGTAATGATTATGATAGTAATAATGATGATGATGATGATAGTGGCTTTGATGATAATAATTTTCAAAAACACCATCTCTATCTTTGCTTCTACTATTATTACTATGAACTGTCAATAAAAGTACCGGGGATGTTGATGATGAATTAAAACAATCATGAGAGGTATTAATAATTTCTTTAAACGCTACCTTGATCGAGGCATTATATTTCTTTTCCAAAAAAAAGTTCCTATCTTCTTTCACATCAATACCATTGTATTCCTCATCATCATCATCATCATCATCATCATCATCATCATCATCATCATCATTTTTTTCGTTGTTATGATTTTTATCGTTATCATTATTATTAGTACAATCATTACCATTAGTATGATTATCAAAGTTTTTTTTTATTTTCTTTGAATTCATAACCACAAAGACCCAGCGCAATTTTTTAACACTGAATTGAATTTCTGTGTTGTTTGTACGATTGATTCTTGATACTTCTCGTTAGATTGGTTTAACAGCTTGGTTTTTTTTCCCGGTCAACGCTTCTTTGGTCTGATCCTCGTAGAAATGTATTAATTATGGAACTATGATCAATGAGTAACCAACGCTGAGCCATTTTACAGCTAGACCTAATCTCATTTTACTGGAATGGTCGCGGCAGACAGCAGCCTTTGCCTACAACTAGGCAGTACAGAAAGCCGCAAAACTCTAGAAAAAAAATTTATCTTTAACATCGACACTCTTAGACTTCACAGTATCAACAAACGCTTCTCATTTAACTAATTTATTCTTGTGTTTTTCTAGATCTTCTAAGTGCGATGAACGCTAGTGCAGACCCATGCGACGATTTTTACCAATACGCTTGTGGAAAGTGGATCAAAAGGAGTTCTATTCCAGAGAGCAGGCCTTCCTGGAGTCAGTTCGGCGTCCTTGACCAAAATAATGAAATTATCATGAAGAGACTTATCTTCGATGACGAAGATAGTGCAAGAGCTCAATATAAAGATGTGAGTTTCTGTTTTAATTTTCCTTCATAATTAAAGAACACGGCCAGAGATGGTTTACTAAAGCACTAATCAGGTTAGTACAATTGTTTGTTTAACAATGTGGCCTCCTCACGGATGTTTACCACAACCCCTTTTACAATATTGACTACTGTATTGCTATCATTGGACAAAGTAGCCATACAGATCGCAGCCTCTGTTTTCACTCCCGCCTACGTGGCTGCAAGGAAAATTGAAGCACGTTAACGATAAATGATTGGTCTGTTTGAAAATGAGTTTCTTTTGCCATCCGCCTTATTTTTGCTTTTTTCTGTCACTTTTTAAGAACGAAGCTGTTATGAAAGGGTTCGACCTGTTTGATTCTTGCATGGATGAAGCCAAAATCGAAGAACTGGGTGCGGAACCACTCTTTGATTTAATCAGGGAGTATGGATCATGGAACGTCACGGATGGAAACTGGACGGAGGATTCTTGGAACTTCATGGATAATTTTGTAAAGATTCAAAAGTATCTGTCGATAGCGCCTTTGTTCTCCATGTATGTTAGTCCTGATCTTAAGGACTCCGCGAAAAATATCATTTATGTAAGTGACAAGTAATATTACAGATTACCGCTCATTTTTTGTCATCCAACAGCCCTATCTATCTCTTTCTTGGCACAAGCAGTCACTCCTAGCGCTGAACTGGGTTGGAGACTCACCAGCTCCACCCAAGTCAACGCAAAAAGAAAGTCTCGAAGTTTATAACTTCTACCCAACTATTTCTCATCCCTATGAGAAACTTCGCAGGATATTCTCAATTCCTTATAATCAGAGTTTGAAATGTCATTGGTTGCATTCCCTCGGTTTTTCCCTCAGTCAGTAAGGATAACTATGATTCCAAGCTGAGCTAACGCCTCTTAAAATTTCTCACGCAAAATCATAGGGCTCGTCAACCGATACTCTTGATTCTAATAAGGGGAAAAGCCTTAGTCTAGGATGCCCCTTCTTTTCTCAACATCAAATACCAGGGTCAATGTTTCGTAAATGTGCTTTGTTTTGATTTGTTTTGTTGTGTTTCTTGGTTTATCTTTGTAGTGTTTCACGTAAGCATTGTTGGGATAAATTATTCCTTCATCATTTTATTTTTACGTGCACATTTTCAGTTTAACCAGGGTGGAATTTCTATTTCTCAAGAGTCTTACCTGAAGAATTCTTCTCGGGATATAAAGGTCAGTGCAATCTCTTGTCAAGTTGGCGAACATGCATCATGAGGGTAACAAGTTTTGTCACTGGGCCCTTTTCGCTGGAAATCAAACGGGTATCGCAATAAAAACAGGGTTCAAAAAACAAGTTAAGCACACTTAATCCACAAGTCTATAAGTTCTAACGTCTCTGACAATTTACTCCATGTGAGATTGACCAAAGTGTCTTGCACTGCTCTTCATACCCATTAGATTCTTTTTCTTCGTCTAATAGGTCCGTGCAGCGTACAAAAAACTCATGATTGATCTTGTGAAACTTCTCACTGACAATCCAAACGCAAAAGCTTTGATGACAGAAATCTACAATTTCGAAGAATCGTTAGCGAAGGTAGGTCGCGCTGAAACGCTTCCATGGTGATTTTCGACATCTTTTTACTAAATTTTTTTTTTGGCTCTAACTTTACTTTCACTCTTCGCTCTTTTTCCCGTGCTTACGCGTTTTTCTTGCGCTCGTAACCGCTCGCGCAACCCCCCCCCCGTCTGCTGTAGACCTGAGAACAATTGCAAGTTCATGATGTTTCAACTAAACTTCGTTTCAGGCATTTGTTGCTAGAAAGAAGACGCAAGATATACCCAAGTCTTATAAGAAAATGAAGCTGAGTGATTTCAACAAATCAGCTGGAACCGCGGTAAGATAAAAATAATTCGAAGGTGACACCGTCTGGCTATCAACTGAAACCCATATTCTGTAATATGTAAAGATTTGTAGGTCAGGACAAAGACAACCGAGAAATGTCGCCCACACACTTTAAGTACGAAACAGAAAAAAACAATTTTGATATATTTTTTTTAAATGGTACAAGGATCCTGCTCCCTCAGTCACGAAACATCGCTTCAGATGAGCACGACGAACCGGAAGTTGAATTCGTATGAGTTATCGTCCTTAACCAATTTCGAATGTTCTCTTCGTTTTCACGCTCACCTTTGAGCTGTCTTTGATAAAAATGCGCAATTGTGTGGTCAGGAAAAACATACAGAACGCTTTCTAGTCTTTAATTCTAGAAGGAGCAAACGCGACCTGAGTGCCCAGAAGTGATTAACATGTAATTTCTCTAAATGATATCCATACATTATCCAGCAAAGAGGTAATTCTATTTTGGGGTCTCTTCCTTTTTTATGATGCAAAAGAAACAAATATTTCAAAAAAAGAGACAAGGCGTTTGGAAACCGTTAAACGAGATATCTTTATTGCATTACAGATTGACATGATGGATCTTGTCAGGAGAATGTTCAATGAGACGGGTTACACTATCACGGGAGATGAAATGGTCGTGGGGTTCAATCTTGAGTACTTTAAGAATATGTCAGACATTGTTAAAGCAACTAGCAAAAGGTAACTAAGCCACGTTTCAATCTTCTCCTTTAAAACTCCAACAATCTGATTTTAATTGATCACAGGCGATTGAGTCACATGTGGCATCTGTACTCTGCTTTTTTATTGTTCTGCTCTTCTGATAACTATTCCGACTTCGACAGAAGTGAAAACCAGCCACAAGAGGTGCATCATAATTGATCCTTTGTCACACTGTATTTTTCAGAGTGATGGCAAACTACTTGATGTGGCAAGTGGTGCGATATTTCTCAAGTGATTTGGACTCAAGATTCAGAGACGTTTTCCAAGAATACAGGAAAAGTATCATAGGAACCACAGACGACGATCCTCGATGGCAGGAATGTCTTAGTATTTCAAATCATTATTTGGGCATGCCATTCAGTTTGCTGTATGTTGACGAGACGTTTGAGGGAGAGAGTAAAAAATCGGTAAGGAAAAGTGGAAATTGATTTACTGCTAAACCTTCAGCAATTTGTCAAAAGAAACATGATGATCTTTTTATAGGGTTAGTCAAATGACTTCTTTTATGTATGTATGCGAAATGTGGCTCTTAAAACTTAATGGCTTGAACTGATTTGTAGAATCCTATTCGATCTGAGACAGGCAGTATCATTTTAGGAACCTTTAAGGACAATTATTAAATTTTAGACTCCGAATATATCATTTCTAGTGTTCCGATTGTTTCACGCGACTCCGATCATCGAGTGAAACAATCGAGTCACCTTAGATGGAAATTCAGTGCACCACATGTTGCGGAGCTGAGAAAGGTTTCCAAGTATCAACAAGTGCAGGATTTAATAAAATTTAATAAAATACTTATTCCATTCTCCCTTGTTGGATACAAACTTGGTTTTAACCAATTCGACGCCGCGTGCCTCTTTGGCTATTTACCATCCCATATCCAACACGCGCTCATGGAGGAATTGTTAAGTACACTCGGGAACTTAATGAGTGTATGGGACAGCGCGAAAGACTTTTGACATGCCTTTGTATCTTTCAACTCTAGAATTGGGTTTCCTCGTGATCCTCACAAATGTCCTCTGTCTTTGTATTGTAGGCAGAGGAAATGGTTCATGGTATAAGGGAGGTTTTTCTTACCGATTTAGAAAATCTTGACTGGATGGATGAAGAAACCAAGCGCCAAGCAAAAAAAAAGGTTTTTTTCTTTTTTTTTAAGCATGGGAGTCACACGTGCGATGCAAATGTAAACGCAAATGGAAGGATTTACACTAATGAACCACCCCCAAGGAAATGCAAACGCAAGCTCAGTTCAACGCAAAGAATTAAAATATTTTTTATTTTCGTGAGCTTGCATTTGCGTTTGCGTTCGATTCCCACAAGTGTGAACCGGGGTAACACAAACGCAAACGCAATGCGAAAAACAAAGGTTCCGTCGGTTCCATGCCACCACGGCAAAGTTCAAAAGAAGATGGCGTTACCTATTTTTATTTTTTGTGATAGTACATAGCACATTTTAAGAACCTTTTAATCTCTCAACAGGCTTTAGCAGTACGGGAAAATATTGGCTATCCTGAATACATAAAGAACAAAACGGCGCTGGCCTTGAAGTTCAAAGGGGTAGGTTAATCATGCCAGCCTTTGTTCCCTCTCAAATTGATCTTGGAGGGTTATACCACCATTTTTTCACGTTTTCATATTTTTTTCATTTCTCCAAGCTAAAACCGATTATTTGTACGGTGCGAGGAATCAGCAGGAGTCTGTGATCTCTAAACGAACAGAATGGAACGGTCGCGTTGTAAACCATATGCTTGTACGAATTAGGAGGCAGGTACCACTGCTAATCTTTTTCCATTCTCTTTGGTTCGTCCAAATTACAGTTTGATGTGAAGAAGGACCAATACTTCAAGAACATTGTACAAGGGACTAAATTTTATAACCTGAAACACCACGCCAACCTGGGAAAGCCAGTTGATAAAGATAGGTAAGGATGGGAATGAAAAGAAAATAATTTTTTATTATGTAAGTGAAATTCGGCGATACTTTAATCGCAGTACTTTCAAATAATAGTAAAATATTCATTTGACATTATCAATATTTATCATTTTAACTCTCTGGCTCCTACTCTCTCATTGACTGGCTTAATTACAAAACAAACCAAACACTGCTCGGTATAAAGGTACATGAAATAAGATCAGGATTAATAACAAATTTGGAAAAATCGCAGAATATCTAAGTGAAAGCAATGTAGTTCATTTCTTGAAACTCAATTTTTTCCAAATGGCGGAACTATTCCTTTTTCAATATTTTTAAATAACTAACAGTCATTACAATCACTCCTGATCAATTTATTTTTCAATTATTTGATTGACTGCTATTTTATTTATTGATTATTGTCTGTTCTATTCATGTTAAACTATATCATATTACATACTTACAGACGGAGCAGAAGGGCCAGAGGGGCTCCAGGTCAATTCCGAGTCTGTTTTTTTTTAGTGCTAAAAGCGTGGGAACGCAAGGGTTACATGACAATAAGCAATTATTGGATGAGGTTGAACATAATAATATGAATTATGCCGAGGTCTGGGTTAATTTTGCAAACTCAGTGTCTCTTTTGCAGATTTTTCAAAAAATGTATAATAAAACAATTACTGAATTCGGTTTACGCACGATATTAGGAATTCTCAACATGGACACGAGGTTTGATAGTTCACGTAACATGCGATAACGTACGGGCCTGAATTGTTTTCAGGTCCTATTTTCAGCTACTAGTTCAGTAGTGTTCTTAGCTGCGAGGATCTCTTAAATTCGACCAATAATTGTTTTATTATACATATTTTATACCATCTGCAAAAGAAGACACTGAGTTTGCGAAATTTTGAAACATTATACGACACGATAACCCAATATCTGCTGCAGATGTTGGGTTATCGTGTCAACTTTACACGCTATGTTATATTGACTGTATGCTCTCGACCAATCAGAGTCTTATGGTAAATCTAATGTATAATAATAACATGATTTATAAGTATATATATAAATATTTCACGGCAGCTGGGCCATGCTTCCTACTGCTGTCAACGCCTACTATTCACCCACTGATAATAAAATAGGTGAGCAATCATGTTGTTCTTGTTGCTGTTTTTGTTGTTTGGACATTTGATTACTGTTACATTCTGTTTACCCAATGTTGGAGAATTTGATGGGGGAAGGAAAACAACTACTGCCATTTTACTGACTTCTAACACACAATGAGGTCATTAGACCATGCTTTCAAATCCTTATGCGCTCGAGTCGTACGTTTTAAGCTTTCTCTATATCAAGGCTTTTGCTCATTATACTACCATTTTCGCATACACGTATTAGAGAAACTCTTTATAAAACGGAGACTTGTCAAAGAAAATAGCTATTCTGCAATTCATTCAGAAATTTGATGTATTATCGAAACGAGCATTCCTTACTTATGCTAGTCTCGTCTTTGTAAACAATTGCTATGAAAATAAGACTGAGGATGACCAGTAAACGCGTTTTGAACTGCTGTGGGAAATGAATAACAAGTGAAGGCGTAATACGGTTACATTATGCGATATCTTTGACTAACCTGAACGATTAGGACCCGACAAAGCTCCTCTGTTTTCGCCTAAGAGTATTGTTAAAAGCTCACGTACTCTGGAGTCGCTGCATTTGCATGATCTACTTTGAGCAGTAAAATTTCCTTAAACAGGAAATTCGAAAAAGGCAACTTAACTGTATGGGGCAAGCCGTGTTGCATTTTCCCGCGCAGTTTTAGGAAGTCACGTGGAAGGTGTAAGCCAATCATCATACGTAATTTCGTTGCTAGCCCTTAGTACTTCCGAGGCAGTCTGTTTGTCGAACAAGGTTTAGACTCAAGAAGCTTTAATTGTAATTTTATGTTAAAACGATTGAAGGACTTTGGCTTGGATGTTCTGCAAGTTTGAAATAGATACGAAGTTTCTTTGTTCTTGTATCTAAGTGTTCATATCCGACTCTCGATTTGTTTGCGGGTTATTTGTCCATTTATGTCACTTTCCGTTATCTATAACATTTGCTTTCTCCTTTTTTATTTAGTTTTCCCTGCTGGAATCATGCAGAAACCATTTTATGATCACAGATTCCCCAAGTAAGTGCTAAAATTGTAAGCGGCGAATTAACTTGTGAAAGAAGCAGCATCTTTCCATCTTCAAGCCTGCCAATTCGGCTGTCCGTATGTACATCTTTTCCTTTGATTTTTATTTTAATTTTATATTTCATTTAGAGCTCTTAACTACGCAGGAATCGGGGTGGTAGTTGGACACGAAATAACTCACGGTTTTGACAACACTGGTAAGGATACTTATTTTGCTTAATTAGTATATAAAACAACCTTTCTGTAAAAATGAGACAAAAAGGCATGCACTTTAGCTGATAAATTACTGATTCTGTATAATTGTAACATTTTTATGTGAAATTTGACGATGCTGGATTTAAATCCTAGATGTGTTATTTTAGAGAACTGGAAGTGCTTTCGATTCAATTCTCGCTGCAATTCCTTTTGTAGGTCGGCTCTTTAACTTAGATGGCAACTTGGCGAACTGGTGGACAAACAGATCTATAGCAGCTTTCAAAAACAAAACAAAGTGTCTTGAGGACCAATATTCCAATTATAAGTTTCATTCAATGAACGTAAGTATGTTGTCATCGAACAATAAGATTCCTTCTTACTCATAAGTGCTCTATTGCACCATAACTTAACTTTAAAAATAAAAAGATGCCGACTACTATAACTTGCACACAAACAAATGAGATTGTTCTCTCTGGTTTCCCGAGTGCATTAAGGATCATTGAGGTTGATAGCCGGCCCTGATATGATCGTGTTAACTTGTACCAGATTACGATCGATGATGCTTTGTGTAGAGTAAGCAATAAATTACACAATTACCCGCCGTGGTCTTCATCCAGTGGTGGATCGTGATGATATCTAGTGGTGGTTTTTTGCTGCTTCTACTGTTCCTTTTTCTATCTTATTTTTTCTTGCGTGTTTTCGCGTTGTAAGCCACTTCAATGCTCCACGTAACTTCTGGTTTTGCCATTGGAAATCGATATAAGTACTTGACGCTCCTTTTACAGCTAAAAGGCGACCGAACTCTCGGGGAAAATATCGCAGATAACGGCGGGATCAAGCAAGCGTTTCAGGTGGGATTTCGCTTAAGTTGGTTTTAGCATCTATTTCTGTGTTTTCTTTCGTTTTTTTTCGAGGGGGTGGAGAGGGGGAGAGGTAGAGGTTATTACAGAATCACGCTTTTCAGACACCTTCTTGATACGAACACTTCCTTATTATGGACAAATCTCTTGATCGTTGGAGAAAGCACAGTAATACGTGTAGCCTATTATTCAACCTGCTATAATGCGGACAACGAAGACTTATCTTGCCTAATCAACAAATCTACCCTCTTAATCGCAGTTTTGCTGCCCAAAAATTTTACTTCGCTTCGAGGAACATTTACTGAACACACTTTCAAACAAAAGTCACAATTTACCTTCACCAAAAGCTTTGTTCGTGTTCCATAATACTTCGCGTATAAAGGCCTCTTCCCTAAATCAATTCTACTAAACATTTCAACAATAAATATTCCTTTACCAACTGATTAATCAATGGTACTCATTTTCATCCTGGTCAGTCAGAATTATAGGAAATCCAAAAACGTATAAATTTATTCATAATTTAATTGAATGAAATGCAATTCTTTTAACGCAGGCCTATCAGAACTGGAAGAAAAGGCGGGGTCGTCCAGAGCCTAACCTACCCGGGATGAAAGACTTTACTAATGAACAAATATTTTTCCTTGGATTTGCTCAGGTTTGTCGGTCTTTTTTCAGAAATAAAATAAAGAATTTGCAAAAGAAAAACAAACAAACAAAACAAATAAAATAAATAATCAAGGGAAATTGACGAAAAAAATTTCAGAAAGCAATAATTTTAAAAAATGAGGTCTTTGCTTATTTTTACTGTAGAAGCCAGTGTATTAGTTTAATTTCAACAATGAAAGAAAACAAGCAGAGAAGGCAACTGAAATAATTCGAGAAATAACAAAATAACTCTGGAGGATGGAAAAATCAACTTTTGACGTTTGCTAAAATTCCCTGCTTTTGTACTTTTTCAGATTTGGTGCAGAAAAGACCGCCCATCGGCAATTGAACAATCGGTGAAGTTCAGTCGTTATAGTCCTGCAAAATTCAGGTTCGGCTGGTAACGTCGGCAGAGACACATTTAGAATATTAAGCAATAGATGAGTCGCACGAAACAACAATAGAGTCTATAACTTGCGTCGCGTGCGTCCAACGAGACGTCACAACAGATGTTTTAGGTCTCCCCCAGCTCAGAGGGCCTCAGCACCTATATAGTTTTTTCTAAGTAAGCACGCAGCGGTTGATGGGAGGAAAAAGGAAGAGTAGACTCGCGCCTTTCTTTTTATTCTAACCGCTTTCCCTTCGTCTCTTTCGTTCATTACTATTATGATTATAAGTTTGAACTCGGTCATCTTGCGATTTTGAAGCATGCCATTTTAAAATATTATGCATCAAGAAAGAATTTGTTCCTAGCAGTGGGGTAAGACGCTCTCCCTGACCGCTTTGTAACGAGGCCGCTATTATTTTTGTGCTCTGACCTTTTCTATGCGCCTGTTGCAAACACAAAATAGGTTAGGAGTATGCGTAATAATAGTTTCAGCAGGAGGAAGTCAAAGTTGTCGCGTTTTCCATTTTTGTCTTGAGTGGGCGACGAAAACGCGTGATGATGGCCATGGGTATGTAGTAATATCATTAGTACACTTTAATCTCTTGATATACTTTCTTTTCAGGGTGATTGGTTCTCTATCGAACTTTGACGAATTCGCCAAGGCTTACAAATGTCCTACAGGATCTCAAATGAATCCTGAGAAGAAATGCGCTGTGTGGTAAATACTGTCTTTGGTGACGTAGACCTGACGAGCTCTTCTAAAGAAAGGAGCAACTTCATTTACCCGCATTCATTGGCGGAAACATGGGATTATTTAAGTAATAAACGGCAAAACCTTCATATTTATCATCTGAATTTAGTGGCGTAACGCAAACTTTTTTAATGGGACTTCATAATAAGCCCATGAAGCACATTTTAAGAATTGCCAGTTTTAGCGGTTCAACACCAGGTGTTTGAAACCTTTCTCGGGTGAACGGCGTTTCAACGTGAAACCCAAAAGCATAGGCGAGGATGAACCTTCATATAGGGTTTGGCTCAGTAATAAGTTCTTAAACTCAATTCAGTAGTGCTCGTAAAGGTGTAACGTTTTCGATAAGAAGTTCCTTATGAACTTTGTTCCTTTTATTGCTCAAACTATTTTGTAAAACAGCCTCCGTTGCTTAACAGTGCGGGCAGAATTTAGCTGACATTGCTTCAAAAGTACCTCTCGTGGCATTCATTCCTAGTTTCCAGATTATGCCTTGTATCGATTTATAATTGTTTTTTCGATTGTTTTTTGTTCCTTAAAACTCACATAAAAATGATGAAATAAAGCAGTATGACTCTACTTTTGCTTCGTTGCCTCTTTCTAATTAGTTCTTGACAACCAGGCTGAGTATCGACTTCACTATGCAGTGGCCCATTTTCTCAGTCATATTCTGAATATCTTTTCTAAAAGAGATATGCGTTAATTTTTTGTGTCTATAAAAAATTGCGCTTCTGAGACGCCGGTGCTGCATTCATTAGTCCACTATCACGCTATTTTGCTAAAATAACACTGAACGAACTTAATTTGGCGACCGTACTAAGTTGTGGAACAAAATACCCGCGCGTTTCATATGGTAACATTGATTACAATGAACAAGTGGCGTCTCTCTTCTTGGCAGAGATATTAGAAGATCGTGATACTTTCGCTCTGACGAGGGGTTAACGCTTGAAACTTCTGCCTTGAAACTCTTTACGGTGCAGCTGGCCAGTTTACGTTGTCAGTTCGTTGATAATTATACAACTGAATTAATATTATCCTGTTATACTCTCCCACAGACGGAGCATCACAGTTTCTTCAGAAACTTTCCCCTTTAGTTATTCTACTTAACAATTGATTCATGCTTTAGCGTGCACTATCGAGTTATGGAGCACGTGGGAAGTTTGGAGAGCACGAAAGAAGCGTAAGAGTTGCCCGAGGCAATAGCCGAGGGTATCTCTAGCTTCTTGAATGCTCTCCAAACTTCCCACGTGCTCCATAACTCGATAGTGCACAGCTAAAAGCATGAACCAATTGTTTTATAACATAGCCGGTGGAATTGCGCATCAAATCCGACGCGAAAAACAGACAACCAGAGTGTCTATCTGTCAAAATTTGTTGCATTTCACCCTCGGACAGTGAAGGGAATCGTGACGGCGCTGATGCCGAGTCTCCTTTTCCGTTATTTTCCTCTTTTTCTGCCTCATTTAAGAACTCTAGCCCAAGGGAAAAGGTTGGAAAATTGTCTTCGTTTTGGGACTGGTGGGCCGAGTCTCTGTTTGTATCCATTATTGTCGCGAAATATATTATTTTTCCCTGCGCTAACAATGGCCACTCGCGCGAAGTTTCTAGCGAAGCGATTTGCTCACGCTATCAGCGTGCACTGTCAGGATTTTGAGCACGCTTACGTTTACTGAATTTGATTGCGTGGCTCTGCTAGCTATGTTATAATTTTGTATACTCACGTTTAATACTTGTTGAACAACAAGAATCCCAAGACAGCTATTTTTTAATATCATAACGTTAGGTTACTGTGGTTATGATTTATTCGCAGTTCACATCCTTTTCTGTAAGATTGCTGACTATCTGTTTATATAGGTGGCCGAAAAAAATGATGTGATCCATAATTTTTTTGACGCAAACGTCAAAAAACAGTTTAAAAAATCAGTCACGAAACAATTGTCAATACGTCCAAAAGAAATGCCAAAACCTATTTACTTAATTTATGCAAAGCACTTTCCAAACAAACCTCCGATGATTTCGAAAATAATATCAACCCGCGAGGAGAAATAAAGGACTGTATCCGCATTAAAATGCGAGGAAATAACAAATTTACTTTTAAACGAAAGGTTGACCATGGTTCATTAATTCTTTTTATATTGCCTGCCGGTCCATAGCGACAGGAGATCCAAACAAGCCAAGTTCAATCAAAAACTAAGTTCATATATTCATGCATACGTTAGCAACTTTCCTTCCAGTTAATTGGGTGCTTTTGGCAGCTGGTGATCAAGTGATGTGGAGTAAAATTTCTAAATTTGACATGCAGATGCTCCTAGGGCAAAGAAACGCTACAATTTACCTTGGAGAGCATTTCAAACAGAGGTAAAACGAGACAGTAGAGGTTAAACATTGGAGCGAATTGATGTCCCTTGCTCTGTAAATCAGAAACCGTGAAACAGTTGAACGAGGAATTACTTTAAAAGCACAGGCACCTTGGGTAGGAAATAGAATTCATGAGTCATCTGGCTTTACTTACTGTTCTAAATTAGTCGAGAACTTTGGTTAATATATACAAGAACTGATATCCGTTGAAGAGACTCTCTTTGCTCACTCACGGAGTAAAATCAAATTGTCAAAAGAGGCCAAGGGCGAAATCCTTAATGGAAGTATATTCCAGAAGTACAACTCATAAATCCATACAGGGATTTTTTCTGGTTTCCATAGACTTCCTCGCAATCTCTGGAAATATCATCGTCTGCTGGGTTGTCTTCAGAAAGCGAAAGACGCTTCGCGTTCCATATTTATACGTGTTTGCTTTAGCAGTCTCGGATTTGACTGTAGCGATATGCTGTTTCCCTCTCTGTATCCAGGCGTTTTTCGAAAATGCGTGGGCTCACGGCCATATCTTGTGCCAGTTCACTGGTTTTCTCATTTACTTCTGGGCAGGGATTTCTGTTCCAACCCTTGCTTTAACTGCAGTGAATCGCTATTTCCGTGTGGTCAAAACGCAAATATATCGCAACTACTTTTCGGTGAAGTCAAGCCTCTTCCTGATCATGTCTGTATGGGTATTTACGCTTTGTGATGGTTTCTTATCGACCTTCGTTGGACCAGTGATATATCAATACGATTCGCGATTTTTCTTCTGCATTGGAACATTCGCCAGCAAAAAGCACCGATTAATCATCGGTGTGCTATTGCACTTGGTTCATGTCCTTATTCCTCTTGTTGTCATCGTGGCTTGCTACGCGAGTGTATTCAAGACAATACGAACGCATAACGCAAATATAACACCCTCATTCCAAGCGTGGCGAAACCAGCCTTTGACAGCCTTGAATGCATGGGAAATACGTGTTACGCGGTTACTGTTTTTAGTGATCTTGGGGTTTTTCGTATGCTGGATACCTGTCATAGTTATTGGGATTTTGTCGCACTCATCAGTAGCGAATTTACCAGCATTTGCTTACGAATTGTACACCGTTTTGGCAATGACTTCCACTGTAATCAATCCATTCGTATACGGGTTGGGGAATCGGGAATTTCGGCGAGAGTTTATGGGAGTTTTTAAAGGCACATGAGTTGACAATAGAAGTTGTGACCATGAAATTTAGTTTGGTTTGCAACCTAGCGTTGGGAATGTCTGAACGATTGAAGAGATTCAGGTTATTAATCAAATCAAAAGAAAACAACTTGGTAGCAAACAAATCAGAATAAGAAAAAGGAAAAAAAAGAAGAACAGCGTTTTTTTCAATTACTGTACACTGACTTTGATAAAAAAAAAAAAAAAAAAAAAAAAACAAAGTACTCTTAACGAATTAATTACATCCACTATCAAGCGTAAACTATCAAAGGAATAAAAAGAAAGACTTCAAACGTTCTTTTTAATTAATACTTTTATCCAAAAACTTATTCAAATGCTGTGTCAGTGGATGGAATAAAGATTGGAGAGATTTTTCAGCGAAGCACAAGTTATCATGCGTGTAATGCAACTAATACACTGTACTACAAAAAGATTCAGTGGAAACAAATGACCATTTGTTGTCATTGTCAACTGTCGCAAAAAGCTCGTCTTTTTGATAGTTTGTAAAGTTTTATTTGTTTTCATGCGTTTTTCACCCTCTGCTATTGAAACACCTGCCAATAGCCAAACGTTCTTGAAAAGAAAAATGTCGTTGAAAATATAAAGGTGTGCGAGCTCATAGCGAGTCAAAGTTAACTACACTTTCCACTCTCCTCCATACTTCCGAATGTCAGACCGGTATATTCAGTATGGCTCACAACGGATAGTTCTGGTTTTTAGATTTTCAAACTTTTCAACCAGGGTATAGGCTGTAGGCGTCAAACAATATTTATACTTTCTCAGAGTATCTAAATTGGGAAGATTTATTATCTGGGGAGATTGATGTTGTCCCAACCCAGTTTGTTCACAAATCTCTTCAAAAGATTCTGTATCAGCAACTGCTATCTTTCAAATGCCACCCATGAGCATTTTTTGCAAAGTTTAGTGGAGTACATACAGTTGCCCTGGTAACATGTCACGATGTAATTAAAAATTTCAAAGCACATTTGGACGAATTTACATTTATATAGGAATTACTTTGAGAGGTAAAGAATACACAGTTCTCCCCCTCAGACACTCAGTTTAATCTCAAACAATAGTTTTAGTATTCCCTGCGAGGAAGTCTTTCAAAACTTGCAGTCTTCTGGATTTTTCGTCCTCTTCAGTGAGTCCATGTCCTTTGACGGGTGCCTCAAAATCCAGATCTTCCTGTTCAAAATACTGGGGATATTTCGTAGCGTATAACTCCCTGAGCTGTTCGAATGTTCTGCCAATAAAGCCGCCATCACTGTCTGCCTGTTCCTTAAGTTCGCTGAGGCAGTTTCTCAAACTGATTTTTAAAAACAAAAAATAATGAAATTCAGGTTAGACTTTTTAATTAAAAAATCACTTGACGCACTATGAACACAATTATCTTTGTCCTCAAGAGCTGACAAATAGCTCCAACAAAGAGTTATAACCCACTGTGTGATGCTCATCAAAAACAAGGCGAAATTCAAATTTGTATGATCCCTACAGATGGCATAATTAAAATCCAAGAACGCACGTTCAAGGATTATTTTACCAGCCTATTCCCAGCAGGCATCCTTTTTTCCTTGTTGTCCACAGCTTTCAAATATAAACGCCCGCTACTTATACTCAGTTGGTTCCTTAATATCAAGTGACAATCATAATTTCTGCACACAAAAAAATATATTCTTTTTTTACACGAATGTTGCGATTTGTTGGTGATTGAAAGGATGTCAAATGGAGCCGCAAAGCGCTTAGCGTTTATGATGATGATGATGATCATCATCGTCATTATCATCATAATTTTCGCTCACAAACGAACATCGAAAGAACGATAGCAGAATCAAACAAATCATAAGCAATCATGTTATGTTATTTGTGAAATCAAATTTGGGTGTACTACGTTATATTTTAGACCAAAGTCCAATTTCGTGATTAAACAAGAGAAAAAGTAGCTAAACTGAACGGAGAAAAACAGTGGTAGGCGAAAGTGTCCACGTCAACATCTAGTGCCAAGCTCAAAATCTGTGAACGAGATTGTCTAAATTATCAAATTAAATCATGCACGCAACGCGTAAATAGGTGTAATAGATCTCACCTGTATTTGTTACAAAAATTCTGCGTAACGCTAACAGTGTCGTCCAGATTGAGGACACTGTGCCACCATCCGGTCGGTATAAATACGATATCACCTGGCTTCTGCACACACTCTATGGGAAGGTTGCCCTTCTGGTAACGATAACGATTGTGATCATGATCATGAAAACGATCAAAATTCAAAGGTATTTGTCATTGAAACTTGATACGATGAGTGCGATTGATAAGATTTGTCTATAGTTCCTTTTTCATGCTGTGGTATCATGTATTCTTGCCCTTTATTTGGTCTATCATCTCCATTTTGCCCTTTAGTGTTTCAATCCTGAATCTACCCTTCCATTCATTGACTTTCCCAATCTTTCAAATTGTTTTGTTTCACTTATTTTTTTCCCTGATCTGTTAAAAAAATTCACTCGGGAAACATAGCTTTTGTGTTATGCAACGATATACGTTACCTCCAAGATTCATTTTACATTTACATTTTACCATAATCTTTTAGATATCACCAACGTATTAGCTGTTTGCAGTCAAAGTTCAAAATAAATCTGTATAGAAGTTATCAGTGGTAATTAACATCACGGTAACTTCTCCGTATAACATATCAACGTTATCCATCACACAGGTTATAAGAATACTCATGCTTATCAGGGAAAAGTTGTTATCTTGGTCTAATACCAAATTCTCGTAACTAATCAAGAAGGAAATGTATAGCAACAAGAGGGGAGAAGAAACGTCAGATCTTGGGAGTTAAAAGATTAACTCGAGGTTCATACCAAATACGGTCGGGTGTAAATCCACCAGTAAAACGCATCCTCCATGTCATAGTCTCTTTTTTGGTAGTAATTATTCTTCACACCTATATGATTAAAAAAATTAAAGCTTGCGGTAATCTCCTTTATTTGCACAGTTTTGGGCCAGTATCTGTTGTTCTTTGAAGGGGACAAAACCTAGCGATCCCTCAAAACTTCACACAAACCCGTTGGACTCCTCAGCGGCCATGTACATACAGGTGGACAAAAATCTCATTCCCTATGGTCTGTCCCTCTGTATCTCTTACAACTCGAAATTTTAACGAAAGCGAGGATTGGGAGGGGGTTTGGAAGGCTGCAGTTCTAAAGAAGAAAGTTTTAGCAGGCATCTTAAAGTAAACTATCAAATGTTGTTGCTTCGCTAAAACGAGATTGATCATCATTGATTATTCTTCGAAATCTTCTGGTCACCCTATATATACCTGGCACTATACTGAGTCAGGAAATAGAGAGCATGCAGATCCTAAGGTTCAGCTGCCATCGACCCTCTCTTACTCGTCAGACATAAGGCTGTCCACTTAGCTTTCCTCATCGCTTACCTGGAATGTGGTAGACCGAGGGAGGGTACATGCCCCATAATTTAGCCCCTTGTACCAGAGCCAACCAGCCAGTTGTATTGGCAGGGTCTACGTGCCATCCTGAGCCACTCCGTTTGGCAGCCATGATAATCCATCGCCAGTCAAGGCGAAGCTCTTCGTCCACATTGTTCATGAAGTCATCTGACTCCGCAAAGAAGTCTGGGATGATGTAGTCCTGCATTGACAAGAAAGAGTACAAATTTAAAAATCTAATTTGAAAAGAAAGTCCATTGTAGGAGTAAAGGGGGTAAGTTTATGAAAAAAAGTGTGTTCTAGTGTCGGTGGGAGAGCATAACAGGGTAATTTAGTATTATCAACTGAGTTGATAACTGACTGTGAATATAAGAAAATCATATATTTGAACTGCGGATAAAGACGTGAATATGAAATCAATCTTCGCAGTGATGAACGCTACTTGAGCAGTAGTGAAAATAAGGTCTGGAAAAAAAATTCAGACCTGTACGGGATTTGGACCCATGATTTCTGCGATACCGGTGCAGTGCTTTACCAACTGAGTTAACAATCCAAATGGGTGCTGTTCATTATGTTGGTTTCAAATAAACCCGTGAAGTGTTGAATAAATAACTGTGAATATATGAAAATCACATGTGAACTGTGGATAAAGACGTGAATATGAAAGCGATCCTCGGGTTACTTCGACAAATTAACAGCCACAACAGGAAGAGCAACAATTCTCTTACATTTCCCATGCTAAAGAAACTAGTGTGTGAGTAGGCAGGCATGAGAATCAATCACCAATGTTTGCAAGTTTTGCCATTATTAAACGTGATAAGGCGGGTTAGAGTCTACTTCGCTTCCAAAATTTGTCGTGTTGTTTGTAATAGATGCAGCAGACGACTGAATGCCACTGTATTGACAATGAAAATTATACTGCATGTGATACGAGCTCTTATGACTTTCCTATACGACAAGGCCAGCTACATCTTCAATAAACGCAATACTTCTATAAATTATACATACTTAAGAAAGCTACTGATAAATTATATCCGTCACTCCCCTGAAACACCGTCCCTCAAAAATTTACCTCTCGCAGCTCAGGATACAGATCAAACACATCTGACATAAAGATAACCCACGGTGCAGTCTCGTTGGCGGCTCTCTCCTTCAGATACTTCACGTAATTTGTTAGTGGCACCGGGGTTAACCTCTGACCAATATACACGCCGTCCTCTATGCGAGGATCATGCTGGAATGTCTCAAACAGCCACTTGTCCATGGCTTTCCAGTTTTCCATCATGCCCGTTATAATACAAGCCTGACCTACAAATGTTCATTCGTTATTCAAGACTTAAATCGGAGATTCACACAATACCTAAGTTGTCTGTAAAAGTGTTTGGTAAGCTATTTAATATCACACAATAGGAATCAGTTGAACGCGTAATAAAATCAAGGGGAATTTGAAAATCTAAGTCGCGCTTAGTTTGTTAGCATTGTGTGGCAAAAGATGATTGAACCGCAGCTCACGGTGCAATAGCCCTGCTTAAGGAAAACCTTCGCTTTTAACAACTTAAAGTAAAATCACTTAACGATCGCGTAATGTAAATTTACCTTCTCTGTAATTGTAGAATCAACTGAATGCCAGCGACAAAGAAAATGAATTACAACCAGTACCTGGTTTCATGCATTTCTCAGTGAACTCTTCTTTGCTGGGTTTATGTATCTTTGGGATAGTACAATGTGTTTCGTGTATCGGCCAGATGTCCACTACGTCCAGTTTCCGTAAATAATCTTCAAAAGCGCTCAGTCTGGATCTAAATCTCTTTTCGTGCGGCTGAAGGTCATCTTTGTTACGGGAAGCTTTGAACAAGGAAGGAAGAAATAACGATTTTAGCTTAGAACTTATTAATTTATTTTCTTCTCCGTTATAGTTTCACTCATTCTTGACCTGACTTAAAGTAGGAACTTGTCGTACTAGTCTTAAACAATTTACAATACTCTACCAATGTCCTAAAATTTGGAATTCTTTCCCACTATCGAATACTGGTTTGACTAGCTTTTTTACTTTTAAAGGAAAGATGATCGGTTTTTCAATGAAATGAGTCCGAATTGGCCAAGCCGCACATCCACATCCATAATTCATTGACAACCGAAGTGGCCTCCCCCATAAGCCTGGTGGTTTCTTGGAGGTCTCTTCGCCCCTCCATACTGTTAAACCTCTATAGATGTTATATCTGAAGAGGCTAATAAATGATAAATGATGATGATGATGATGAAAGAGATAGGCAGGGTGTTCTTATGATGTAATTCCTCATTTATGTCTCATTGACATTTGAGGGCCTGACTAGTTATTCTGTTATCAGTTAGTTTCCCCTTTTCTTGAAAGTGAATCAGATGGGATCGTACACAGTAGAGGACTAAATCATCCCTTCCCTCTTACACTCATTTCAGTAACCCTTTTGACCTGTAAGAGTGACGAATATCTAATTTTCCCCTAAAATATCAACCCTTAATCAAACATTTAGATCACAAAAATATAAGGAAATGATCACCGACTAAAAAAGCTCTCGATTGTCTGACAAATTCTCCTCGTCAGCGCTTTAGGATAAGACCTTAAATGTTTTTTTCTATCTCTAAGTGCTCACTATCTTAATCTCACACATTTAAAAAGATGACTCTCGATTTAGTATGGCTTGAAAAATGTATTTCTAATTTTGTAACGAGTCATCAAGCCATTTTTAAACTCGATAATACCCTTCAACTACCCAAAATGATCGCATTCTAATTGCCATGACTTGAATTTATAGAATACCATCGTGATCACAGCTTCAAGTCTTTTAAATGAGAGCCAGTTTGAAGAAGCAACACCAGAGTATGGTGAATTTGAAATTCAGTGTTAAGCCCGTAAACACTCGAACTCGAATCAAATACACAGCGTCTATCTTAAGAACCTGCATGCGCTTGACCGCTGCGCAAACCCAGCTAATTCATGACCGATGGGTGCCGCGGATTTTCCCCATAGGCCCGACCAACCAAATTCCTCTGAGTCGTTGGCTAAATGAATTAGACAATGTTCACGATAATACGTAGAAAAACTCACTCTAAAATCCAAACATTTACTCTCATTAGCTGCATGTAAATTGTTATGCTTACATTCCATTTGATCGCCTTCGATGTGAAACGCATCAGACTTTTGACACAGTTTCCTGCCATCTTTAAGCAATCCACATATTTTCACCTTGTATTCGCCACTTTTCAAGGTCTCAGGCACGTGTACTTGCTTTACATAAACTAATTTTTCGCCAATTTTCTGCGGAAATATTATATCAGTTGAGTACGTATGAGCAGTATGATCTCTGCCGTCCGTAAGTTCCACATTCCAGTTGTCGACCTCCCCCTGATCATATGCGAAGGTGACTCGCCTTGCCTTTCCATTTGCGACCCATAAACTCGTATTTTTAGGAAGTAATATTTCAAATAGTCCGTCTGCAAGGCTGGCTAAAAAAGGAAAAAAATGACAAATGATAGAGATATTTGTTTAATAGAATACAGGTATGGTAATCAGACGTCTTGAGTAGCTCTTTTTACGTTTGATACAAGTTCATTGTAGCTGCTGTTCCAACAGGTAAAATCTTGATGATGTAAATGTTCGAAGATGGCGTGCTCAAGTGAAAGATGACTGATGTATTCAGTGAATAACACATGCAGGCATACTCGGATAAAAAGAACTCCAATTACTCCCGATAGGAGTCGAACATAAAATGTTTTGATTGGTACTTCGGATGTTCTTTACCACTGAGGCAAAGGAGCCTTCCACGAGTCTATCACACTCTAAACGCAAATTTTTTTGTCCTTTCCTGAACGATACTCGAACAATTCCATCGACCTCGCAGAAGTATGATAGGTGTGAAAATGACAATTCAGAGTCACAGTCTACTGGTCAAACGAATCTCTGTGAAAATCGTTCGTTTACATCGGAAAAGCTGATTTAAATATCTATCACAATCTGAGCTCGAAACTATCACAAATTCTAATTTTCCCTCGATACATAATTAGGTTATAAGGGCTGTGTTATTAACGTTATCAAATCCATTCAGTCTTACCAGGTACAAACAACAGAAATATGATCGTGTATATTAACGCCATCTTTATTTCCCTTAAAACAAAACAAAAAAAATTAGTTTCTGCTATGCGGGGAATATTTAAAAAGAAAATGCATGGGCCACTCAAACCGCAAAATATCAAGTTGGGAACATAACACTGAATCACAAGTAAGTTGACGCGGGTTAAACCACAATCTTAAAACCTCAGTGCAATTATCTTATTTGCCTTTGGTAGAACTCATCACAAAGTATTTAAGTTTATCCAGGGGTTTCAACAAATTTCTGCATAGGCGGCTACGTAACGATAGTGTGAGAGGCAGCTGTGCCCAGAAAAGGGGCTGTAAGGGGGAAACCTAACAGAAACCTTTACAGGCGGCGGTAGACCGCCAGTATAGCCGACTTTTATTCTTAAGATGCTAGGTATACTCCAAATGCTGATCACTATCGAGTCTCAAAATTGAGTGAAGCGATACATTAAAATTAACATCTCCCCTACCAACTATATAACTGTATAGTTCAAGCAGCTCTAATTATTGTCGATATATCAAGTTTTCTTTTGTTCTCAAGATCATGAAAACAGAGGTTATACTTACAATGCCGAGCGAGGTTTAACGCTTTTTTCTGTAACTTTTTCCTTATTGCTCTTTGCGATATTTTACGATAGAGGCTTGATCAGTTCTCCGCACTCGATAGTAACCAAAGACACCTGTTTTTGTTTCTACCATTCTTGTTGTCCAAACACAGCTCACAGGCTGAATCAACAAATCTGTAAAACTCGACGTTTTAAAAAGAGGAATGAATGCAAAATTTTCATTTTTATCTATTGTGTTATAAAATTTTGGTCAAATTACCTGATAATTCAAACCTTTCCGAGAATTAATTTCGTCTTAAAGATCCTTCGATGACCTCGCCTCGATTCTGTGACATACCACCTTCATATGAATTATCATGATGAAAAAAACTGGCAGACGACCGAAAATTTGCACCATTCACTTAGACACCTTTTTAAAAATGAAAGACTCAACAGTTAACTACGAGTTCAGATTCATAACACGTATCCTGCGCATCTACGCACACATCAGATCATAGTCCGTGTTCGAGCATGTGATCATGAATACAATTATTGTGTCTCCATCACACGGTTCGCCATATTGACCGGGGGCAAAGAAAGTTCCTGGGTTCTAATAGAGAAATGTATCCTTTGTTTACCCTTGTGGCGCTTGGTTCACTATCGAAATGATCTGAGCGTAGCACGAATGAAAAAATTCATAGTGCGGCGGCTAACGATAAATAGATCAATCAAAGCTTCCTTGATTAAGGATCAGTTTGTCTTGTGGGTTCACGGCGCAATCTTAGTGAGGAAGATTAACGAAACACTTCTTGTCATTTTAGCACAAAGAAGTGTCGAGGAAGTCTTTTCCTGAGCGTTTCGAAACACGAACGTTTCTGATTCACAAATAGCGATCTTTCAGAACCAGTGGAGAGACGAATATGCAGCAATTTAGAGCGACATCTCACCAAGAGATGCGAGTGGAGTTCATATCGCATTTCTCGCCGACGCACACGGAAGAAGCATTTTGTTGTATGAAAATAATGAGGTCTAAGTGCGAACTGTGTGATGTGAACTTACTCGTTGGTGAACCTCAGCGGCGGATTGCCGCGCATCGACTCGTGTTGGCGTCATGCAGTCCATATTTTCAAGCCATGTTTACGAGTGAGCTAATCGAAAGCAGGCAAAGAGATATAACGTTGCAAGGAGTCGACGCTGATGCCATCGAATTACTCGTGGACTTTGCTTACACCGCGCGCATTCAAGTAAGCGAAGATAACGTGCAAGCTTTGCTCCCCGCGTCGAGTTTATTACAGCTAACAAGCGTAAAAGATGCTTGCTGTGAATTTCTTAAGAATCAACTTCATCCCTCAAACTGTCTTGGTATTCGAGCTTTCGCTGATACTCATACCTGCGTGGACTTATTGGAATCTTCGCATCGTTTCGCCCTTCAGCACTTTTTGCAAGTCTCGCAAACCGAGGAGTTTATGCTCCTTTCTGTCGAACAAGTCTTGGATCTCATCTCTAACAGTGACGTGAACGTAGAAAATGAGGAGCAAGTGTACAATGCGGTTATAAACTGGGTCAAGTTCGACGTGGACAATCGCAGGGAATTTGTAAGAGACCTGTTACCATTTGTGAGGCTTCCCCTGCTGACTAGAGAATGCTTGATGACCCGCGTTGAAAGTGAAGAATTGATACGAAATACCCCAGACTGCAAAGACTTGCTCATCGAAGCGATGAAGTACCACCTTTTACCAGAGCAGCGCTCAGTGCTTCAAAGCCCCAGAACTGTCTCCCGCAAGCCTACGGGACAAGTACCAATCTTGTTTGCCATTGGAGGGGGCAGTCTGTTTGCCATTCATAGTGAGTGTGAGTGCTATGATCCCAGGATTGACAGATGGTGCATGGTGACTCCCATGTCAACCAAGCGTGCCAGGGTGGGTGTTGGGACAGTATGTGGGAGAATTTACGCTGTTGGTGGATATGATGGAAGTAATGACTTGGCAACAGTTGAAGCTTATTGTCCTCAGAGTAATCAGTGGTTGTCAGTTCCATCAATGGGAACTCGTCGCAGCTGTCTGGGTGTTGCTGTCTTAAATGGTTTGATTTATGCCATCGGTGGCTATGATGGAGCATCCTGTTTGAATAGTGTTGAGAGATTTGACCCTTTGACAGCTCAGTGGACATCAGTCGCAGCCATGAACACACGAAGGTATCTTCTTCTTTTGGTGGATATTTGTACAAATAAAATTACTTTCTAGCCCCAAATATCTGGATCTTACATCTTCTTTTTTTTTGTTGTTGCATGTATTACACAACTTTTTACAAAATTGGTAATTCAAGTGATCTGACCATGACAACATCATTTGTGGAAAAATCCAAAGAGCAGTGAATAAAACATAATGGTAAAAAAAAATGTTAAGAATGAAGAATGTAACACAAATTAAAATTGTTCAACTGAAAAAATCTAGCTGCTCAATTCCTCAAGCAGAACAAAACAGTACAGAACTTTACTATTGGAGTCTGGGAGTTCAGTGGGTTTTACATGAATTAAAATGCCTTTGATACTGAACCAATGTACCTTGTATATTTTGTTGTCAATTTCTTAGAGTGGATGTCCTTGGAGGCCAAAAAAAGGTGTTGTTAATTTGAATGGCCCTTTCTTGAGAATGGCTCTTGAGAACAGCCACAAGAGGTGTTAATCCTTTAGATCCCAGAAGTAATTAACCTGTCATTTCTTGCTGTAATATCCACACATTATCCCAGAAAAGGGATAGGTTGAAGTTATTTGTTTGATTTAACACCAAATTCTCATAACCAATTTACAAAGAAATGTGTAGCAGTTAGTGGGGAGAATTAACAATCAGATCTTGGGAGGTAAAGGGTTAAAGCCATCAGTAGCCTCCTGGTAGATCTCCTCAAGTGACAATAATCACCCTGTAAGCAAGCTAAAACACGTCTAACAGCCTATTTGACTCAAGTTTGGACTGCAAGGCCCCTTTTTTGCCTGTTTGGTTGTGTTCCCCCCAACAGATTGCCAATCTTCTGCCAGGGGTCTCTGAGAAATTTTCTTGTCTGCAATGCAAAAAATATAACCAACAAAATGCACATAAGTTAAGGTCTGTTGACATGAGTGTCATTTGAGAAAACTTTTGGCAGCACAGCCAGCAAACAGTGCTTAACTACATCGTAGAGAGTGACATACACATTTGATTCTTACCTTCAAACACTTTCTTCCCTCAGGCGGTATGTGCGTGTGGGTGTAGTGAATGGCATCATCTATGCCATAGGAGGCTATGATGGCAGTGCACACCTAAACACAGTGGAGTGCTTTGACCCCATGACCAATACATGGAGAATAGTTGCCAGTATGGCCAGCAGAAGAAGCAGTGCTGGTGTGGCTGTACTGAATGACATGCTGTATGTTGTTGGTAAGTTACACAGTGCAAATTGAAGTGGAGTCTTCTTTTCTGGCTCTTTGAGCTGCAGCTGTTTGTAGTCTGATGTAATGTTTCCCATGCTTAGTCTTTGTCTAAAACTTACTGTAAGTGGTATGAACTGGTGTACAAAATGGTCATCCCCCAGGGTCTGTTTTAAATTTCCCTTTTTTCTTTGTCTTGGTCTCAGCACAAGCTTTAGGTGGTCATCATCCATTCACTCTGGCAAAGGGCTTACATTCAAAATGTCAGCTTTAAAAACTCTGTACGGTGGCCAATTTACTTTATCAACTTGTTTGATCAAACTAAACCTCCAAATGTGTTTGTTTGTTTTTTAATACTCTGCCATGTTGTCTATTTCAATTGCAAACCATGTCGTCAATGCAACAGGAACTCAAAAAATATAGTATTTAATGAAGTGTCCATTATTTAAGAATTCTCTATTACACCTCTCTTGCCATAGGTGGTAATGATGGAGCATCTTGTTTGAACACAATGGAGCGCTATGAACCTGTTGCCGATGCATGGACTTGCCTGGCCCCTATGAGTATTCGCCGCAGCACCCATGATGTGGCAGTGATTGACAGCATATTGTTTGCAGTGGGAGGTAATGATGGCAGCTCCAGTCTTAACAGTATTGAGAAGTATGACCCAGAAACAAACAAGTGGACATCAGTTGTCTCCATGAGCACAAGGAGAAGCAGTGTTGGGGTGACTGTGGCTCATGTTTTGCTGCTCTGAAGCTTATACTCCTTGGACATTAAAAGTTTATTGAGTGACTTAATATTAAATCGTTTTAATTAATATAATTTTTTAAGTTGTTGAATGAAGTGGTAAATTTGTACCACCTGTACATATGTGAAAATTAAGTTATTCTGCAGAGGTGTAAAACTGTTTCAATGACTTTGACTTACAAGTCTCTTATGTAACTGTTTGGTCTAATGTCTTGCAAAGCACTCTCTACCCCACCACGGGCTGCTTCATGATCGGGAACCAGAGAGAAGATGTGTAGTGAGACCAAACAATGACTGCAATGAAGACCATTGACTGCCATGTATATTTGAAGAGTTAGAGAAGTACATTCTGTATTATACATGAAGAAGAGTGTCGTCAAGTTACACTTCAGAGACGTAGCTTGTTATTTGGCTCTAGTATATCGAGACCTGTCTCCAGTTGGTGACTGAAAATTATCACAGGGTCAATACTTACAGAAGCTCGAGTTTTTTCAGAATTACTTCTATAAAATAAATTTTAGTGCAAATCACTCGTGAAGATCAATTTGCTACTTGTTATTGTAAATATTACAATGCACATTCAATCCTTAAAAGCACATTGATGTGTCTTTTGTTCTGTAATCTGGTAAACTTTCATGTAGCCTTGTTTTGTGTTTTCTGCAAAATTCATCATCTAATATCAGAGAAAATTACAAATCAACATTTTGTGTGTTTTGGGGTATTTAAACATATACTGCAGTTTAAGTATTGCAGCTACAATTAAACAAATATCTTCTGAATATGCACTCTCCTGCAGATTACTTCTTTGGTATTGAGTTGCAATCAGTTTGTTTTGTAAGATTTTGAATTTGGACTTTTCAGTATTTGTTATTAAATGCATGCAAACTTTTCATTCTGTTGTACTTTTTGGACCATGCGATATGAGGATTTTACTTCAGTTGTCACCGTAGATGAGTTGATTGCCTTTTTATGTTGCATTGATTTAGAAGTTGAATGTACAAAGTTCTTGTATCTAATAAAGTTAATCACAATTATGAATTGGTATTTTTATTTTATGTGCATTTGCCAAGTAGGTCTGAGACTGTCTGGGTTGAAAATTGTTAAAAAAAAAAAAAAATTATAAAAAAGAACAAGGGGAACATCTGTACATCTTCTAGCCATTCTTCCCTCTCGAAGGAAAATTTTAGCAACATTTCAATGCAGCAAATTTTTCTTTTATGGGTTTCTGACATGAAAGGATATATTTTTCAAGCAATCAAAGAAATGTCATCAACCCTTAAACTCCCATGAGTGACCACGACAGAATTTCTCCTTACAGTATCAATACAATATCAACCAGATAAGTGATGAGAATAAAGAAAAATATCAATTTGGGGATAATTGGTTGACCCAATACTAAATTCTCTGAACTAACATTATAAGAATTGTATGGTTGACAGTAAGAAGAATTACAAATTTGATCTGGGAGGTAAAGGGTTAAAGGGCCTGACCCTTTACACACTGACATCAGTGTGCACATTCTCCATACTGTTCTCTTTACGTTCTCTTAGGGACAAGGGAGTTGAAGAAGGATTTGATGATGTTAAAAAAATGGTTACGTTTGAGGACAGGTACTTCCTCATAAGAAGAAAGTTAAAAGCCTATTTACAGCACAATTAGTTAACAGGGGAGTGCAATAAAAGGAAAAAATAATGTTGAAAATGGATTTTATTCTCACCAATGTGGAAAAAGAACATTTCTCAATCAATTTACCTTGGGTTGGTTGAGATACATGTTCATTTTGCATACATAACATATCAACACTGCTGTTACATTAAAAATTATTGTCTGTCCCACCACACATTTAAATGCACTTTTACTGAAAATCAGGAAGCACTACTAAAGCCCTTTCAATCTTTTTTTATGTAAAAAAAAAAGATTCAAAGAAGTGGACTAGAAACCCTGTCACACTTCAGGAGGTAGTATAATTTGAGCAACATCTGTGTCACCAGAGGCCAGCAGGTGGGCTTGCAAATCATGGATCTTCAACATCATTTACTAGTCTGTGATCATTTCTTCTTTGATTTCCCTTGCAGGTCGCTAACATGAGAACAAAGAAACAGCTTAGTATTAAATTGTAAACATAGGTTATTAAAGATTACATAGAACATTTACAAGTACACAAAAATATTTGATGGACATAAGTGATCAAATAACTAAACAACTCACTTTAGAACAAATAATCACACACTCCGACTTAAAAATAACATTCATCTCAAGCATTGTGAAAGGTCTTTAGTTAGAGGATTTATAATCATTGGAAACTAACATGAATAGATTACCTAGTTTGATTGTTTATCTTTCTTTTTTATTATGAAATTTTTTACAATAAAAACTGTTTCAAATTTAACCCTGTAAACCATGCCCTAAAACAAGTTTGGTAGATCAAATATCATTTAGGAAGCATTGGAAAAGAATGTATGTAAACAGAGTTCAAATTCAAGTAATATCAAGGTTATGCAAGAGAAATTAAGTAATGGTTACTAGAGTTACTTAGCTTTTTCTTTATGGCTGGTGACTGATGATTTCTGCCATACAGTTTTAGTAAAGTTACATAGACCACAGCACACCCAGTACTCACTCTTCTATGTCATCTGTGTCTCTGACATTTAACATCAATGCCCCAGCATCCAAGAAGACCATATTTTGGGAGTTTGAAATCTACAAATTAATTGTAAAATATAAAACAATTAAACTGCCTGCAGAATGATGAAGGCCATGTCAAGATATGGGTCGGTAAAGATGCAAAGAATTAAGGGAAAAAAAAGAAAACAGGAAAATAAGAAAGGATGGGAGAGAACAAGAGGCCCCTTTTCAAGAAGTATGATTTGGTTTTTCCCATATTATAACACACTTGTGGTTGTCTCAAGTGTAATATAATATTTACACTTAAGCAATTAATCTAATTCAATATTACTGTACAAAGCTGATCCTACTGTAGAGTTTCAATAGCAGTATGGTTGGTACTCGTAGTTATTTGCCAAACAAATGAAAAAAGTATGGTCATGTTAATTAAAAAAAAAAATTGCAACTACAATTATCTTCTCCCAAATAGTTCAAATGAAACTACTTTTCTTTGAAGAAGGGGACAGACAAGGAAAGCATGCTTGAGGAGGGGCTTTGCTTTTGATTTAGGCCAGAAGAAAGGGTACCATAAACTGCACTTTAAATTTTATCCCTAATTTTTGGAGAATTAAAATGAATCAGACCCTCCCCCCATCCCCCCCCCCCTCCTGTCCCATTTTGTCTTGAAAGGTTTAAAAACTGGGAATCCTCTGATGAAATTTAGCCCCAAGGAAAATACATTTGTAAAGCTTAGTTGACACAAGACAAAACCCTACCGTGTTTGAGACATTTTGAGCTGCTCGTATCCGTCTCAGCTTCAAATAACCTGGATTTGACTTCAAAGCATTACCAAGGTGAACATTGTCAAGGATAAACAAATATTGACTCTCACAGTTATGCAGTCCATATTTTTATGTACTACATAGAGGGTGGCAAAGAGTTTTTTGTGTGACGCATGGTTGCAGCCAAATTAGTAGGTGATGTGTGAATTTTGCAAAAAGGGAAGTGTAATTCATGAATGAATTTATGAGCCAGCATGAGGCAAGATTTATCTCCTGAAATGTAAGTAACTTGCAAATTTTTTCTCTCATTTTGTGAAAATCTCAAAATTTCCCTTAAATGTTAAACACAAAAAGAGATTTGAAGTTGATTTTTAACATATGTAATGCATTCATTTTTCTCAAATTTGTTCATGAAATGGGACCAGAACTCCTAGATGTATTTTGGCTACATGTAGAATCTACATCAAAGGATATCAGAGTGGCTGCCTTAGCCTCTCCTTCAGCCTGTACAATTTTTTGCTGTCGTTCCTGTATTGCCTTTTCCACCTGGTAATGAGCTCGCTGTGCTTCCTGCTGAGCTGTAGAAAAAATGAAATAAAATAATAACGACAAAACTCTACTGTACATTTAATGCCAGTTAAAGAACATACAAAACAAATTTCAAGATTTAATATCCAAGGAAGAGTGTGTACAAGTCATCCATTTTTTTAACAATCCAGTGTAACATAACCTCTGAATTCTTTTTAGTACTCACCGACTTGTTTCGCTTCAATAGCTGCTGTGTACTCTCGGCCAAAACTCAAGTCAGTCTGGAGAATTTAAAGGAGAGCATAAGCCTTCCAAGAAAGACATATTTATAAACCACAGTCTTAAATTTAAAAAAACATGGCATGGTGCCACTGTCCTGCAGAAAATGTCAATGGTTTGCAGAAATACAAGTACACACACACTTATGATGTTTGCGAACACAGTATAGGGGAGATACAATAGACTTACAATAGACACATCATCCAAAATAATGAAGAAATCCTTAGCACGATCTGTCAACTGCCTTCTGATTAACAGACTGACCTATATGAGAAAAAGAAGCAACAAGAAGGAACATGTACATACATGTATTCTTTTCACTCATACTAATTTTACAACCCTTCACGTTTCCTTCGTCACCAATAAGTGGTGTATAGTAGTATGCCACAACTACTACATGCACATGCAAAGATGCTTCATGGAAAGCTTGAGGCTTTGAATTCAAGCAGACAATCATTTAAATATCTCTGTGCATATCCAAACTGGCCTCTGGACTTTTTTGTCACTTATTTCCAAAGATATTTTAATTAATGTTTCTCAGATACATGTAGCATTGGAATTGCAAGTTGGAACATAACACAAGTTAATACTGTTCTCGAGATAAAAATTGTCATAACCTAACTTCTGAGATATAAAAAATGTAATGATGTAACAGACCTCTTGGCGCATTGTGATAAGTTGTGAAGCATTAAACTGAGCCACAACACTCTTCAAAACCTACATAATAAAAGAAACAAACACCAATATTAGGTAAAAAATAACATTAATTTTTAATTAATAATATAAATAATAGATTGTGCTTCCAAAAATTTACTGATTCCAGTCTTTGCAACTCAATCCTTTCAAATGAATATGTCCACATTATTTTATATCTCGCTCAATCTTTTGGATAATCCTTAAGAGTGCTATGCCTACTGCTTAAAAGTAAGTCGACAGTCTCGACTTGAAACTCAATCCTTAATACTCAAAACTGCCTGGAATTTGAGGATCAAGAATCAAGGCTTTAGTTTTGCGGCTGTAACAAAATTATCCATTCAGAAGCAAAAAAACTCCAACCTGTTAGACTTATTTCCGAAATATAACAGAAAGTTTCTCAGAAATGTAAAGATTTTATCAGGAAAATTTTAACCATTTGCACATTATGATTGCTAGTCACCATGACACCACAGTCTTGTTTTGCAGACGATTATGCATCAATAAACAAGTTTGTTAACCACATTTTCTCAACTAGTGTTCATTTCAAGCCACATAGCAAAAACTCTGAAAACTGTTCAAGATGAAAGGGGAATTGTAAAATAGAAAGAAAGTTGTAATACATCACAGAACTTAGCAATGAGGCTATTCTATGCTGTTAAATATCAACACTTGGTGCAGGCAATAGCTAATGTAAATGTTGCAGGTGTTGCTTTCTTGAAGCAAGTACTTTTTTTCAATTTGTGTCAGGCTCTGAAGTCAAACTTGGTAATTAAAGTAACATTCGTAAAATTAAAATTTTGCAAGATGAAGGGTGTTCATTTAACACAATGAAGAGGATCATGTATACAGAGATAATAATTTGCAAAGTTATTGTTAAAAACATCAGAACTAGTTCGAACAAAGTTTTGTTACTTCAGCAAAATTAAAATGCATGCTGTAAGGTTTTTAATCCTGCAAATACGACAAAAGGTAAGAAGCTTCAAGTTGCATGAAAAGTTAATTGCACAAAATTTCCTTTGCTTCCTCATTTCGAGGTCCTTGAAACTCGTTTCAAGTGTTTTGAAACTCTAATTACACTTTTCAAAACTCAACTCAATCCCCTTTCCTTGAAATTCTTGAGAATCCAGGATTGACAATCAAGAATGGAGTATCAAGGATTGAGTTTCGAGGAGCTGTCAATTTACCTCTGAGCAGTACCATATAATCCGGTGCATAGATAAAAATACCTCTTTGATCATCTTTTATTTTATTTCATCTTAATTACACAAACACCACATGTGAACTTAAATTGCAAAATTGGAAATGTCAAATGCTACATATATTTTTCCAGGAAGAAATTGATATTTAATACCAATTAGTTACATGAACTATGCACCTCATTCATGATTGAAGGTAAAACTCTTTCATCAAAGTCCAACCCCAATTTTCTGTACATGTCAGGAAGCATAGTTGCTTGAGGACGGGCAAGCACTCGAAGGCCAATGTTAACCATCTGGAGATCTAAACAATGCCAAAAAACAAGTAATAAGCAGCAAAAATCAGAAACATTTCCATGGCCCTCTTTTCAATTAAGAGTGAGATCTCTCCTCTTAAACCTGGTACAATACAAGGTCAGCTTATAACTCACATAAGCCTCTTGGTTTCTCCATATGTTTCTTTGCTACATGTTAAATTTTCAGCCATATTCATGAATATGTTGTTTCTTTTGTTTCTAATGATGTATAATTATTTAAAAAATGGCCAAATAAACAAACAAACAAATCAAAAAAATAAAAAAATAAACATCACAACATCAAAATAAACATGATTGTGTTTTTAAATAGAAATAAGAGAGATGGTAAGTTTTGAGCAAGGTGAAGAAATGGAGAAAGATGTTCTTTGTCTTGTCACAAGCGTGCAGGGACAAAGGAAAAAAAATTCTGAGTCCCCATGAGGTGACAAACATTATGCCATTGACGTTGCTGATCCTGGCAGTATGCAGGATGCATGTCATATGAACTTCATAACAGATCTTGCTCACCGTGGCATCTCCATGGCTCAGTGGTAGAGCGTTGGAACGCGGAATCTGAGTGTCTGAGGTTCGATTCCTCTTGGTAACTCAGAATTTTTTCTTTGTCCCTCGCTTGTGACAAGACGAAGAACATCTTTCTCTATAATAGTGTTTCTTTCCTAAGGATACATATTCAGTATGTATATTGGTTTACTTAATGTTGAAATTTGTATGTTCATCAAGCATTATTCATAATTTGTTAATATTGGGACATTGAAAAAAACACTGATGAACTTCTATGAACCTTTGCTCCCTGTTGGAGAAATAATCTTCCTTGGTTTTGACCTGATGTCATAAATGATGGGGTACTGAAACCATGGTATCCTGTAGAATACGAAGATAAACAAAAGCACTGATGAGTTGCACATGTTATCTACTGTCTCAGACTACAGCCCAACAAGCTTTACACATATAGAACTGCTGGGCTAACCCCGCAAAAAAAGGAATTGCAATAAAAATGTAAATGTGCCCTCTACATTGTTGCAGGATGAAAGCTCCTATGAAGTGAATGACATTTCAACTATGATAAGATTTGACTAGATTTACATAACCTAAGCTGAGATTGGTTGGTTTTTGAAAGCCTTATTCGGCACATTTTGTTAAATGCTGTTCCCTTAAGGGGAAGGGTGGTGTTAAAATCTGTTGTCAAACTGCTTTCCCATTGAGTCATCCAAGATATACACTGTATTTGTAAAATCATCTGATGTTACCATGAGCTGGCCTGTCAAAGTTTAGTGTCCTCCCACACTGATTAACTACACCTGAAAGGTTAGGATGGAGCTATCTCCTAGCCTTTATTTTCACATTCAAACATGATTGCTAGACATATTTCTTATATCAAAACAAGCATTGTGATCAGTGCTGAATGATGTTAATAATTTTTTAACAATGGCCATTCAACCTCTATTTCTGGCGACCAATTGATTACTTTGACAACTTTAAAAAAGGCTGGGCTTTGAGTTTTGTTGAATTAGAATAGATAACAAAAAAAAAACTCTACCTGAAGTGAAGGCCTTCAGTATAAACATTATTTTGGATTCCTCCAATTCTGCTGAATATAATGGCCCTGTGACCACCCTCAACTGCCAAAAGATAGTTCAAAAGATAATTTGCATGTGTTGAACTAATTACCACATTAATTAATAAAGCAAGGTAACATCTATCATCTCTCTAACTAGGAATACTCCTTCACAGATCTAACACTGAATTTTGTCGACCTATAACTAGAAGGAAATGTTTGTCACACAGTAAGGAGAATCCAAATTGATTTCACTTATTTGACATCTCTTGACTTCCTTCCCACTTTTTTCCAACATTTCGACACAGAGGAAACAAAATGGGACCAACGTCTGGTAAGAATGGAAGGGGGGGGGATGGGGAGGGGAGAAGGAGTGGTTGAAATTTGGTGTACTCTTCATGACCGGAATGGAAAAAGTCCAACGATTCTAACCACAGTCAGTTTAAGACAAAATGAAACACTTACAAGTCGTAAAATGGTGATGAGATAAAAAAAAAAATTGATGTAGAAAAGTATGCACAATTTATTGTCTATGTACAAATTAAAATTACATAAGACAGGCATAGTATAGAAAAAAAGGAATAAAAGCAATTTGATCGATTTAAAAAAGGAATAAAAAATATATACAGAAAAGCTACGCGAAGAACAACTTGAGCCAATTAGACTCAATTCACGACAGGACAGTAACGAATACAATCGTGAATTAGAAAGCTTGATCGTGTATTCGTGGAAAGGAATACCATATCGTGTGCTAAAAAGTGATCTTGCCTCTCGCGAGTCATTAAGACTGCATTAAAACTATACCTGTGTAAACAGACTCCTTGATTCCATATGCAGCTGCTGCGGCTGCGACTAGAAATTTTAAGCCAGTTCCAACTCCTTTCGGAGCTTTTCCCATGCGTCCAGCAAACTCGGTGAACTTGTCTGCCATCTTGCCTTCCTCACGTGTAGCAATACTTTTCAGATCTGACGTAAGAAAAAAGAAAGGTTACTAAGCTAAGGGAGGCTACCAAGGTCTCAAGAAACAAAATGGCGGACAGTGGAGCCAAGAAAGCCAGTAAGGAATTTTTTCAGCATTTAATCAGTTCTTCGGAGAGGTAAGACGCTTTAAAATATTTTTTTAGTGCAGATAAAATACGATGGTTCTTAGAGATGACAATTTTCTGTTTAGTTGCGTGGATGACAAAGTTTGTGTGGTGGGGATCTTCGGAAAAGACAACATTGGCTACAAGTCGAAAGCTGTACATCTGAATGGAACTATTGGGAAAGAAGTTTTCAAGGTTTGTTTGGAAATGAAGTAATTCAGCTATAAACTTCTTCTTATCTAATTTCTTTGAAGGAACTGCTCTTTATGGATTTTACACGAATGATATCAAATGGACATCAAAGATTATCGAATGAAATCAACAAAAACAACAAAACTCATATAAGTATGTATTTTACTTAAACCCTATGCATTTGCATCTCATAGATTGACTTTTTAGATGGTACATTCAAGAAGAAGGATACAGATGAATTTTCAGTGAGTATCTTGTGGGATTCCAAAGCTTGTGTTGACATAAAGTACCTGTAGGATTTGTAGCATTTTAATAAATACCATCAGGTGATTTTGTTAAGTCATTATTTAAGTAACATTGATATGGCATTATTGTATTCATGCTTCTAGTTTCAACTGGTTAATTGTCACTATCTATTTTTCTTTTCCAGTGCACTAGTGAATTGCTTTTTTGCTTATTTTCAGTGTGACATTTATGTCTATCATGATGTAGAACAGAGGATAATCTATCTACACCTTGTGTCTGTTTATGATGTGTCAAGACTGTTACAACTTTGTAAACAAGCTCCACAAGATGCACAGAATGCAGTAAGTTTCAGTTTCAAATTTAGCATTAGTTTTAGAATATTTTCAACATATTTCAATTAGAGAAACATGTACATGTGCTGTACAGGTAAACATCACCACTACCTTTATAAGAATGACATCAATGTTAATAATGATGATAATTTTAATAATAATGATAATGATGATGATGATGATGATGATAGTAATAATAATAATAATAATGATATGGATAATTCTGATGAGAACGAGTATGATGCAGACAATAACAACAATGATAACTATGAAGACCTCAACAACAACAACATTTTTGCAGCAGAAATGACAAAAACAAGGACATGAAAAATAACATTGTATAGCCCTGTAAACATCTGGCCTCTAGTGTTAGCTTTGAATCAAGGAACTCTCCTGTTCATATCAACTGCTTTCTTATAACTTGTCACGAAGAAACATGTTCATGTCTTGTATGTACTAGGAAGGTTATTTGGATCGATGATATTTAATTCCTTGCTCTAATATTCAGAAGAGTAAGTGTATATTTGATCCTTCTGCTCAGGGGAAGCAGATATAGGTGTGTTGTTGATGACTGAATAATAACACCTACTGCATCTCAGGGATAATTACTACATGTATTCCACTACTATGCAATTTTACTATATTAGGGCAAAAGAACATGCCCAATATGCTATTGTATTACACTGTACATCAGGACAAAAATATAGGAAGAAAGCAACATGGGTGCTCTGTATGATTTATATATGATTTGAAAGCAAAGCCATTTTTTGGCTTTGCTTTCAAACAAAGAACCTTTCAGCACTTCAGGTTTTTTTGTCAGCCATTATGATTATTTTGTCTGTTACAAATGCATTACTGGGATCAATATAAAGTTCAGGTGAGGTTTTAACATAATTAATATGTAGTATTAGCAAACATTTTGCTCAGTGCATGCCAAAGTAGTGTGCGGCTAGCAAAATATTGGCCCATATTACTGTATGTGTTAAAGCATCAAATAAGGTGTATATATTCACTTATCCTTGGAGAAATGTTTTGTTATTTAGTTATGACTGCTCAGTTAATCTTGTTTCCTAGGCTTCTCATCAGTATTGGATGTCCCATGAATTTTACTATGCCTGTGCATTACTGTTCCTGTTCTCTGTCTCTCATATTGTTGTTGTAAGTAATTACTGAAACAGTTTCTTTTTGTTGTCCAGGTTACTTCAGTTCATTAACTTATTCTTTTCGGGAATGCTAGCAAAAAAAGTTTTTAAAAGAACAAATTTATATGACTGAACCATATCTTTAAATTTTTCATCAACATTTTTTTATTGTGTGCAACTGTAAGTGCTTCTTCTACCTGTAAATGAATTATTTGGCCATCAATTTTTCAAACCAGTAACTACCTGGTCAAGTTATCCACTTTGATTGGTTGAATAATTGTCAGTTATTTTTTGAAATGTTTGATATAATTTCAAGTTAAAAATTCTCTGTTCAAATTTTACAGCTTCTGCATCCCTCACAGACTTTTGATCTGAATTACATCAGGCTCTTTCGCACATTAGCTTCAACAAGGTAATTACAGACTAACTAAATTCTTATTAGGTAAAATTGACAGAATTCAGAGGATGGAGAACTTTTGAACATAAAATGAACCCTAAATTTTTTTGCCATTGTTTGAAAGAGCTCCAAGTTTTTTAGTTAGTCTTTTTGCAAAAGGCTTTAATTTGTTTTAGAAGACAGGAATGGTTTCAAAACTGTTCTGTGGATCTGGGTGATGTAATCCTTTTCATAGATGCTCATTTCCCTTGTGAAAAAATGTTTCATTGCTTTGCTAATTCCATTGCAGATAAAGATAAAAATTTTTATTACTTTCTAATAAATGGAGAGATACTGTACATACATGTAAAATGCAGTTACATGATTGTGCAGGAGGAAGGAGGTTATAAATATCTTTATCAGTCATTTCTTGAAAATAAATTCACTTGAGACCAATGGGAAAAGAAATTTTTCAAATAGTTTTGTTTCTAAATCAAAAGTCACACACAAACACTCATTCACCTAAAAGAATTTTGCAAAAATGAAGAAAAAACACTGTAATATATTTTTCATGTAACCTCTCAAATCATTTTGTGCTTTAATTTATAACTTATTATAGACACCAGTTACTGCCTCAGATATCCCAGCTATTATCTGGTGTGGATGGTATTCCTGACATTTGGAGGCAGACTGGACGGCCTTGTATTCCCAGACTGGTGTGTTCAATGAAACAGGTTAGTTTATCTTTTATTTCTTTCCTCATCTGTATGAGTGATTTGGTTTACAGGACAGAACCCAGTAATAAGTATTTAGGTGTGTAAATGACTTGAACATTTTTCATACAATAGTGTTAATTGCTTTGCCAATTTTTTTTTAAGTAAAAGATCACCTCATGAGTATTTCACAGATTTGGTTGTGTGAACCTCCAATTGACTAGTAAAGGGTGAATTTCACAAAAGCATATTAATTTTGTTATTTTTCATTAGAAGTTTTAAATACCAGGTGAATGTCTGAATATTAACTGAAGACTTTTTTCATTATTTCAGCGGGTTCCTTTCATGGATCCTTCACAAGTGGTAAGTTTTTGTCAATGTGAAATTTAATCAAAGCAAAGTGTTCTTAATGATGATATCATCCATGCATCTCTCCTACAATACATGTAGATCATGAGTAAGAACCAATCAAAATGTGTGTATAATTCAGTTAATTATAAAAACGCAACTTACAAAATGCAAGTTGGGTTCATACTCAGAGCAATTGATATGGAAAGGTGCCTTTACATGTTCCTTCATAATTGTTAATATTCACTGTGCTTTAACCTAATAATCATAAGAGTACAGTGTCGACTGAGTATGAGTATGCTGAAATATTGTATGTTTCAAATGCAGTCAGGGAAAAGCCAAGATACTTATGCCAGCAAGACTAAGGGAAAACAACAAGTAAGTTGAAAAAAAAAAATAACAACAACAACTACAACAACAACAACAACAAATGTAAGGGTGTTTAAGTCCTTGGTCAAGCTTCCAGTCATAACACTAGGCATTTAATAGTCTGATTCCTTTATTTTCAGAATTTATGTTGGTTTAAATATAAGGTTTTTGCATTCATTTTAGAGCATCACTCCACAAAAGAAACTTCAGCATGCTGTAGAGGATCAGCTGTACAGCATAATGAGAAAGGCCAGGCTCCTTGGAAGTCTTAGGTGGGGTGTATAACTAATGTACAATTACACTTAAAAAAACAGAATGCATATTTTTGCAGGTATTAATATCTGTTTCCAGGCATGATTAACTCTAAAAGCTTTTAGCTTTAGTATTATTAACCCCTTCTGCAATAGCTGAAGGTAAATTCCATAGTACTTCTTTACAGATCCTTAGCTGCACATAATTTGACTTGTAACTTAAGTGCACAGGCATGAATAATGGTACCCTTTTTTAAATGGTTGGAGCTCACTGGAGAGGTAAATTGCCATTTTCTTACAAATGAGGGTAGTGACCTATCATTTTTTATCCTTTCTTGGAATTGAGCAACAGCTTTCTTTAATAATTATAGAAATAGACCTATTCCCAATGTGAAAAAGGGACAATTTTTGGTTCCTTAACCATTGAATGTCCTATAAATTTTACTGATTGCAAATTATAGTTTTTTTAAGATGCCCAAATAGTGACATTGATGTGCCTCCTCTGTTTCGTTTTGTTTTTTGGCCCGTTCGTTTTTTGTAATAATGTAAAAATGTTGCTCTAAATCTACAGTTCCAGTTCCCTGTTCACTGTAAACTCAAGTCACGCCTTTGTTCACATGCAGCCATGTTCTACCAACTTTGACCCTGTTGCAGTTCTCCTTAATACTTTGGCTAAACCGGCTATCAACACTAAATGGGGTAAGGTAAACATTACTTACTCTAGTGAAGCATGCTTCTTTTTTCTTTTTTTTTTTGTCTATAAGAACGTGTAAAAAATAGGAAAGGCCCCGATAGTTTGTTAACTCTGCATAGCCGCTCAGGCACATTACTTCTTGTAGGTTTCTCTCCTTGACATTCAACGATCGTATGCATGCACCTTTGTGAAGGAATAACATGAATACGGAGTCCAGGGGTTTCAAAGCTACCGCCGCCTGTAAAACCTTTCACTACCGTCTGTTTAGCCTACGAGTACGCACCCGTGTTTGTGTTTCCCCTTACGACAGACGCCTATTGCAGCATCGGCGGCTGCTTATGGAGAAAGTTACTGAAACTCCCAGGGAATCTTTCCTCAATTCCATCTCGTTCGGAACTTTTACCCTCAATGATAAAAAAAAAACTAAACCAAAACACAAATAAAACTGGCAAAAACAAAACAAGCACTCTTCTGTTCGGATGCATGAACACTTGTTACAGGCATTTTCAAGCGTTATTGCGATACTGTAATCTAAGACGGCAGATGATCATGAACCCTCTGTTTATCTGGTAGCCGAAATCAAAGTTAAGCGTCTCTCCTTCAATTTCTTGCTGGTTTTAATTCCCTACTTAATAAATAGTTTTTTTTATAATTGTTTGTAACTGTTCCCGCAGTGGAGAAGAGTCCTCTTCTGAAGAATAGCAAATTCCTTAAGAGAGAATTCTCAGAGTCCGGAGGGAACAGCGAAGCACATTCCACGGATGACGTGTTGTTCCGAGACTACCTGAAACAGCAGATTGATCTCTTAATGACCGGAGATGGTGGTCGAGATGGAGTGGCTGAGGGACGCAGAGGAACGCATGTAGAGGTACAGTATTTAAAAATTTCCCTATCATTTTCCAGGTCTGGAAGTGATATAACTTTAGAGTAAGATGCGGAAGAACGCATGTTTAGGTCTTACTCTAGTACAACGGCATTTTTCAGCTCTGAAAGTAATATAATTTTACAGTGCATGTAGTAGTGAAGGTCCTGAAAGTCATGGAAATGACTTAGAATGAGCTTTACGAACGTGAAGGCACGACCGGAATACTTTGACTGAAAGATCACGTGCATAAACCAACTTCTCGATTTGGAAATGTCAACAGAGTACTGTGTAATGGTTGTGGAAAAACATGAAATTTGATCATTTCTAAAGATAAATAGTGGTACTTTAGGTGCACTAGAGAACATATGGCCATGTGGTCTTCGGTGTACACGATTAGCTTAAGGCCAAAGATAATGAAGGAAGAGAAAACGAAAGGGTGTCAGCTAGATACAACTGTATGTAAATTCCATCTTCGTAGTGTATTTCCTTAAGCTTCTGCAATGTTTTTTCCAGCCCAATAAACTCTTTTTTCTAAATTCTTCTTCATCAATTAAATTAATTTTCTCCCTTTCTGCCATTATATTACCTTTACTAAAGGGATCAAATCGAGAAATCGATAATAGCCTTTTTCACAGACGCCTTGTTCAACAAACATCCGTCCCAGGAGCTTTCTTCTAATCTTTGTAAACATATCCCAAAGGTTTTCTGTTGTTGCTTTACATGCGCTGATATCTGACGTTCATAACTCGTGTTCTTTGGCAATGCAGGTTCCTTCTTGCCGTTTGTGGGCGCGTGTATCGCTTACTCTGTATGAGTTCTTCTTGACTCCAAAGAATGATTTGATAGCTCCTCTCACCGCCATGGCATCTAATCTAGATCTCGACATGAAATTCTCTGAGGCGTAAGTACTGCTGTATTTTGTCCAGGTTTTTATAGGGTAAGGCTCTATAAAGCAACGTCAGATACGTTTTTCAGGCAAAAACTCTCTTTACGAGGATGGCCCTTAAAGATCATTCTAAAATCTCTTCCCACGGATGTGAGGTACATGAAGCTCAGCGAAGGGAATAGTGTTAATGGTCGTTTGTTTGTCGGGAAGAGATACAGAGGGTTTAATGACCAGGTGAATAATTCAATTTTGTTTGTTTGTTTGTTTTTGTTGTTTTGTTTTGTTTTTCATGTAGGCGCTGTCGGAAGGCGATACCTGTAGCAACAAGTGCCTACTTAGAAAATCTTCCCTCACATTACACCCAGAATGTTCACTTAAACCAGGTATCTAATTATGTTTGATCTTTTGTTACGGTAGGTTTTGTTTGTTTGTTTGTTAATTTGTTGTAATTTTATCTTTATTTGTGCCATGGTAACGAGTTTTGAACACAGTTTGGTTTCGTCTCTCTGTATTTTAGCTGTCTCAAGCACTTCGGGTGTTTTCTTTGCACGCTCGCGGACCTGCATTTGAACACTACGCAGCTCAGTTTCAGGATGAGTGTAACAAGGTACCGTTTGTCAACGGCCTTTTATTTCCCGTCATGTAATTTTTTAATCAGTCAGATACTGAGGCAATTATCGATTTCCTTTTGCACTTTTCGTGTATTTTCGTTCACTTTTTTGGTACCGTATTTTCTTTTGTATTTTCCTTTCCGGTGTACACGACACTCTCCAAATGAATACATATATCTATGGAATAAGTCTCTTGTTCAATTTTTCGTTAAATGTAGGTATGGATGAACGGAAGACAGCTTTGTGAGGAGCGTAGCTTAACTGGACGCCACTGTGTTTATCCGGTAAGGATTTTGATGATTGGTTTTCAAAGGTCGTAAAAACCATTCTAGATATCACCTCCTTGTAGTCCTTTGGTCATATAAAGCATTGCACGGCATGAAACACATGATGACGCGCGATGGCTTGGAAAATCAAGATTTATGCACAATTCGTGGGAGTTATTCTCGCTACAAGACTACATGTATACCGCTCATCTGGGTGCGAACAATCTCTCAATTGTACAATGCTCATCTAACTACAAAGTTATAATGCACTGATCATAGTTTCCTGCATTTTCTCTGTAGTACCACCGGGTCCCTGCAGAAGGCGAGATGCCTTCCGATCCAGTCTCCGAGGAATCCAAGGAGCTTGGGGTTAATCCATGTAAGCCTCACTCAAGTCGTATCACCAGCGTCAGTGCCTGCAACTGTGGAAGGATACAGGATCACAGAGAAGATCCTTTTGATCTCAAGGTAGATATTTTTACTGCATAATTTTACAAAAAAATTTCTTCTTTTTTTTTAGATGAAAACAATAATCAAAATGGATGTGAAATGCCTATATTTCCTTGAATTCGATTGATATATAGAATAAATTTCTATTAAAAAATAGATCAGATCGAATAGGAATTTCCCCCTTCAAATTGACCTTTCCCTAAACAAAATTGAATATCTTTTCATTACATGTATGTTTAGCTTTAACCGTAGATCCTCATTCGGATGAGAATGACGATTTACGTAATGTTATCCGGTGAACGTCAGAGCTTAGTGGTTCAAAGCAGGATCAGTTATAATCCCTGCTTAACTACCATAACAACATAAACATTTTCGATAGCAGCTACGTGTAACCCAGGATTAAGATATTGACTGGGTCTCCGGCTCATCAGCGAACTCGTGCTCGAAAACAGGTCTTGGTGTAATCAAATTTTAAGAGGAACTGCTACTGTTCAATACCCTCAAACTGCTTCCGTTCAATGACAGCCTTTTATACGGAGCTTTAGCGCTTAAAGTGCGCTTTTACCAGGCAGTTTTACTCTTACCAATCTACAAACGTTACTCGTTTGAAGACAAAGAGTTTGTTTTGATTTATTCTCCCTAGACAGCTAACATGGACTTCTTCAAAATTCTCGAGTCAAAGTGCTGTTTTTCGCTGGTTCATCTGTTCTTTCCATTTCATCCAATCGCTCTCTCTTCAAAAAACTCCCACAAAACCTCTACAGAAATATCAGATGAAGCCCCCCTCCTGGAAATGCCATCAGAGATAGTCAGTTCTAAGGGAGAAGAAGTCAAATCCGGGGAAGTTGGTGGTGAGGGGCACGTGGGTGACGAGACGTCCAACAGTGAGACGCCCGCGGTACAAGTTGCCCCGACAACTGGATCCATTCCCATTCCAAACTCGGGCGTTGCTGCAAGGACAGACAATTCGGGAAGCCTTGGGCACAGTGTCAGTTCTACCTACGGGGCGAGTGGGTACCAATCTACGCTGGAGATGATGAGTCACGAGGGGTCTGAGTTTAGAAGTATGCCATCCGAGTTCAAGAGTGTTGTATCCGTGGGAATTCCGGGAGAAATAAGCATGGGAGATTCCCAAGATGTCCTCTCCGCCGTAGGGGAGCACGTTCCCGGCGTTCACTCTTTTGAAAGATTCTCATCGCGTGATGAAATGGAACAGATCTATCTGGAAACCATGTTGAACAGTGATTCGCCTCCTGGTATTTTACCCCGCTTTCCTTCCTGGTCGCTTTGTCGTCTGGGAAGCGCAAGCGCCTACAATCCCGCGAAAGGTCTGGACCAACCGGGATTTTTCCCGAACAGCAATTATCTGTTGGCTTGGGACATTCCTTTGCTGAATGAAAGCCAATCAGATTTAACGAGTCAGTTTGATGGAAAGGGCAAGCACTTGGGGTCTAAGCAAATGACCGAAGAAGCTTGGCCTACGCTGAATGAACTCCCTTCTGCCGGAAGTAATGTTTCGTCACTTCCTCTGCACCAGGCTCTGACTTATGCACGTCGACAATGTTCAGATTATAAAGCAAATACGCTTCCTTTGATATCGAGTGCAGTAACAGGGAAAGGTGCGTCTGGGGCCTCTCGGCAGCGGGGTAGAGCCGCCCGTGAAGGGGCGCTACCGACAGTGAGGGCCTATATAGGACAGGAATATGAGTGCCCAAGGGGACATAGGTGAGTAACGTAAAACTGTTTCGAAATGGCGTTTGCACTTGTTAAATTACGACTGTCAAAAGTGTATCCCAGAAGACATTTATTTGCTGAAGATTTTTTCACTGGTTCATTGTGGCAGAATTATTGTATGCTGACCCTTGCACATTTTCTTGATGTGTGTCTGTGACTCATGTTTTGTTTTCATTAATTCCTAAGGTAAATTGTTGTAAAACTAAACGCTTTCAATCAATTAAAATTTCATTTCATAAAACTAAATCGTTGATAATCAGGGATAAAGCATAACGGAAAGTCATTTTGATTCCAATAATATTCTTTTCAATTTTACCGTACCTACATAACGTGTTGGGACATTTTCAGTGAAATTCACGTCTCCTATAACGTACTGGAATTATAAATCACTTCTTCGTTCTTAACAATAAATGTTTGACATTCTCATTGTAATTCTCAAGGTTTATCTGCTCAGGCCCGGACAAGATGGTGAAAGCGACCAGTTCCGGTCACGTCAAGGAAACAGCCCAGAAACTGGTGACGTCAGACATGCCTCTTTACTTCCCATGCCCCTGTCGCTCGTCAAAACCTCTCATGGCTCAAATGATGCGCATCTTTATCGTCACACCCGATTCACCTATACTCGTGACCCTTAACCCGCGGGTTCAACCTTCCCTTCCGCCATGTCCTGTGTTTTACCCTGGTGTTAATGCGGGAGTCACTATTCCCCCAGGAAGTTTCTGTGTACTGAGATTACCGTACGTGTATGTCTCAGACGTCGGTCCAATTCTACCACCCGGTGATTCGCAACCGCTGTTGTCGTGTCGGGTATTGAAGGGGCTGTTTTCCGTAATGGGGCTTGTTTAGGAAACTGCGAGAGAAAACCTTGTTGAGGGACGGCGCTAAGTCTTAGCTGAACATCTTAGCGGCTCCAGTCGGAGAGAGTTTCGCTCCCGGAGGCAGAAAGTAGACAAAGTAAGAGTTTGACTGACTTGCAAGTTACCCATTGTCGCCCCGTAAGTTGCTCAGATTGTTACGTTAGGTTGAGTGAGGAGCAAAAATAACCTAACGCTAATGTAAAGCTTGGTTTCGTGTTGTTAATAGACACTTTTAACACGTTTCTCTTGGGTCGACGAAAAGAAGATTTTGTTTCAAGCACACGATGAAGCCCAGTTTGAGATGACGTCTAAGTTGAATCGATAGATGTTAACAAAACGGCAAATTAGAGACGTTTTAGTGTTTGAAGAGGGATTCATGTCTGTCCGGTGTCTTGGTTGAGACTTTTTTACTTGTAATTCATAGAGGAATTCCATGTAACTTTTAAATGAGGAGAGTCTATTCTTCAGATACTTCACACCGTTCCGGAAAATCACTCTGTTTGAAAATTAAAACTAGCATGCTATGACAGTTATGGCTTTGTTAGCGACAGAGGAAAAATGTTCAATTTATAAACACCAAAGTTCAATGAAAAGTCAGATCAATATCAGTCTCTGAGCAACTGTGCCGTTACCCCTCCCTTAAACCAATAACAGTCAACTGATAAGAATAAAGGGTTAATGTTGAGTAAGAGGAGGGGCAGGTGCCCTGTTACGCAGACATTGACATTTATCCGAAAATTCTGTCCGAAAAAAAATGTATCGTTATCTCTGATAGTTGAAGAGTCAAGGGCGTAGCAAGGGAAGGGGGGGAAACCAGGGGTTCCCTTGACCCCCCATTGTAAGCCTTTCTTTGTCACATTAAGGAAAACATGGCATGGAGGTCGACGTGAAAATCCGGTAGGTACTCTCTGTTTAAAACAGTAAGCCCCCCTCTTCCTGGCTACGCCCCTGAGAGTTTTTCTCTCTTGTGGATTGTTAATGTCCCAGATCTACAGAGAAACTGAATCCCTATCTATGCCTTGCGTGATCTTAATTCGATGATGAAAATGTTCCTACTGAGGGGCGATTTCATCGTCTTGAAAGAAGTTATTTAAAATTCTCACATTCACGACTTGAACTAAATAGCCTGATTTAATAGATGTACATTACTATCCTATTTAATGGTTTGGTACTGGAGATCAGTAAAGCTTTTTATGTAGAAGTACAGTTCTAAAATTAGTTCCAAGCGGCTTAATGTGATCAACAATCAACTAATTTTTCAGTCAGAATTTGTATAAGCAGCTGGAAAATTAGATGTCCCTGGATTTGAAATGGTTCGTTTGAGTTTCATTAATAAGCAACATGCCGAGTACTCTCTCAATATCCTTGTTAATAGTGCAAATAATTTTACGGCGATAACGTGCCAAATTTGAAACGGAAAAGGTGGAAATCGGTTGGTTGAAGCATGAAACTAAGGATAGTTCTTGCGACAGTGGTGCTTGAATGGCTATTTGAAATTCCTTGCATATCAAATATACTACGTTTGATATCTTCCGTTATGAAAATCGATAGTGCCGATGGTGGTTTTCAATAGTTCTCATGAATTCTATTCACAAAATCTTCGCGACACGGCTAATAATGAATGTTGCGTGACGGGAAGTTCGTTTCCATCCCAATTACCTTTTGGTCAGACATGTTATATCTCATAGCGTCTACAAAGATGAATATTCGTGTTGTTTTGTATTGAAATCAACCACATGCTGAAATAAGCAACTTTAGTACTCTTTCTGTTTGTTGTTGAATCATAACACAGCCGTTTATCTCCACAGAATGTCCCTTTTGGGTTTGTACCCATGCAATAATATCTCAGCTCCAACTTATTTGTCGTTCACGTCGGCTTCGACGACAATATTATCATCAATTGTCGCCATTGTGGGCAACTTTTTAGTGGTCGTTGCCGTTCTCCTTGATTCCAACAGAGACCTTCGTTCGCCATTCAGCTTCTTCGTTGCCAATCTGGGACTGGCAGATCTAATTGTTGGGCTTGTAACCGCACCAATGGGTACCATATACCTAATCTCCGAAGGGCTAAAACGTGTCGAGAATTTGCAAGGATTCCGGCGGTGGATGCATGTATGCTACTTCATTTCCTGTTCTGCCTCTCTGCTCAGCCTAACAGCCTTGGCGTTAGACCGATACGTTGCTATCACATATCCTTTGCATTACCGAAGCAAACTGAACCCAACAAGAGCTTTGTTTATCTCGTGTTTGATTTGGATCACTTCGATCCTCCTGTCCTTAATCTATTTCATCGTGGGCTACAACAGGTTCCGGTTTGTCTTTGCAAGCACTGCTGTTGCGGTTACTTTCGCGATGCTAATTTTCACGTTCGTGAAGATTTTCAAGTATTTGCGACATCAAGTCCGTCACTGGGACAGTTTACACGACAGTACAGAGGAGAACGTCGTCACGAAACAAGCCACGAAAAGAGAAAAGAAGATTACAAAGACGCTGTTGATTGTCCTTTTGTTATTTTTAGCGTGCTACGTGCCTTCGTGTGTATGTATCTACATCGTTAACTTTTGCTATACTTGCGACTGTGAGTTTATTCACTGGGTAAGAGACATCCAGTTTGTTCTTGTGATGGCAAACTCTGGTGTGAATCCATTCGTATATGCGTGGAGGTTAAAAAATTTTCGGAAGGCTTTTAAGAGTATCCTAACGTGCCGTGCATTTCTAAGGCGGCTCAGGTCGGTCTCAGTGAATCTTCAATTGTCGACTGTGCGCACAGTTAATAACACCGTCTCAAGCGATGGCAGTATTGGAAGAGTTAATCCAACAGTACAGGAGTAGCAAAGCTTAATTAAACTTAACTCGTAGCGTCGAAAAGGGTAATTACCAATTTTAAACATTTTTGGAATGGAGACTTCATTTACGATTCATCAGTTTAAAGGTCATCATATAACCAGGGTCAATTAGCATTGTATTTCTTAAGAAAATTCTGAGAGAACCTCTGGTAACATATATTCTACTTTTGATGTACCCAAAGATTGTTATATTTCTATGAAGGCAATTTGTACTTTGATGGATAGATAGTGATAAAGCCAATATTAAAAAAACATATAAAGAACATTGCCCTTGATCACTTGAATGGAGCCGAGATCGGCCTTTACAAATTTCAGCAATTCCACAACCTATCAAATTACGAACATCAGGAAGCCTTGAACTTTAAATAGGTTTTCCTCCTTGTCGCTGTGTTAATAAGCTGGGTAATCAGCGATTTACATGGTCGTTTTTTAATAGTGTAGATGATGACGATGTGGCTCTTATTATTCACTATTTTCAGGTCGATTTGGACTTTCGTAATACAGCTAAATTTCCTTACGTCTACTTTGTATGAAGTCAGGAACTCCCCCTTTTTTTTCGCAGCTTCGTAGAAGAAAATAAATTCAAACTCCTTTATACGACACCAAGTCCTTGAGCCTAAAGTTCGACGCCAATCAATGCAATGGGTAACTCAGTTGCCCTGGGAAGTTGAAAAATCCCCGTTTGAATCAAAACCATACTTTTAGTTATGATTAAGTTTTTTAGCCGAAAGATCCGGCACCTTCTCCACGTGAAAAGTTAAGTATAACTTACACAAAATAAAAGGGAACCCTCCCAGAGTAGTATTCAATTACTTTTTTCTCACAGGCCCACGATCATTCCAACTGAAATCATTCTTCTGTTGTTAGCACACGGCATCCTGAAAACGCTCGTCAGACGAATCTTTGTAAACATATCGCCAAGGTTTTCTGTTGGTGCTTTACACGCACTGATATTTGACGTTCATAACTAGCGTCCTTTGGCAATGCAGGTTCCTTCTTGCCGTTTGTGCGCGCGTGTATCGCATGAGCTGTATGAGTTCTTCTTGACTCCAAAGAATGATTCAACAGCTCCTTTCACCGCCATGGCATCTAATCTAGATCTCGACATGAAATTCTCTGAGACATAAGTACTGCTATGTTTTGTCCAGGTTTTTATGAGGTGAGGGGTAGGATATTACTTACCCTTTCCGTAAAAGTGCTGCTGCTGTAAATTTTTGTTTTATTGCAAGTTGCTTTATTTTGGTTTGTTTTTGGAAATGGGAGTGTCATTCCAATCCAGGGTGACCAACCTTAACTGCAGTTCAGTTTAGTAAGTTAACTGTATGAAATAGCTTGGAGTTTCTGTTTTGTTTACATTATCTTTTCCAGTCTTTTCCTCCTATCTTAAGGCTCTATACAGCAACGTCAGATACGTTTTTCATGCAAAAACTCTCTTTACGAGGATGGCCCTTAAAGGTCATTCTAAAATGTCTTCCCACGGATGTGAGGTACATGCAGCTCAGCGAAGGGAATAGTGTTAATGGTCATTTGTTAGTTGAGAAGAGATACAGAGGGTTTAATGACCAGGTGAATAATTCAATTTTGTTTTTTTGTTTGTTTGTCTGTTTTGTTTTGCTTTTTTTTTTTTCATTTAGGCGCTGTCGGAAGGAAAATCTAGATCTACAGAGAAACTGAATCCCTATCTATGCCTTGCGTGTTCTTAATTTAATGATGAAAATTTTCCTACTGACGGGCAATGTCGTCTTGAAAGAAGTTATTTCAGTAAAATTCTCACATTCACGACGTGTAATAAATCACCTGATTGAATAGATGTACATTGCTATCCCATTTTATGGTTTGATACTAAAGATCATTGAAGCATTAGATGTAGAAGTACAGTTTTAAAATTAGCTCCAAGCGGCTTAATGTGGTCAACAATTACTAATTTTTCAGTCAGAATTTGGGAAATGAGCTGTTCCAGGATTTAAAATGGTTCGTTTGAGTTCCATCAATAAGCAACATGCCGAGTGCAAATAATTTTAAGGTGATAACGTGCCAAATTTAAAACGAAAAAATTGAAAATCGGTTGAAAATCGGTTGGTTGAAGCATGATGCTGTTTCGAAACTAAGGATAGTTCATGCGAAACTGGTGCTTTAATGGCTATTTGAAATTCCTTGCATATCAAAATTGCTATTTTCGATATCTTCCTTTATGAAAATCGATAGTTGCGATGGAGGTTTCAATAGTTCTCATGAATTCTATTGAATGACTAATAATTGATGTTGCGTGATGGAGAGACATTTCACGCGACCTCTAGAGAGACAAATATTTTAATTGTTTTATACGGAATCAGCACCATGCGGAAATAAGCTACTTGAGTACTGTTTAGTCTTGTTATTGAATCATAACACAGCCGTTTATCTCCACAGAATGTCCCTTTTGGGTTTGTATCCGTGCAATAACATCTCAGCTCCAACTTATTTATCATTCACCTCGGCTTCGACGACAATATTATCATCAATTGTCGCTATTGTAGGCAACTTTTTAGTGGTGGTCGCCGTTCTCCTTGATCCCAACAGAGACCTGCGTTCGCCATTCAGCTTCTTCGTCGCCAATCTGGGACTGGCAGATCTTATTGTGGGGCTTGTCACTGCACCAATGGGTACCATATACCTAATCTCCGAAGGGCTAAAACGTGTCGAGAATTTACAAGGATTCCGGCGGTGGATGCATGTATGCTACTTCATTTCCTGTTCTGCCTCACTGCTCAGCCTAACAGCCTTGGCGTTGGACCGATACATTGCTATCACATATCCTTTGCATTACCGAAGCAAACTGAACCCAACAAGAGCTTTGTTTATCTCGTGTTTGGTTTGGACCACTTCGATTCTCTTGTCCTTAATCTATTTCATCGTTGGCTACAACAGGTTCCGGTTTGTCTTTGCAAGCACTGCTGTTGCGGTTACTTTCGCGGTGCTAATTTTCACGAACGTGAAGATTTTCAAGTATTTGCGATATCAAGTCCGTCACTGGGACAGTTTACACGACAGTACAGAGGAGAATGTCGTCATGAAACAAGCCATGAAAAGAGAGAGGAAGTTTACAAAGACACTGTTGATTGTACTTTTGTTATTTTTAGCGTGCTACGTGCCTTCGTGTGTATGTATCTATATCGTTAACTTTTGCTACACTTGCGGCTGTGAGTTTATACACTGGGTAAGAGACATCCAGTTTGTTCTTGTGATGGCCAACTCTGGTGTGAATCCATTCGTATATGCGTGGAGGTTAAAAAATTTCCGGAAGGCTTTTAAGAGTATTCTAACGTGCCGTGCATTTCTAAGGCGGCATAGGTCAGTCTCAGTGAATATTGAACTGTCGACATTGAGCATAGCTAATAACACCGTCTCAAGTGATATCAGTGTTGGAAGATTTAATCCAACAGTACAGGAGTAGCAAAGTTTAATTAAATATGACTCGCAAAGTCGAAAAGGGTAATAACCAATTTTAAGCATTTTTGGAATGGAGACTTAATTTCCGGGGAATTTATCAGTTTAAAGGCCTGAAAACGCTCATCAGACGAATAAGTGCAAGAAACGTTCAAACTTACCATTCGCAATTAGCAAGAGGAACAGTTTCCGTGATTATTTGGCATCGTGTGGTTTTTTAAGCGTTAATTCATTCTATAAATAACGCTTTATGTAAGTTTTAAGAAGTTATAATCATCATCAATTTATTGTTATTACAACTTGTACTTGAATAAGTCCTTATTGGCTATATAATTACTGACCCTCATAAAATCCTATTGTTCTCTCTCAGCATTATATCGGCGATTTCAGTTGCATTGTTGGTGTACCAAAACATCAATATGAAGGGGCGACTGAAATCGTCGATGTAATGCAGAGAGAGAACAATAGGATTTTATGAGGGTCAATAATTATAATAGTTAATTACTGAGGTTCGCAGCATTATTGGGTATAATGCTGCGAACCTCAGTAATTATCTATTAAATATTGCATTTAGCTTAAATTCACAACGTAGTAAAGACAAAATTAATTTCTTTTCCAAACTGTTTCCCAAGCCCAGGTGCGTCTTCGTCTTGTAAAGAAATACGCGTTTCCCTGGTCGTGGTCGTCGATGCTGTTGTTGACAAAAATTCGGGAGCGGATTTGTACGAGGAAGGCCAGACGTAACGACTTTTCTTTGATTTATCATACAAATCAGCCCAGGACAAAAGATTTCCTATTCCCTGGTTACACGTTTTTGCAAAGGTTTCGATTTCTTGATTGGTAAGGACTCGGTCCCAAAGGTTGAACTGTGTAACGAGCATTTTCATCGTGTTACCTGAGCTAGCGAATTCTATTTTGGCCAATTGTCTCCCGATGAAGTCTTTATAAGTTCCGTATTTAACCCTTCTACCATCTAGATAAAATGACCACACCGCTGTGTTGATCGACCATAAGTTACAGAATTGGTGTCATTCCTTGTCTTTTAAAACATCAAAGTTTTGTCTGTAAAGCAAATTCTTCAATTTAATGAAGTCTAGAACTCCAAGAGAATTTTTTTGCGAATTGTGCTCTATAAACTTAAGAAATGGAATAAGCTTTCGCCGCTCATGGTGCAGTTAATCGGGAACTTAAACAGCTCCTCATAAATGCAAAGTATGGGGTTGATCAGAAATTCACTCGTTCAGGAAAAGTGTCTGTTGCTCCAGGTGGTTCAGGAGGCCATGTACCTAACCTTGATCACAGAGTTTGGATCCATTTTGATTGTCTCTGGTGGAAGAAACCGCCATAATCATGTTTAATCTACATAGCACAAAATTGCGACAAAAAAGTTCTGATGTCACGGAAACATTCAGTTTGGCGGAAGTTATCTCCGTGGGTTTATGAAGGAAGAAGAAGGTTGATTGCGGTGTTTTTTTTTTTTTTCTTTCGGTTGCTATTTTTGCGCCGTGAAAATTCGTCAATTTTGAAGCGGTGGTCCATAAATAAATGAAAGAGAAACGCGCGACAGGTCTTAATGAACCAGTAGGGATGTCTGAGTATGGTGAAGATCAAAATGGATTTTGGTTGAGGCTGTGAGCTGTGTGCAAAAAGTACAAACGAGGAGGATGAAGGAAACCAAAACAACGCAAAATGTTTTCATAACTTAACTTACTTTTCATTGATACCACCGTGTACATATTGTAGCATGGTATTTTCTCCTTCCCGCGTTAAATGGATAAGCATGTTCATTCCTGTCATATACGACCAAAGCAGGCGAATCTTATTTCCCCGTCAGGCTCCTTCCACTGTCTTAAACCAAATACATGCGCTAAATTCATCCCCAACTGAGATATCCCTCTCGTCATGAAAGTTCCCTTCCAGTTTGGCGTGGTAAGATCCTAATTCAAAGTATATATGTATAATTCAAAAGTTTGAACCAGACATAACGAGCATGGGTTTGATCTCCACCTTGATTGTGTGGCTGTTTTCTTGTTGAAGTTGTTGTTGTTGCTGTTTAAGCATCGCATGATAAATAACTCACCTGCCTGGCCCCCACAAGAGCGAAAAAAATGTTACGGGAACGTTGATGTTTGCGGTAAATTTCATTGCTAAACAACCACGAAACAAATTATGAGTTGACGTTACCTATTTCTTCGAATGCGGCAAAATATTCTCTCTGTTTTGGTAACGTCTTCATTTTGGAGACACAACGTTTCCTAATGTGCTACAAGTTACAAAATTAATTGCCATGTTTTATATCTTGTTTTTAGCTCGTGAATCCCACCATTCATTTCCAGTGGTCATTTCATCCGCCTCACGTCTGTTATCACCACGGTCATTTTATTTATTGGACTGGGCGATGACATTAAATGACGGAGGCTCTTGCAAGCAAACACCCTACCAAGGGTGTGATGGGCCAAAATGTTGTAGGGAAGACTTTTGGTTTTGAGTGCAATTTTACAGTATCTATGTTTATACATCTTAGCCCAGGTAAGAAGAAAATCTCCAATTGTAGTTTAGAAAGTGACTCCAGAAGAATCATAGAATTTTGCGAAGCGTAAACAACGGAATCCAACCAAAAGGCTGAATACTAGATCTCCTTGAGGAATATCAGTATTTCATTGCGAAATTTTCCCTACCAAGTTCAGACAATTAAGTTCATACCCACATCTCGTTATGGTTTTATGTGATGTTCTGTGGTAACATTGTACACTGAAATATGCACTCACTGACGCACCTGAACTAAACCGTGTGTAGTTTAGTCAAGTTCACACTCCAATCTCGTCATGATTTTATGTGGTTCTCTGTGGTAACATTATGCACTGAAAAATGTACTCACTAACGCACTCCTTTTTCTTGTTTATCATGGATGTTGATGGACAATCTTCAAGGCATTTATTTGTGCCCGCCTCCTTCACAACTCGGCATGCATAGCACTGTTCATCGCTGTTTGGTGCCTTACAGCCTGAAAATTAAAGAAATAAATGGGAACAACTCTTTGCATCACGAGTGGCTTTTCTTATCAACGACAGAAAGAAGGACGTCTTTAAAAAAGATGATGTCAGAAAAAAGACATCAAAGCGACATAAATACTCTTGAAATCACATGAATGGTAGGTAGGAAGACTCTCGAGTCACATGTTCTCTGACCAACAACGTCTGAGTATAACACCCTCCTGCTACAAATTTGTAAAACCTTACTATGGTCTTGAGTTATAACCCAAACCTGCGACTAGATCGCAATGAATGTGACAATTATTGGCACACAAATTTTCGATGTTATCTTTAACAGTGTTTCCCTTGCACGTGACCCCTGTGCGTTTGTGTGAAATGACATGAGCATCCATGATGTTCGCTGGTTCGTCTTGATTACCAAAGGCATAAAACCGTATGTCGAAGTCTCTCTTCTGTCAATCAAGTTGAGGTAAACGTTCCCGGCGTCTTTCGTTCCAATACTTTTTCCGTACTCAATTAATGTCGCTTGGCCAAGAAATGGTAATGCAAACAAAGTATGATTCATACAGTACACTTTCTCCGAGGGCCACGGCATCTACGCTTGTTGTGGATGGAGAATCCGCTAAGGCTTTGTTCCCCTAAGATAGATACCAGACCAAAGAGAAACTACGTATAGATACACATAAGCGGCGCTAATCTAGGCCGTTGTCTAACATCACAGCTTTCATAGTGTGCCAATAATTCACTCCTCCAATGACATGCTATAATCTCACTTATTGTAATTTTCATTAGCATTTTATTGGTACTATTTGTATGTGCTTTTGGCTACATTCTTGGGCAGAAAGATGAATTTTCAATGATAAGGGGCTTCGTTGGTAATCATGGCTTGATAGTAATGTGATTCAGTAACTCACGAAAAAAAAGGTTTGACGAGAAAAGCAAAAAAAGAACAAAAAAAACAGCAAGAACAAAACAAGGACAAAGAAAAATAGAAGTTAAATAAAGATGTTACTAAATAAATCATAATGGAAGTCAAGAAATAACTGACGTAAACTTACCTTGAAAATCACAACTTTGGAAGGAGAAATTTCGAAGACATAACGAGCTTTTAGGTTCTTTGGAGAAGCGGAAAATACCACATGGATAGTTCCCTTCGACGCAGCGGTAAAATGCAAACATTTTCCCTCCTTCTCCTCGAGGTCCATGCGAAGAATATTGGATCATTCTGCGTGGCATGGCACAGATCTAGCTGATGCGTCTGCAAACAGACCAGCTCTGCTCGTGCTTACCGATTGAACCCTGGCCAATGGTTTTCCTTTTATATCATCAGAAAGCACAGGGAAGACTTTTTTCGAGGACGAGAAATCATCGTTGTCGAGGTACAAGTTGTCATCTTTCTGATCATAGGATAGCGTAAGACCAAATATGGATATTTTGGGTTTTTGAGGGTTGTGGGTTGAATCACTAAAACCGCTGTACATGTGAAATGCATCGTTGCTATCACCTGTGTACTACTCGCCGTTCCTGTTTTGAAGAAATTTTTTCATTAGTATGAAAAACCACTTATCTGGACAAGAAGTTGAGAGAGAAAAAAACTCGTGATCTTTTGTCTACTTTAAAATTCATAAGGAGGAGCTGTTTTGATAAATTTGAGATTCAATATAAAGGCGATCCTCTCAATTTACCTGTAGCGAACACTCCTACTCATATTTTTGGGAATACTGAAAGCACTGTGTAATGGGTTAATCAAATCATCAAACATATCAAATTCAACTTTAAATGTGGCGCCACCGTTGATCAGTTGTTGCCATTTAGGTCCTGATATCTTTTCCATCCACAGGTCACTATTTTTTCCAGTTTGTGGAGCGGGTGTCTTTGGTTCGGGTGGACATTTCTCGAGGCGAAAATCTGATAACGATACAGGGCCCTAAAACACAATCATAAAGAACTGGGTATATATTTCTCTTATCTCTCGTTCTTTCACCCCCATCTCCTCCCCCCTCCCTCCCCCCTGTTTTTATGAGGAAATTATTGATCCTAAAGTGTTTCATTATTTATTAT